GAGGCAAGACAGGGGGGGGGGGGGGGGGGGGGGATTGAGGTAGACAGACAGAAGGGGGGGGGGGGGGGGTGGTAGAGTGAGACAGACAGAGATGGGGGGGTAGATGAGTGGAAAAGGAGGGGGGGGGTTGTAGAGTGAGACAGACAGAGAGGGGGGTAGATAGAGTGAGACAGAACAAGAGGGGGGGAGTGGGGAGGGTAGTAGGGGTGGGGTAGAGTAGAGGAGACAGACAGAGAGGGGGGGGGGGGGTTAGTAGAGTGAGACAGACAGAGAGAGGGGGGGGGGGTAGTAGAGTGAGACAGACAGAGAGGGGGGTTTGAGTGAGACAGACAGAGGAGGGGGGGGGGTGTGGTAGAGTTGAGCGGAGGCAGACAGAGAGGGGGGGGTTAGGTGAGACAGACAAGAGGGGGGGGGGTAGGTAGAGGAGGGGGTTTGTAGTAGGAGGGGTAGGTGGTAGGTAGAGTGAGACAGACAGAGAGGGGGGTTTAGTTAGGGAGACAGACAGAGAGGGGGGGTGTGGTAGGAGATGAGACAGAGAGATGGGGGTAGTAAGAGTTGAGAAGACAGAGGGGGGGGTTGTGTTAGAGTGAGACAGACAGAGAGGGGGAGGGGTAGAGAGTTGTAGAGTTGAGACAGACAGAGAGGGGGGGGGGTAGAGTGAGACAGACAGAGAGAGGGGGGTGGGGTAGGAGTGAACAGACAGACAGAGGAGGGGGGTGAGTGGAGACAGAGAGGGGGGGGTAGAGTGAGACAGACAGAGAGGGGGGGGGTGGTGTAGAGTGAGACAGGGCAGAGAGGGGGGGTGGGGGGGGGTTAGAGTGAGGACAGACAGAGAGGGGGGTGAGTGAGGAACAGACAGAGAGGGGGGGGTAGGAGGTGAGACAGGACAGAGAGGGGGTGGGGTAGAGTGAGACAGGACAGAGAGGGGGGGGGGGGTGAGAGTGAGACAGACAGGATGGGGGGTTGGTGGGTTAGGAGTGAGACAGACAGAGAGGGGGGAGTATAGAGTGAGACAGACAGAGATGGGGGGGGGTAGAGTGAGACAGACAGAGAGGGGGGGGTGTAGGTGAGACAGAAAGATGAGGGGGGGGTTAGAGTGAGTGGAGGTAGAGTGGACAGACAGAGAGGGGGGGGTTAGAGTGAGACAGACAGAGAGAGGGGGGGGGAGGTAGATTGAGGGACAGACAAGAAGGGGGGGTTTAGAGTGAGACAGACGAGAGAGGGGGGGGGTTGTGACGTATGGTAGAGTGAGACAGACAGAGAGGGGGGGGGGGTGAGGTTTTGATGAGAAGACAGAGGGGGGGGGGGGAGTAGAGTGAGACAGAAGACAGAGAGGGGGGGGGGGAGAGTGAGACAGAGGGGGGGGGGTAGAGTGAGACAGACAGAGAGGGGGGGGTAGAGTGAGACAGACAGAGGGGGGGGGGGGGGTAGAGTGAGACAGACAGAGAGGGGGGGGGGGGGTACTAGAGTGGAGACAGACAGACAGAGGGGGGGTAGTTAGGAGAGTGAGACAGAAGAGAGGGGGGTAGTGGGGAGAGAGGCGTAGGGGAGACAGACCGAGAGGGGGGGGGGTTAGAGTGAGACAGACAGGGGGGGGGGGGGGTAGTGTGGGTTTAGTGTGTTTAGAAACAGATGTTCTGACTGATTTAATGGGAAGTTTACCATGTAGCTCAAGCTAAGTAGAACTTAACGTATGTGTCTATTGTTAATGGGACAAAGTAATTGTAGGGAAATACTATACTATTGTTTGTATATAAATCAGAGAACAAAAGTGCATATTCTCTGTCAGTGGACATGATAATAATGTATGCCAAGTTTAGAAGCGTTATAGAGTCGCAGGGCCATGAAACACTGGTAGACTTTAGAAGTGGCCACATGAAATACCAGCCTGTCAGCCACAAATCTCCAGTATTGTATTGCGAGCCACAATGCAAACAACTGCTGTTATAAAAAAAAAAGCTGTTGTTAACAACAGAACGGGTCTAGAGGTCTTGTTTCCTCTGTCCGTGTTATGTATACATTATCTCTGACCATCACGACCAGGCCAGGTCGCAGTTGTAAATGAGAACTTGTTCTCAACTGGTTTACCTGGCTAAATAAAGGTGAAATAAAAATAAAAATAAAAAAATAAATAAATAGATCTGCCTCAGCCAGTATCGCTGTCTCCTCTCACAGAGGGTCAGAGTCTGGGACTGGATTGAATGGACCCTCAACAAGTCAACAAACAGATCACCGACCATTTCGAATCCCACCGTACCTTCTCCGCTATGCAATCCGGTTTCCGAGCTGGTCATGGGTGCACTTCAGCCACGCTCAAGGTCCTAAACGATATTATAACCGCGATCGATAATAGACAGTACTGTGCAGCCGTTTTCATTGACCTGGCCAAGGCTTTCGACTCTGTCAACCACCGCATTCTTATTGGCAGACTAAATAGCCTTGGTTTCTCAAATGACTGCCTCGCCTGGTTCACCAACTACTTCTCAGATAGAGTTCAATGTGTCAAATCGGAGGGCCTGTTGTCTGGACCTATGGCAGTCTCTATGGGGGTGCCACAGGGTTCAATTCTTGGGCCGACTCTTTTCTCTGTGTATATCAATGACGTCGCTCTTGCTGCTGGTGACTCTCAGATCCACCTCTACGCAGACGACACCATTTTGTATACATCTGGCCCTTCATTGGACACTGTGTTAACAAACCTCCAAACGAGCTTCAATGCCATACAACACTCCTTCAGTAGCCTCCAACTGCTCTTAAACACTAGTAAAACTAAATGCATGCTCTTCAACCGAACGCTGCTTGCACCCGCCCACCCGACTAGAATCACTACTCTCGACGGGTCTGACCTAGAGTATGTGGACAACTACAATATCTAGGTGTCTGGTTAGACTGTAAACTCTCCTTCCAGACTCACATTAAGAATCTCCAATCCAAAGTTAAATCTAGAATCGGTTTCCTATTTCGCAACAAAGCCTCCTTCACTCATGCTGCCAAACATGCCCTCGTAAAACTGACTATCCTACCGATCCTTGACTTCGGCGATGTCATTTACAAAAATAGCCTCCAACACTCTACTCAGCAAATTGGATGTAGTCTATCACAGTGCCATCCGTTTTTTCTCCAAAGCCCCATATAATACCCACCACTGTGACCTGTACGCTCTTGTTGGCTGGTCCTCACTACATATTCGTCGCCAAACCCACTGGCTCCAGGCCATCTATAAATCACTGCTAGGCAAATCCCCGCCTTATCTTAGCTCATTGGTCACCATAGCAACACCCACCCGTAGTCTGCACTCCAGCAGGTATATCTCACTGGTCATCCCCAAAGCCAACACCTCCTTTGGCCGCAATTCCTTCCAGTTCTCTGCTGCCAATGACTGGAACGAAATGCAAAAATCTCTGAAGCTGGAGACACTTATCTCCCTCACTAACTTTTAAGCATCAGTTTGTCAGAGCACCTTACCGATCACTGCACCTGTACACAGCCCCATCTGAAATTAGCCCGCCCCAACTACCTCATCCCTATATTGTTATTTATTTTGCTAATTTGTACCCCAGTATCTCTATTTGCACATCATCTCTTGCACATCTATCATTCCAGTGTTAATACTAATTGTAATTATTTTGCACTATAGCCTATTTATTGCCTTACCTCCACAACTTGCTACATTTGCACACACTGTATATATATGTATTTCTGTTGTATTTTTGACTTTGTTTTGTTTTACCCCATATGTAACTCTGTGTTGTTGTTTTTATCGCACTGCTTTGCTTTATCTTGGCCAGGTCGCAGTTGTAAATGAGAACTTGTTCTCAACTGGTTTACCTGGTTAAATAAAGGTTAAATAAAAAAAATAAAAAATATTTTATAATAGTAGTATACGTTAATAATAGTAGTATACGTTAATATTAGTAGTATACGTTAATAATAATAGTATACATTAATAATAGTAGTATACATTAATTTTAGTAGTATACATTAATAATAGTAGTATACATTAATAATAGTAGTATACATTAATATTAGTAGTATACATTAATATTAGTAGTATACATTAATAATAGTAGTATACATTAATAATAGTAGTATACATTAATAACCACAAGAGCAAAAGGTTTGTATCATCATTTTATTTTCCAAAATATCTTGATGGCGCTATCATGATCAGTAAAACTTCAAGAACATCAAAACATTTCCCATCAAATACAATCGTGTATCTTAATGCTCATGTTTTTTTTGTTTTTTTTAATACACACAAAAGCAAACCTGCATACATACATTTTCTAAATCGACATTTACATATTATTTTGTTTTCAATCGGTACATACAGTAAAAACTACCACACGATTGCTCTTTGAAAATGTGAGAATACACATCCATATTATTTTAATTTATTACAACTTAGCTTAGGGGTATATCCTAACTTGCACTTATGTCGAATTTTCACTTGGCCATGCATTGATGTCAATGGTAGAGTAAGTGAAAGATACACTTAAGTGGAAGTTAGAATTCATCCCTTAAAGTTGGTGCTATCATTGTTCTTCTGTGTTCCTTTTGTTTTTTAGAACCAGCATCAAAGGTCAAAGGTACAGGAAGATATTTAGGAGAGTAACTTCTCTCCTCTTTTAATAGCAAGCAATAACACTGAACAATTCATTATTGGACAAAAAGATCATTCTGTAACTGTTGACATTTTGGGGGTTGAGGAAGAGGAGGACCGAAGAAAAGAAGAAGTGAATTCCTCTTCAGTAAACAGTCACCATCTGACCCCAACATATTCCCCTCAAGCTGAAGAGCCAGAGCCAATGTCTTTCTGTCTGTTTCTTTCTTTGTGCAGTCAGTGCTGTGTTTCTGACAGATCTTAGTTCTTAGTCCCTGGGTAACGTCCCCCCGTCCAGTCAGAACAGAAAAGCCTCTCTTTCCGGAGAAGAAACAAGACTTAGGTGGGATGAGAGTCCTGGCAGACACTGATCACACACACACCACACACTCCTGTGTTCAACTCAAATAGTACTTTATTTCTATGGTGTCACACACAGCCGTTCTCATGTCGGGGCTTGCGTTGCGGCCTCTCTACCATAGTGTGAGGGACAGGGGGGTAGAGGGAAGGAGCCAGGGTGCACAGGAAGCCGGCCAATAGGGTGAGACCTAGGCCCCCCCATGCGCAGAACATGGACCAACCATAACCATGACTGATGTCTTCTGGGATCCCATACATGTAGCGAGGATAACGGGACAGTTCAAAGTTGATCCCTGATACACATGTACACAGAGAGATGATACAGCATGTTCCTGATGGGGGGGGGGAAGCAAGAGAGAGAGAGAGAGAGAGAGAGAGAGAGCAGGAGAGAGAGGGAGAGAGGAGGGAGAGAGAGAGCGGTAGAGAAGGGGAGAGAGGAGATAAGTTAATATTCCATGAAATAGGGAGTGTTTTCCCCCAACACACATTTGACTTCCTGGCCATCCTCTATACATGGGCAGTTTATACAAGACCGTTTCATGCATTTGTCGATGGTATTAGAATGATTTCTGAATTCCCACCCAGCCAATCAGAGGGCAGGGCAGGTAGCCTAGCCTATCCTAGCGGCTAGAGCATTGGGCCAGTAACCAAAATGCTACTGGTTCAAATACAGTGGGGGAAAAAAGTATTTAGTCAGCCACCAATTGTGCAAGTTCTCCCACTTAAAAAGATGAGAGAGGCCTATAATTTTCATCATAGGTACACGTCAACTATGACAGACAAAATGAGGAAAAAAAATCCAGAAAATCACATTGTAGGATTTTTAATGAATTTATTTGCAAATTATGGTGGAAAATAAGTATTTGGTCAATAACAAAAGTTTCTCAATATTTTGTTATATACCCTTTGTTGGCAATGACACAGGTCAAACGTTTTCTGTAAGTCTTCACAAGGTTTTCACACACTGTTGCTGGTATTTTGGCCCATTCCTCCATGCAGATCTCCTCTAGAGCAGTGACTCTCTCCTCTTCCATCCTCTGCTCAATCCTTCTCCCTCCAATCTCCTGATTCTGCCTCCTCAACCCTCCTCTCCTCCCTTTCTGCATCCTTTGACTCTCTATGTCCCCTATCCTCCCGGCCGGCTCGGTCCTCCCCTCCAGCTCCGTGGCTTGATGGACTCATTGCAAGCTCACAGAACAGAGCTCCGGGCAGCTGAGCGGAAATGGAAGAAAACTAGACTCCCTGCGGACCTGGCATCTTTTCACTCCCTCCTCTCTACATTTTCATCATCTGTTTCTGCTGCTAAGGCCACATTCTACCACTCTAAATTCCAAGCATCTGCCTCTAACCCTAGGAAGCTCTTTGCCACATTCTCCTCCCTGCTGAATCCTCCTTCCCCCCCCCCCCCCCCCTCCTCCCTCTCTGTGGATGACTTCGTCAACCACTTTGAAAAGAAGGTTGACGACATCCGATCCTCGTTTGTTAGTCAAATGACACTGCTGGTCCTGCTCACACTGCCCTACCCTATGCTTTGACTTTCTTTCTCCCCCTCTCTCTCCAGATAAAATCTTGCGACTTGTGACTGCAGGCCGCCCAACAAACCTGCCCGCTTTGACCCTATCCCCTCCTCTCTTCTCCAGACCATCTCCGGTGACCTTCTCCCCTACCTCACCTCGCTGATCAACTCATCCTTGACCGCTGGCTATGTCCCCTTCCGTCTTCAAGAGAGCGAGAGTTGCACCCCTTCTCAAAAAAACAACACTCGATCCCTCTGATGTCAACAACTACAGACCAGTATCCCTTCTTTCTTTTCTTTCCAAAACTATTGAGCGTGCCGTCTTTAGCCAACTCTCTTGCTATCTCTCTCAGAATGACCTTCTTGATCCAAACCAGTCAGGTTTCAGGACTGGTCATTCAACTGAGACTGCTCTTCTCTGTGTCACGGAGGCTCTCCGCACTGCTAAAGCTAACTCTCTCTCCTCTGCTCTTGTCCTTCTAGACCTGTCTGCTGCCTTTGATACTGTGAACCATCAGATCCTCCTCTCCACCCTCTCCGAGCTGGGCATCTCCCGGCGCGGCTCACTCTTGGATTGGCGTCCTACCTGACCGGTCGCTCCTACCAAGTGGCGTGGCGAGAAGCTGTCTCCGCACCACGTGCTCTCACCACTGGTGTCCCCCAGGGCTCAGTTCTAGGCCCTCTCCTATTCTCGCTATACACCAAGTCACTTGGCTCTGTCATATCCTCACATGGCCTCTCCTATCATTGCTACGCTGACGATACACAACTAATCTTCTCCTTTCCCCCTTCTGATAACCAGGTGGCGAATCGCATCTCTGCATGTCTTGCAGACATATCAGTATGGATGACGGATCACCACCTCAAGCTGAACCTTGGCAAGACGGAGCTGCTCTTCCTCCCGGGGAAGGACTGCCCGTTCCATGATCTCGCCATCACGGTTGACAACTCCGTTGTGTCCTCCTCCCAGAGTGCGAAGAGCCTTGGCGTGACCCTGGACAACACCCTGTCGTTCTCCGCTAACATCAAGGCGGTGACCCGATCCTGTAGGTTCATGCTCTACAACATTCGGAGAGTACGACCCTGCCTTACACAGGAAGCGGCACAGGTCCTAATCCAGGCACTTGTCATCTCCCGTCTGGATTACTGCAACTCGCTGTTGGCTGGGCTCCCTGCCTGTGCCATTAAACCCCTACAACTCATCCAGAATGCCGCAGCCCGTCTGGTGTTCAACCTTCCCAAGTTCTCTCACGTCACCCCCGCTCCTCCGCACACTCCACTGGCTTCCAGTTGAAGCTCGCATCTGTTACAAGACCATGGTGCTTGCCTATGGAGCTGTGAGGGGAACGGCACCTCCGTACCTTCAGGCTCTGATCAGTCCCTACACCCAAACGAGGGCATTGCGTTCATCCACCTCTGGCCTGCTGGCTCCCCTTCCTCTGCGGTAGCATAGTTCCCGCTCAGCCCAGTCAAAACTGTTTCGCTGCTCTGGCACCCCAATGGTGGAACAAGCTCCCTCACGACGCCAGGACAGCGGAGTCACTCACCACCTTCCGGAGACATTTGAACCCCACCTCTTTAAGGAATACCTGGGATAGGATAAAGTAATCCTTCTACCCCCCCCCAAAAAAAAATAAAATAATAATAATAATATGTAAAGTGGTTATCCCACTGGCTATAGGGTGAATGCACCAATTTGTAAGTCGCTCTGGATAAGAGCGTCTGCTAAATGACGTAAATGTAAATGTAAATGTAATGTTTTGGGGCTGTCGCTGGGCAACACGGACTTTCAACTCCCTCCAAAGATTTTCTATGGGGTTGAGATCTGGAGACTGGCTAGGCAACTCCAGGACCTTGAAATGCTTCTTACGAAGCCACTCCTTCGTTGCCCGGGCGGTGTGTTTGGGATCATTGTCATGCTGAAAGACCCAGCCACGTTTCATCTTCAATGCCCTTGCTGATGGAAGGAGGTTTTCACTCAAAATCTCACGATACATGGCCCCATTCATTCTTTCCTTTACACGGATCAGTCGTCCTGGTCCCTTTGCAGGAAAACAGCCCCAAAGCATGATGTTTCCACCGCCATGCTTCACAGTAGGTATGGTGTTCTTTGGATGCAACTCAGCATTCTTTGTCCTCCAAACACGACGAGTTGAGTTTTTACCAAAAAGTTATATTTTGGTTTCATCTGACCATATGACATTCTCCCAATCCTCTTCTGGATCATCCAAATGCACTCTAGCAAACTTCAGACGGGCCTGGACATGTACTGGCTTAAGCAGGGGGACACGTCTGGCACTGCAGGATTTGAGTCCCTGGCGGCGTAGTGTGTTACTGATGGTAGGCTTTGTTACTTTGGTCCCAGCTCTCTGCAGGTCATTCACTAGGTCCCCCCGTGTGGTTCTGGGATTTTTGCTCACCGTTCTTGTGATCATTTTGACCCCACGGGGTGAGATCTTGCGTGGAGCCCCAGATCGAGGGAGATTATCAGTGGTCTTGTATGTCTTCCATTTCCTAATAATTGCTCCCACAGTTGATTCTTCAAACCAAGCTGCTTACCTATTGCAGATTCAGTCTTCCCAGCCTGGTGCAGGTCTACAATTTTGTTTCTGGTGTCCTTTGACAGCTCTTTGGTCTTGGCCATTGTGGAGTTTGGAGTGTGACTGTTTGAGGTTGTGGACAGGTGTCTTTTATACTGATAACAAGTTCAAACAGGTGCCATTAATACAGGTAACGAGTGGAGGACAGAGGAGCCTCTTAAAGAAGAAGTTACAGGTCTGTGAGAGCCAGAAATCTTGCTTGTTTGTATGGTGACCCAAATACTTCTTTTCCACCATAATTTGCAAATAAATTCATAAAAAATCCTACAATGTGATTTTCTGGGAAAAAAATTCTCAATTTTGTCTGTCATAGTTGACGTTACCTATGATAAATTACAGGCCTCTCTCATCTTCTTAAGTGGGAGAACATTGCACATTGGGTGGCTGACTAAATAACGTTTTTTCCCCACTTGTACCTGAGCAGACAAGGTGGAAAAGCTGTCGGATGTGCCCGTGAGCAAAGGCAACTTAACTTTACTTAAAACTTATTTTTCTTAAACATGCATTGTTTGGTTAAGGTAAGTAAGCATTTCACTGTTGTATTCGGCGCATGTGGGCAAATATTGTTTGATTTATTTGATAACCCTAATTTTGCGTTCCAGGGTTGCTGTACTACTTGGCTACTTTGTGGCTGTACCCTGTAAAACAACACAGTTCACTATGTGTGTAGAGGGGCTAGACTAGAGGGAAGATTTAGAATTCAGAATAATGGCTTCCCAGTAGGATGAATGCTATGTATTCTGTGTACAGCATTTCTCTTCACCTCCCAGGAGGAAGAGCAGTCCAGCTATGCACAGCATTCTTGCGCGCGTTTGAGTGAAACAGCTCTCTCAGAACTCACCTCCCATGAGAAACAGGAGTCCAGCTACGTACTGCATCAGGTCATGCTGCTTACAACAACCCAGAGCTCCAATCACCCAGCCAAACAGGATGATGGACACAGCCAACCCATGAAAATGGCTGTCATTCTCTGCAGGTCTACACAGGGAGAGAGGAATTGGATGAAAAAATTTAAAATTCAAAAATGATTAAAAATCATTTATTTGCTGTGGTGGTGCCCCAAGTTAGTTAGACGGGAAAGGGTTTTGGGAAATTTCACCTGATGTTGAGGGTGCTCAATGTGTCTTGGGAGTAATTGATGTCAATACTTTGACAATTGTGGGGGGCCCACATTGCTATTTCAAAATTTTAATGGTCGGGGGAGGGGCTTGATTTGGGAAACTTTATTTTGGGTAGGCCCCTCTGTAGATGCTCTACAGACTATCAGTAACATTTCAAATAAATGTCTGCTAACCCTAACCCTAAACCCCCATTTCCCAAAACCCAACCCTAACCATAACCTTAGCAAGAAGTTGTTTATCAACAGATCGTTTTTTTTTTTTGATAGTATGACAATCCGGACTATCTAAATAAAGTGTGACCCAGATTTTTTATGGGGGTTCCCACCCATCCCTAACCCCTCCATATTTCCAACCATAGCTGCCCTTGTAGACCTTCTAATTCACCAGATGGAGATTGAAAGGGTTACCCGGTAATAGGAGGCATGCATCATCCTGACGAATGGTTGGTTATATTGATGTTAGATTCTGGGGGGCTAAGAGGATATAGTATTTATGGTGGCAGGCCCGAACCAAACTACAGGAAGGAAAAAAAAATTTTCAACAGGTTTTAATGGCAGAAAAAAAAAGGGGCCCATAGTCAAAATTACAAAATTTTATTGCATGGGTAGCCTTTTAAAAAAAAAAACCTTTTTAATTAAAAATTTTTTTATTTCCTTGCCCCCGTGGGAATCAAACCCACAACCCTGGCGTGCAAGACATGGGAGACAATGTACCTTTCAGCAGGACGATAACCTAAAACACAAGGCCAAATCTACACTGGCGTTCCTTACCAAGACGACACTGCAGGATTTGAGTCCCTGGCGGCGTAGTGTGTTACTGATGGTAGGCTTTGTTACTTTTGGTCCCAGCTCTCTGCAGGTCATTCACTAGGTCCCCCTGTGTGTTCTGGGATTTTTTGCTCACCGTTCTTGTGATCATTTTGACCCCATGGGGTGAGATCTTGCGTGGAGCCCCAGATCGAAGGAGATTATCAGTGGTCTTGTATGTCTTCCATTTCCTAATAATTGCTCCCACAGCCTGCGGTTACGAAACCCCTACCTGTCCCAGACCTGCTGTTTTCAACTCTTAATGATCAGCTATGAAAAGCCAACTGAGAGACCTGAGCCCTAGGACCATACGTCGGGACTACCGGCCGTGGTGACTCCTTGCTGTCCCCAGTCCGCCTGGCCTTGCTGCTATTCCAGTTTCAACTGTTCTGCCTGCGGTTATGGAACCCCTACCTGTCCCAGACCTGCTGTTTTCAACTCTTAATGATCGGCTATGAAAAGCCAACTGAGATTTATTCCTGATTATTATTTGACCATGCTTGTCACTTATGAACATTTTTGAACATCTTGGCATGGTTCTGTTATAATCTCCACCCGGCACAGCCAGAAGAGGACTGGCCACCCCTCATAGCCTGGTTCCTCTCTAGGTTTCTTCCTAGGTTTTGGCCTTTCTAGGGAGTTTTTCCTAGCCACCGTGCTTCTACACCTGCATTACTAGCTGTTTGGGGTTTTAGGCTGGGTTTCTGTACAGCACTTCGAGATATTAGCTGATGTAAGAAAGGCTATATAAATAAAATTGATTGATTGATTGATTGATTTCTTCAAACCAAGCTGCTTACCTATTGTAGATTCAGTCTTCCCAGCCTGGTGCAGGTCTACAAATTTGTTTCTGGTGTCCTTTGACAGCTCTTTGGTCTTGGCCATAGTGGAGTTTGGAGTGTGACTGTTTGAGGTTGTGGACAGGTGTCTTTTATACTGATAACAAGTTCAAACAGGTGCCATTAATACAGGTAACGAGTGGAGGACAGAGGAGCCTCTTAAAGAAGAAGTTACAGGTCTGTGAGAGCCAGAAATCTTGCTTGTTTGTAGGTGACCAAATACTTATTTTCCACCATAATTTGCAAATAAATTCATTAAAAATCCTACAATGTGATTTTCTGGATTTTTTTTCTCATTTTGTCTGTCATAGTTGACGTGTACCTATGATGAAAATTACAGGCCTCTCTCATCTTCTTAAGTGGGAGAACATGCACAATTGGTGGCTGACTAAATACTTTTTTTCCCCACTGTACCTGAGCAGACAAGGTGAAAAATCTGTCGATGTGCCCTTGAGCAAGGCACTTAACTTTACTTAACACTTATTTTTCTTAAACCTGCATTGTTGGTTAAGGTAAGTAAGCATTTCGCTGTTGTATTCGGCGCATGTGGCAAATATTGTTTGATTTGATTTGATAACCCTAATTTGCTTCAGGGGTGCTGTACTACTTTGGCTGACCCTGTAAAACAACACATTTCACTATGTGAGTATAGGGGCTAGACTAGAGGTAGATTTAGAATTCAGAATATGTCCCCCCAGTAGGATGATGCTATGTATTCTGTGTACAGCATTTCTCATTCACCTCCCAGGAGGAAGAGCAGTCCAGCTATGCACAGCAATCTGTGCGCGCGTTTGAGTGAAACAGCTCTCTCAGAACTCACCTCCCATGAGAAACAGGAGTCCAGCTACGTACTGCATCAGGTCATGCTGCTTACAACAACCCAGAGCTCCAATCACCCAGCCAAACAGGATGATGGACACGGCCATGCCGATGAAACTGGCTGTCATTCTCTGCAGGTCTACACAGGGAGAGAGGAATTGGATGAAGAAATTAATATGTCAACATGATATAAAAATCATTTATTTTGCTGTGGTGGTGCCAAGTTAGTTAGACGGAAGGTTTGGAATTACACCTTGACTGTTGAGGGTGCTCAATGTGTCTTGGGAGTAATTGATGTCAATATCTTTGACAATTGTGGGAGGGCCCACATTGCTATTTCAATTCTAATGGACGGGGGAGGGGCTGATTTGGGTAACACTTTATTTGGATAGTCCATCTGTAGATGCTCTACAGACTATCAGTAACATTTCAAATAACTGTCTGCTAACCCTAACCCTAACCCTTATTCCAAACCGAACCCTAACCATAACCTTAGCAAGCAGTTGTTTATCAACAGATCGTTTTTTTTTTGTTGATAGTATGACAATCTGGACTATCTAAATAAAGTGTGACCCAGATTTGTTATGGGGGTTCCCACCCATCCCTAACCCCTCCATATTTCCAACCATAGCTGCCATTGTAGACCTTTCTAATTCACCAGATGGAGATTGAAAGGGTTACCGCGGTAACTTACGGAGCGCATGCCACTCATCCTGACGAATAGTCTTGGTTATATTGATGTTCAGATTTCTGGGGAGGGCTAAAGAGGAGTAGTAGTATTTTATTGGTGTGCAGCGCTGAACCAAACCTACAGAGAAGGAACAAAAACAACATAGTTTCACATGGAGAGGCCATATTGAAATTACAAATATTATTGCATGTGTAGCCTACCTGATAAAAAAAATAAAATGGCTAGCAGCATGAACCATAGTTTCACCACATATATTCACATTCAGTGTTTATATTCAGTGTTTTTACATTGGCCTCCCGTCTTAGCTGCGGCTCTGTAGCCTATAGGTTTATCTCCAAAAACACCAAAAAAGAAATGGTGCCAATTCTAGTACAATGCGACCCCATGAACACACTGACACAACGTTGAGATGACACAAATAAATCAAACATCAACATTGGTGTCACATTATCAAATGATGGATGAAAAGCCGTGTTGTTGTTGTTGTTGCTGCTGCGTAGGCCTTGAATGTGGGCGGACCGCTAACCGCTAGATCAGCATTCAGCACCTCGGATAGCGCCTCATGCAGCGCTCAAATTCCGATGATGATTCGCTCTGTTCACCACATCAGTGAGAATAAAAAACGCCTTGTAAACAGACAATTGCGCCACTGACATTATATATATATATAAACAGTATAGTGTGTATGATATGACGTGATCAAATGATGAAACCTTTAAAGATGAGATCCTCCGTCTCCAGGTCGAATCCCTCTCGATGACATTTCCTCCACAGCCCGGAGATTGTGGAGTTGTACTGCCGACTGCAGAGGGACTCCATGGCCGGGGCAGGGGGCAAAAAGTGCCGCTTAGCCCGCAGGAGGACTCCCCCACTCGACCCCTTCCTCTCCACGTTATTCTCCTTCGGTAGCATACGGAGTGGGAGGTTCTGGTTGGAGATATAGATGAATCCAGGGTCGTTTCTTTTGTTGGAATAATTCTTACAACGTTCCTTGTGCCTCCTCGCATCCGTCTCGTACCAATTGTCAGTACATATTGCGACTGCTATGAGTCCCAAGGCGCAAAAAGACAAAGATAGCCCCGCAGCCGTCAATGTCCTCATAGCAGACATGATGTTCCCAGCTGCACGCGGTATAAGAAGAGATTCCTCCGGTTCCTCTCTCGTGCCAGCTGCCTGGATAATTCCTTCCGCGGGACAGCAATCAATGGCTCGTGCGGGGGAATGTGGTCGCTCTCTGCCGCAGCATCAAGCTGATAATACTGTGATGACCGTGTAATGATATATTCCTAGGCCATTATTGACAACAGATCACAAACACTATCGTTAATTGTCCCAGTACGACCAAATAGCAGTAAACATTACGTTATAAATAAATAAAAAAACATTCGGTGATGATATCAGGACGGGCCTGTATTTTGGTTCCTTTCTCTCTTGCTGTAGGTCTGCCCAATATTGCTCGAGGGATTTATTAGCGAGTCCACTAGTCGATGCCAGCAGATGGAGACAGAGCAAACATTTTTATAATAATGCATCAGCCAACACAATACTATTCACTGTCCATATAGTCAAATAAATAAAGGAAGAGATACCGTTTACAGTACATTCTAACAGAATAGTTTTAGGACTGATACCCAAACAACAACACATCACCGTCTTCCCTCCACCCTTCAGGTAGCCATGTTTGTTTCCCTCCACCCTTCAGGTAGCCATGTTTGTTTCTGTGGGGCCGGCTGGAGATGAGCTGTGTTGTGTTTGTTTGGTGGTTGGTGAGTCTGGTTGGCATGGCTCCTGCAACCCTTGTGTCTTTGAGTCATGAGAGAGAGAGAGAGAGAGAGAGAGAGAGAGAGAGAGAGAGAGAGGGAGAGTTCACATCTGTGCTTGTGTGTACAGTGGGGAGAACAAGTATTTGATACACTGCTGATCTTGCAGGTTTTCCTACTTACCAAGCATGTAGAGGTCTGTAATTTTTATCATAGGTACACTTCAACTGTGAGAGGCGGAATCTAAAACAAAAATCCAGAAAATCACATTGTATGATTTTTAAGTAATTAATTTGCATTTTATTGCATGACATAAGTATTTGATCACCTACCAACCAGTAAGAATTCCGGCTCTCACAGACCTGTTCGTTTTTCTTTAAGAAGCCCTCCTGTTCTCCACTCATTACCTGTATTAACTGCACCTGTTTGAACTCGTTACCTGTATAAAAGACACCTGTCCACACACACAATCAAACAGACTCCAACCTCTCCACAATGGCCAAGACCAGAGAGCTGTGTAAGGACATCAGGGATACAATTGTAGACCTGCACAAGGCTGGGATGGGCTACAGGACAATAGGCAAGCAGCTTGGTGAGAAGGCAACAACTGTTGGCGCAATTATTAGAAAATGGAAGAAGTTCATGATGACGGTCAATCACCCTCGGTCTGGGGCTCCATGCAAGATCTCACCTCGTGGGGCATCAATGATCATGAGGAAGGTGAGGGATCAGCCCAGAACTACACGGCAGGACCTGGTCAATGACCTGAAGAGAGCTGGGACCACAGTCTCAAATAAAACCATTAGTAACACACTACACCGTCATGGATTAAAATCCTGCAGCGCACGCAAGGTCCCCCTGCTCAAGCCAGCGCATGTCCAGGCCCGTCTGAAGTTTGCCAATGACCATCTGGATGATCCAGAGGAGGAATGGGAGAAGGTCATTGGGTCTGATGAGACAAAAATAGAGCTTTTTGGTCTAAACTCCACTCGCCGTGTTTGGAGGAAGAAGAAGGATGAGTACAACCCCAAGAACACCATCCCAACCATGAAGCATGGAGGTGGAAACATCATTCTTTGGGGATGCTTTTCTGCAAAGGGGACAGGACGACTGCACCGTATTGAGGGGAGGATGGATGGCGCCATGTATCGCGAGATCTTGGCCAACAACCTCCTTCCCTCAGTAAGAGCATTGAAGATGGGTCGTGGCTGGGTCTTCCAGCATGACAACGACCCGAAACACACAGCCAGGGCAACTAAGGAGTGGCTCCGTAAGAAGCATAAAGTGGACACATACATGTAGCCTAGTAATGGTATCGTAACATACAGACCTTCATGCTATTACTCACTTTGTTAATACAATCCATTTCTCTGTATCTCTGTGTGTCACCGTGTCACCGTGTCACTTCTAGCCAGTCTCCAGACCTGAACCCAATAGAAAATCTTTGGAGGGAGCTGAAAGTCCGTATTGCCCAGCGACAGCCCCGAAACCTGAAGGATCTGGACAAGGTTTGTATGGAGGAGTGGGCCAAAATCCCTGCTGCAGTGTGTGCAAACCTGGTCAAGACCTACAGGAAACGTATGATCTCTGTAATTGCAAACAAAGGTTTCTGTACCAAATATTAAGTTCTGCTTTTCTGATGTATCAAATACTTATGTCATGCAATAAAATGCAAATTCGGCAGTGTATCAAATACTTGTTCTCCCCACTGTATGTGTGTGTAAGTGCGCTTGTGTGTGCGTGATTTCTGGGAGTTTCCTTCTATTCTTAAATAAATGATAAAACCCTGATACAGGCCTTTTGGGTTTTTTTCCTAACTGACCTCATGCTGTGTTTTTCCATAATTTCAGATTAGTTTAGCTGAGACAAATGATTCGTCCAAAATGGCACCCTATTCCCTATAGAGTGCACTACTTTCGACCAGAGTTTGCTACAACAGGAAAAGAATGCTGCAGCAACAGGAAATGTGAATTATTATGTGGATTATAATTATTGGACATTTTTGTATGGGTCGATACATTTTTTGTAAGGGAAAATCAAGTCTGACATTTTAAAGTGGAAATTACAAAATTCAGAAGCCTTTTTAAACCTCAAATACACTACAAGTTTAAAATGTCCTGCATTGCAGGAAAGTTCTCCTGCAACACGATCAAATTAAGATCCTACATCAGTACAGGGAAAATGGTGCCATTGGGGACTGAGATAGACTGTGAAGACGCTTTAAGAGCTGTTGTGCAAGAGAGAGACAGTGTTTATCTGCAGATCTACACAAGAATCTTCACACATTGACAGCAATAGGATATCTGTTACTGATTATACTAACCTCTTGTTTAAAGCAGATCTATACAAAATATAGTTTTTTAAAGATAATCTGGGGGTCCAAAAACAACCCGTGTAACAACAGGCCTGAGGCCAGCAATGTGATGCAACTGTCCCAAAAAAAACAACACTCTTGTCTCCACCAATCATGAGAATAATGATCGTCTTTCTGTACCTTCATGTACGTTAACTATACAATTCAAGCTATGCATCTTGGTTCCCAGGAAACTTTGTGTCGTGGCGGCTTGCAGTTGTTTTCCTCACTGTCATCACACATGTATCTAATGAGGAATTGAATCTGTTAGTTCAATCATAGTTCCTCATTTAAGAGTGTGTGTGTGTGTGTGTGTGTGTGTGTGTGTATGTGTGTTCGTGCATGCGTGTGCGTGCGCATGTTTAAATGCTTTGATGCATTATTGCTGTCAAAGCCATGAGTCTTTTAACGGACCTGTCATCTTTATAAAGTGGACACATACATGTAGCCTAGTAATGGTATCGTAACATACAGACCTTCATGCTATTACTCACTTTGTTAATACAATCCATTTCTCTGTATCTCTGTGTGTCACCGTGTCACCGTGTCACTTCCTCCAATGTATTATATTATTATATAGTACTGGACCTTTAATTAAAAAGGGAACTAGCGCTTTCCCAACTTCACTTTTGGTTTGGACTTCTCTCAAAAACTCTTCAACAATAACCTCTTCTCTAAGTCAATGCTTAAAGTAGATACTGACAGTAACGTTACAAGAATAATATCACTGCTATAGTAGATACTGACAATACCGTCACAAGAATATCTCTGTTATTGTAGATACTGACAATACCGTTACAAGAATATCTCTGTTATTGTAGATACTGACAATACCGTTACAAGAATATCTCTGTTATTGTAGATACTGACAGTAACGTTACAAGAACATCTCTGTTATTGTAGATACTGACAGTAACGTTACAAGAATATCTCTGTTATTGTAGACACTGACAATACCGTTACAAGTATATCACTGTTATATACAGTAGGTCTGCTATAACTCTCCCACAAGTAAAAACATGTTTTATGTTCAATAATTTTAGTGCATTTACCAAATATAATAGTTAAAAGCCTGAACGATAGGTTGACCCTTGGTTAAGAATCTAGGCAGAAAACGGTGAAACCAAACCCATGAATGTGAATGTGATTGGTTCACATCCTCTGACAAATCAGCAACTGTCAGGAATCAGATGAAGAAGAAAAAAGTGGAAGTACAGTATGTTGTTGGTTTAATGCTCCCAGCATTGTTTTTCAGCTCTGTTTGGGCTGATAGAGGTCAACTGTATTGCATTTGAAACTAAAGGACTCCGATCAGAAACTCAATCAAAATTCAAGGGAATTAAATCTAAGGATATTTCTCAGTTATTTCATGATTATAACTGCGTGATTTTGAAAGACAAGAGCTGACACGCACAGGTTTGCAAAGTCATCTTCATGCATATGATGGAAAGCTACATAATTCCATCTGTAAGTATTGTGTATGATCTTTTGTTTGTTGCAAATGTGGCTGAGAAATGTGTAAAAAGTACATATGAAATGTGCTAAATTGTAAATAAGTCAAATGTGGGTAAATTGTCAAGATTTACAAGCTGTTCATTGTGATTTTGTTAAATATATGATAAACTTTGTATTCATATCCAATGAGATGTGTATTACACCATATCTCACTAGCAAGATATGTACTCAGCCTAGAGTACATAAGAATGACCCATTCTAGAAACACATACACTTTTGCTATCTACCTTCATTTTTGACATGCATGAGAATTATATATATTTTTTTAATCTTTCTTTCCCAAAGGCATCTGAAGAAATAATTTCATATGAACCTGAGATTTATCGACCACCAGTAGAGTTATACTCATATCTCACCAATGTTGGAGAACTTCACGATGGTGAGTGGGAAAAAAACACACACTATGAATATAATGATAAAGCTTCACACGTTAAAGACTGAATAGCTGTCCAATAGGGTTCAATTCAATTCAGTCAATTTAGCAAATAAACAATTGAAATTCCAATCGTCCTCATTGAAAATAAATTACGGTAACACATTACTTAAAGCCTGCCAGTATAACGCTTTATAGCTGTAAGTATGTGCGAGCCTTTATAAATGTCACATCAACGTTTATTTTTTTACATTTTAGTCATTTAGCAGACGCTCTTATCCAGAGCGACTTACAGGAGCAATTAGGGTTAAGTGCCTTGCTCAAGGGCACATCGACAGATTTTTTCACCTAGTCGGCTCGGGGATTAGAACCAGCGACCTTTCAGTTACTGGCACAACGCTCTTAACCACTGAGCCACCTGCCGCCCATAATATGTTATGTCTCTCTTCTGGTTTAGAGCATGGCTGGGACTACCACTCTGACCGGGGCATGCACCAGAGGGACTTGTTGGACACCTCCTCACAAGAGAGTCACCTGACAGAGCTACAGAGTGTCCATTCCCAACAGCTCCTCCAACCATATCGCTACCCCGATACCGACACCCTCCACCTGCCACTAGTAGGCCCAGGACTGGGAACCCTACCCATCTCCCCACAGGTTAGTCCACCTCTAGTAGGCCCAGGACTGGGACCTCTACCCATCTCCCCACAGGTTAGTCCACCTCTAGTAGGCCCAGGACTGGGACCCCTACCCATCTCCCCACAGGTTAGTCCACCTCTAGTAGGCCCAGGACTGGGACCTCTACCCATCTCCCCACAGGTTAGTCCACCTCTAGTAGGCCCAGGACTGGGACCCCTACCCATCTCCCCACAGGTTAGTCCACCTCTAGTAGGCCCAGGACTGGGACCTCTACCCATCTCCCCACAGGTTAGTCCACCTCTAGTAGGCCCAGGACTGGGACCCCTACCCATCTCCCCACAGGTTAGTCCACCTCTAGTAGGCCCAGGACTGGGACCTCTACCCATCTCCCCACAGGTTAGTCCAACTCTGTCTCTGATCATCTTGACAACTTATACTGTATGTATATAAAATTTGTATTTCAGATGAGAACAGTGTCAAAGCTGTGAAAAATATAAAATACCTATTGGGATAAAGCAACTCTGACAGATGGCCTAACACATAGCCTATGAAGAAAGATTCCCAGGCCTTTTATACTTTAGTGGTATACATTATCACTATCAACAATATACAATATCTAGAGATAATACTCTCTGTCTTTGAGAGGGAGGGCAGAGAGATGACTGGATGCAATGTGATAGCATACACAGTTGTCTGTGCTGGTAGTGGGTTGCTCAACGATGCGCTTTTCCTGAGTGAGGGTACATTTAGCCACGACCCTCATGAGGGTACATTTATCCACGACCCCCATGAGGGTACATTTAGCCACGACCCTCATGAGGGTACATTTAGCCACGACCCTCATGAGGGTACATTTATCCACGACCCCCATGAGGGTACATTTAGCCACGACCCTCATGAGGGTACATTTAGCCACGACCCTCATGAGGGTACATTTATCCACGACCCTCATGAGGGTACATTTAGCCACGACCCTCATGAGGGTACATTTATCCACGACCCCATGAGGGTACATTTAGCCAGGACCCTCATGAGGGTACATTTAGCCACAACCCTCATGAGGGTACATTTATCACGACCCCCATGAGGGTACATTTAGCCACGACCCCCATGAGGGTACATTTAGCCACGACCCTCATGAGGGTACATTTAGCCACGACCCTCATGAAGGTACATTTATCCACGACCCCCATGAGGGTACATTTAGCCAGGACCCTCATGAGGGTACATTTAGCCACGACCCTCATGAGGGTACATTTAGTCACGACCCTCATGAGGGTACATTTAGCCACAACCCTCATGAGGGTACATTTAGCCAGGACCCTCATGAGGGTATATTTAGCCATGACCCTCATGAGGGTACATTTAGCCATGACCCTCATGAGGGTACATTTAGCCAGGACCCTCATGAGGGTACATTTAGCCACAACCCTCATGAGGGTACATTTAGCCAGGACCCTCATGAGGGTATATTTAGCCATGACCCTCATGAGGGTACATTTAGCCACGACCCTCATGAGGGTACATTTAGCCACAACCCTCATGAGGGTATATTTAGCTAGGACCCTCATGAGGGTACATTTAGCCACGACCCTCATGAAGGTACATTTAGCCATGACCCTCATGAGGGTACATTTAGCCAGGACCCTCATGCGAGTACATTTAGCCACGACCCTCATGAGGGTACATTTATCCACGACCCTCATGAGGGTACATTTAGCCACGACCCTCATGAGGGTACATTTAGCCACGACCCTCATGAGGGTACATTTATCTACGACCCTCATGAGGGTACATTTAGCCACGACCCTCATGAGGGTACATTTAGCCACAACCCTCATGAGGGTACATTTAGCCAGGACCCTCATGAGGGTACATTTAGCCACGACCCTCATGAAGGTACATTTAGCCACGACCCTCATGAGGGTACATTTAGCCAGGACCCTCATGCGAGTACATTTAGCCACGACCCTCATGAGGGTACATTTATCCACGACCCTCATGAGGGTACATTTAGCCACGACCCTCATGAGGGTACATATATCCACGACCCCCATGAGGGTACATTTAGCCAGGACCCTCATGAGGGTACATTTAGCCACGACCCTCATGAGGGTACATTTAGCCACGACCCTCATGAGGGTACATTTAGCCAGGACCCTCATGAGGGTACATTTAGCCACGACCCTCATGAGGGTACATTTAGCCACGACCCTCATGAGGGTACATTTAGCCACGACCCTCATGAGGGTACATTTAGCCACGACCACTAGCCTAGCGAGGATAGAGCAGCAGAATAGTGCACACTCACCAACCGCAGGGCTGTGGATAGCCTAGGCTACACCTCATTTACTCAACCTCCTTATTGAGACATCATCTGAGGCACTGCAGTGAGTGGGTGAGGAAAGCCTGATCAAATACAAATGTACAATGCAACTGTTAAATCAAAGATGTATAGAATAATTGCTTTGGGGGCTATTTGAGAATGGCTTTGGGGGCTGTAGGAGAATGTCTTTGGGGGCTATGAATGCTTTGGGGGCTGTAGGAGAATGGCTTTGGGGGCTATAGGAGAATGGCTTTGGGGGCTATAGGAGAATGCTTTGGGGGCTATAGGAGAATGCTTTGGGGGCTATAGGAGAATGGCTTTGGGGGCTATAGGAGAATGCTTTGGGGGCTATAGGAGAATGCTTTGGGGGCTATTTGAGAATGGCTTTGGGGGCTATAGGAGAATGCTTTGGGGGCTATTTGAGAATGGCTTTGGGGGCTATAGGAGAATGGCTTTGGGGGCTATAGGAGAATGCTTTGGGGGCTATTTGAGAATGGCTTTGGGGGCTGTAGGAGAATGCTTTGGGGGCTATAGGAGAATGCTTTGGGGGCTATAGGAGAATGCTTTGGGGGCTGTAGGAGAATGGCTTTGGGGGCTATAGGAGAATGCTTTGGGGGCTATAGGAGAATGCTTTGGGGGCTATATGAGAATGGTTTTGGGGGCTATAGGAGAATGCTTTGGGGGCTATAGGAGAATGGCTTTGGGGGCTATAGGAGAATGCTTTGGGGGCTATTTGAGAATGGCTTTGGGGGCTGTAGGAGAATGCTTTGGGGGCTATAGGAGAATGCTTTGGGGGCTATAGGAGAATGCTTTGGGGGCTGTAGGAGAATGGCTTTGGGGGCTATAGGAGAATGCTTTGGGGGCTATAGGAGAATGCTTTGGGGGCTATAGGAGAATGGCTTTGGGGGCTGTAGGAGAATGGCTTTGGGGGCTGTAGGAGAATGACTTTGGGGGCTATAGGAGAATGCTTTGGGGGCTATAGGAGAATGGCTTTGGGGGCTGTAGGAGAATGACTTTGCATTTGTGATAAGAAGTAAATCCCCACAGAATGATGTAAATAAAAATCAGTCTCCAAAACATTTGGCCTGGACTTTTAAGGGTATTTCTCATGTATGACTGTCTGTCCATTGTGCTATTGGCAATTGTTTTTAGATTATATTTAGTTGCCCTTCCACTACTTCCTCTTTTAGTGAGATGACGGACCATTTTGACATTTCCAAAGTAACACAATCCGACAGTCTCTCAGGCCAGTCTACTAAGCAACGGTTATTTATACAGGAGATGTGTATGTGATCACCAAATCACAGAGTAATCAAAGCAAACACAATATTAAGCCTACAGAATCAAGGACCTATTTTTTAAACTCTGCATTGTTGGTTAAGGGCTCGTAAGCAAGCATTTCACGGTTAAGTCTACACCTGTTGTATTCGGCGCATGTTAAAAATAGATTTTAATTTGAAATATTTAGATTTCGGGGGTCCTGCCTAGATAAAGAGGCTAAAACATGTGGAGGTTTTCCATACTTTCATTCAGAACTAGTGCTCAAAATGGCGCCCCAAAATGTGTGTTATATTGTCATATAGATGCTAAACAAAACATACCGTACAACCATCTATCAAATGATCTGTCCATTCTTCTCCACAGATGCCGTATTACAGCCGCACGGTGTTTTACCATCAGCAGGCCCCCGTGTCCCCGAGCCACTACTGCTCAGAGGAGGAGAGACCTGGGGGCCACAGCCCCCCACTGGAGGTGTCTGAGGGAGAGGAGGAGGACTACGGAGACCATGTCCCCTCTGGGGGTGACTCCAGTGAGTCCTGACTTACTGAATGACTGACTGATCTGGCTGACTGACTGATTGACTGATCTGGCTGACTGACTGATTGACTGATCTGGCTGACTGACTGATTGACTGACTGATTGACTGATCTGGCTGACTGACTGATTGACTGATCTGGCTGACTGACTGATTGACTGATCTGGCTGACTGACTGACTGACTGATCTGGCTGACTGACTGATTGACTGATCTGGCTGACTGACTGATTGACTGATCTGGCTGACTGACTGATTGACTGATCTGGCTGACTGACTGATTGACTGATCTGGCTGACTGGCTGACTGATTGACTGATCTATTTGTAAGTCGCTCTGGATAAGAGCGTCTGCTAAATGACGTAAATGTAAATGTAAATGATCTGGCTGACTGGCTGACTGATTGACTGATCTGGCTGACTGACTGATTGACTGATCTGGCTGATCTGGCTGACTGACTGATTGACTGGTTGACTGATATGGCTAATCTGGCCCACTTCTGGACCATAATTTTAACTGGGCCGTAATACCTGGTAGATGTGGGCTGGATTTCGGCCATAATAGTTTTGTTGGCTGGGTAGGGTCCTATTCCATACAGGGATCACTGTCAATGCAAAGATTTACTATCATAATTATAATCAAAACATAACCAACAGTAACGTTTAACCGGAGTATGGGCATGTGGAAACGAGTGGGTGTGTCGAAAGGAGTGGGCGTTTCGAAAGCAAGCAGCTAATTGGTCAGATATTACTGCTCTGCCTAACCCGCTCTGGCTTTTAGCTAACCCCTAAAACTTTTCCTAACCTTACCCTAATTATCCTAACCCGCTACGTTAATTATCCTAACCTGCTGCGTAAGTTCTCCTAACGAGCTACGAAAAGTCAATTCTGACATAAACTGTATACCATCTAGTCGAAACCTCTAACCTATAGCAGAGCGCTTTTGACACACCCACTCCATTCCACACGCCCACTACCCCGGGGTGCAGTTGAAACTGGAGGAATTATGAGAAAATGTAATCCCATATGAATCCCTTATCTCCAATATCTCTACCATATCTCTCTATCCAGGTAGCAAGAGAAAGACCCGCCTGTACCAGTTCCTGCTGGATCTGCTGAGGAAAGGAGACATGAAGGACAGCGTGTGGTGGGCGGACAAAGAGAAAGGTATCTTCCAGTTCTCTTCTAAACACAAGGAGACTCTGGCTAATCGATGGGGCACGCAGAAAGGAAACAGGAAGAAGATGACCTATCAGAAGATGGCCAGGGCCCTGCGGAACTACGGCAAGACGGGAGAGATCAAAAAGGTCAAGAAGAAACTGACCTACCAGTTCAGTCTAGAGGTACTGAGGAAAGTCTCAACTACAGAGAGAAGTCACTGCCATCACTAGGGGTACCAGAGATTGTTTATGTAATGCCCCTTGATACAGGCTTTGGGAGTAGGCCTACCCTCACTGATATGCATTGCAAATAGGACAATGATGACTGTCTACTGTAATTCTATGTCATCACATTTTAAAATGATACTCCAGAAACAATCAGGTAGCCTTAAACGTGTTTATGTTTTGATTTTTTTATTGATGTTTGCATATTCCATGTTTATTTATTTACTTAACTGAACATGTCTTCATGTTCTGCATTGCATGATCTTGCTCTTGACTCTCTATCTTTGTGTCTGTGAAGGAAAAAGCAATAAACTATATGCTTTGCAAATGCTGCACTTCTTAGAAAATCATTTAGTGGAATGGAAGAAGGATCAAAACCCCAAATAATGGAAACACTAGTCTATCATGAGTAAAGACAATGGAAACGCTAGTCTATCATGAGTAAAGACAATGGAAACACTAGTCTATCATGAGTAAAGACAATGGAAACGCTAGTCTATCATGAGTAAAGACAATGGAAACGCTAGTCTATCATGAGTAAAGACAATGGAAACGCTAGTCTATCATGAGTAAAGATAATGGAAACGCTAGTCTATCATGAGTAAAGACAATGGAAACGCTAGTCTATCATGAGTAAAGACAATGGAAACGCTAGTCTATCATGAGTAAAGACAATGGAAACACTAGTCTATCATGAGTAAAGACAATGGAAACGCTAGTCTATCATGAGTAAAGACAATGGAAACGCTAGTCTATCATGAGTAAAGACAATGGAAACGCTAGTCTATCATGAGTAAAGACAATGGAAACGCTAGTCTATCATGAGTAAAGACAATGGAAACGCTAGTCTATCATGAGTAAAGACAATGGAAACGCTAGTCTATCATGAGTAAAGACAATGGAAACGCTAGTCTATCATGAGTAAAGACAATGGAAACGCTAGTCTATCATGAGTAAAGACAATGGAAACGCTAGTCTATCATGAGTAAAGACAATGGAAACGCTAGTCTATCATGAGTAAAGACAATGGAAACACTAGTCTATCATGAGTAAAGACAATGGAAACACTAGTCTATCATGAGTAAAGACAATGGAAACGCTAGTCTATCATGAGTAAAGACAATGGAAACACTAGTCTATCATGAGTAAAGACAATGGAAACACTAGTCTATCATGAGTAAAGACAATGGAAACGCTAGTCTATCATGAGTAAAGACAATGGAAACGCTAGTCTATCATGAGTAAAGACAATGGAAACACTAGTCTATCATGAGTAAAGACAATGGAAACACTAGTCTATCATGAGTAAAGACAATGGAAACGCTAGTCTATCATGAGTAAAGACAATGGAAACGCTAGTCTATCATGAGTAAAGACAATGGAAACGCTAGTCTATCATGAGTAAAGACAATGGAAACGCTAGTCTATCATGAGTAAAGACAATGGAAACGCTAGTCTATCATGAGTAAAGACAATGGAAACGCTAGTCTATCATGAGTAAAGACAATGGAAACACTAGTCTATCATGAGTAAAGACAATGGAAACGCTAGTCTATCATGAGTAAAGACAATGGAAACACTAGTCTATCATGAGTAAAGACAATGGAAACACTAGTCTATCATGACTAAAGAAGGAGCAGACAGTGGCAGCAATCATTCTCTTCCTCTGTTATCATGTTCTGCCTTCAACCTCCTCATCATGAAAAGTAATGAAAATGCACATCATGAAAAGTGAACCCATCACAGGTCAGTTTCGGGGCGTAGGCCTATACTAGTTTGGAAAGAGTTCTGAAACATAGGGTATGGCAGGTCTTAATCTCTTTTAGTTTCATTTAGAGAGTAACTTTAGCTACTGCAGCATTTTGTGGCAATATTATGTAACGTTGCTTAGTCTTAACCTCGTTGGTTAAGTTAGTTAACGTTAATCAACAACCTAACGCGTTAACAACAAGCAAGGACACCATCCACCGGGGGGGCCCAGTATGAAAAAAAATAAAATACATGTATTGAGAGTAAGTTACAGTAGTTAGTTAGTGCCTCAGCGGTAATGCAGAGGCTTATAGACATATATTAAAATAAAAATGACTATTCATATTACTATAGCAGCTGATATATGTTATTTTCAGGTAATAAAATATTCAGCTATGATCGCTATCCCCCAATAATAAAAATCAAAGGTAAGCTCTTCAAATCGTCAAACGCTGTGGCCACGCCCATAAAAGCAGTTTTGCTGACGTCTTCTCCATATCGGCCAATAGGAAGAGAGGCAACGTTTCAGTGCAAAATTTGAACCGAGTCGCAGAGGGCAAATGACGCTTGGACACAGATAACAATCTTCCGTTTGTTGTATTGGGTTGTCTTTTCGGTGGACCGTAACCAGTGTTGTCTTTTCGGTGGATCCGTAACCATGAGGAGGAGGTTTGGATGGTGTCCTTGCTTGTTGTTAACGCGTTAGGTTGTTGATTAACGTTAGCTAGCGCGCTAACTTAACCAACGAGGTTAAGACTAAGCAACGTTGCATAATATTGCCACAAAATGCTGCAGTAGCTAAAGTTACCTGTCGGTAATAACTAACATGAATGACTTGTTATGCTAACATTACTACTGTACTGTAGTACCTAACTAGATAACTTTAGCTGACTAGCTAAGTTGGGCTACACGGCTGGCTAGCTAAGTTGCTCTACACGGCTGGCTAGCTAACAAGTTGCTCTACACGGCGGGCTAGCTAGCTAACAAGTTGGGCTACACGGCTGGCTAACTAAATAACCGTTTTGTGATCGCCGCCTTGGCTTGATATCAAAATGATAACAATCTGCCATAACTATCTACTGTAAAGCTAACGTTAGCTAAACGTGTTTTTTTTTAATACAGTGACTAGCTTAACTAGATGGACTGTTTTGACAACCCAATAACGTAGTCGACTAACCAGTTTAGCCTGCCAAGAGGAATGTCAATCAACCAGCTACTGATCAGACAAAATGTCCATGACAACTTGGCAACAGTAACGTCATAGCTACGTGGCATCTGACACCTTCGAGAACCCACTCGGCTCAGGGGCGGCAGGTAGCTTAGTGGTTAAGAGCTTTATACCAGTAACCGAAAGGTCGCTGGTTCTAATCCCCAAGCCGACTAGGTGAAAAATCTGTCGATGTGCCCTTGAGCAAGGCACTTAACCCTAATTGCTCCTGTAAGTCGCTCTGGATAAGAGCGTCTGCTAAATGACTTATTATTATTATTAAGTTGTTCTATTGATCAACAACAAGCTCTGCAATGCACACAAAATAAGCCATAGCAATCCATGGACAGTGTGAACCTGATCTGTACTCTTTCCTGTAGTTGCAGGCTGCAGCATTCATAACACATTTATGTGACATGTATTTCAACTGCTTTTCATTTTCCCCTCCTGTACAGTGAAGTCCACGCCGCGGAATCTGTAGCATGTCTGACTCGAGCCCTGAACCAGTTGAAGGACATCTGGGAGGAAATAGGCATTCCAGAGGACCAGCGAGTACAGAGGACTGATGTAGTCAAGAAACATATCAAAGTGAGTTCGGGTGCTTTCCAAAAGATGATACAATAGTTTGCTAGCGTGCTACCAGATCTGTTTGTGTTGTCTTGTGGCTTGCTCAACTCCCTTGGTCATTGCCATGCATTGTTGTGACAAGGAACATAGTAGTTAGCAAATGGCAAGACAGTACAAAATGAGCTTGAGCCAGGATGGTAATTTACTTATTAACCAGTGGAATCTATTCTGACCTGTGTGTTCTATTCTACTAGGGCTTGCTGGACATGATGATCGCTGAGGAGGACAGTTTAAGGAAGCGATTGATGAGCAGCATAGAGTCCTGTCGCAAAGAGCTGGATGTTCTGTGCACTGAGCTTCAACTGTCCCCTTTTGAGGTACACTTCTCTTACTTGACTTGAGTTAGGTCTATTCCTTTTAGCTCCTAGTGGAGCAATGAGCCTTAGGAGTGCATCTCCAACATTTTTGAGGTAGCAAACTCGTGAAAAAATATGAATCTTTCTGTCTTTCGAATCCAAATTGGAACACGCAATATTGTTACAGTGCGGACATTTTACTTGCATGTGCACCTAAAATATTTTTGCTGTGTGACCTGGAATTTTTATTTAGGGCAGTGCGCCTATAGAAATGAAGGATTCTAGCTTTATTACCTCTACTCTTTTTCATTGTGATCCTGAATTTCTTTGTGTGCACCTACATTTTCCAACTTAGGCTCACACATGCTCCTTGTAAGAGAGGTCAGTGTAGAGCCATGTGTTACTTCATTGTTGTGAAGAGTTTCTCTGGTATCGAGTACTTCAGGATGTAAGAGAATAGTTAAACACTTAGATGGAGAGTTGGTTCATAGTTATTTTAATATTACAGTACTGGCGTAGCCTATTGTCAGCCGAATGACTTACATAGAAAACCTCTCCGTTTTATATAAAGCTTTCCGAGCTAATTCCATCCAACAGTTGCCACCCATTATTGAGTGTCACTCATCACCTACAATAGGATCCCCCTACATGGTATCGTGTTGCACCCTAGCCAGGATATTTCATCACGTACTTCTTCTAAGATCAGCACAAGTGGCCCCCCAGCTATCTTGGCACGCAGTCCTTCTGGCACCCACAAGAGACAGAAATAATACATGGAATTTCCTCATCCTCTCAATCCCATTCTCATGAGATCAAAGACATTTAAAAAAAATGTTTACTGTATCAAAATAAGTTATATCATTCATTATCCTAATGTTTCATCTTGTTAATGTCCCTCTCAACCATCTTGACGTGTCTACAGGAGGACGAGGGGAGGACAATGCTGCAGCTGGAGAAAGATATCCGGTCACGGCTGGAGGTGACGATGAAACAGAAGAGTCAGAGGGTCAAGGAGCTCAAGACTCTGTCCGAGCAGGACCGGGAGCTGTGTGACATCATGTGTTCAGTCCCCTTCTGTATCGACGTGGACTCTGTCCCATCGCTGGAACAACTGGACGGCTACCGCTCCTACCTCAACGGTCTCACTAAAGAGAAGGTACGTCTGCTTCGTCCTTTATGGTTTTCATACACTACCGGTTAAAAAGTTTTAGAGCACCTACTCATTCAAGGGTCTTTCTTTATTTGTTACTATTTTCTACATTGTAGAATAATAGCGAAGACATCAAAACTATGAAGTACACATATGGAATCATGTAGTAATTCAAATAGAAAATATATTTTGATTTGTTTAACACTTTTTTGGTTACTACATGAATCCATATGTGTTATTTCATAGTTTTGATGTCTTCACTATTATTCTACAATGTAGAAACTAGTAAAGAAAACCCCTTGAATGAGTAGGTGTTCTAAAACTTTTGACCAGTAGTGAACATATCCATTTGTGGGGGGGGATATGGTTTTTTATTGGTCCGTTTGTGGTTGGCGGCAGGTATCCTAGCGCTTAAGGGCGTTGGGCCAGTAACCGAAAGGTCTCTGGTTCGAATCCCCGAGCTGACTAGGTGACAAATCTGTCGATGTGCCCTTGAGCAAGGCAACTTAACCCTAATTGCTCCTGTAAGTCGCTCTGGATAAGAGCGTCTGCTAAATGACTAAAATATAAACTTAAAATAAACACTTTGTGGCCCTAAGTACAATAGACATAGGCAAGTGGGCCTGTCACTTAATTAAACACAGCAAACCCAATATACACAGATGTCTTTGAGATTAATTTGAGAATTGTATATTTGAATAGGCATGAAGTGATACAATTCGGATGTTTATTTAATAGTGCTGAGCGATTAACCAAAATGTCTGTACTATTTTGGTTTTTAAACAAGAAATTGACCGACATGAGTTCAATTATTTGAATTCCATTTCGTTCGTTTTTCTGTGAGCTCATTGTTTTTCTAGAGCTAAATCCAATCAAGTCCGAACTGTGCGATTATAGTAGGGAGTTGTAGTTTTGAACAGGCCAATAGTCTACATCAGGGGTGTCAAACGTACGGCCCGCGGGCCGGATCAGGCCCGCAAACGGGTTTAATCCGGCCCGCGAGATGATAATTTCTTTTTTTTTTTAAATATTTATTTTTTTTTTAAGTATAAAAATGCGCTGCAATTTTTCAATAAAATAAACTGCTGTTCCAATTGCGTCCACTGGATGGCGCAATAGCAATTGTGTTAAGCAAGCAAACTGTTTATACCGGGGCAGAGCAAGTAGGTCAAGCACGTGCAGCCAATGAGCTACTTTGTTTTGCCCGCGATATTTATTACGGCTTCTACTTTTAACATTATGTGCTTTGGCACCCTCATTGCCCCAATATGTCTCTGTCAAAAAAGAGAAAAGTGGACGCAGAGTGCAGAGTGTTCCAAGAAAAATGGTCATCCTATTTAATCACGGAATTGAATGGGAAAGCTGTATGTTTGGTGTGTTCAGAGCATGTTGCAGTGCTGAAAGAATATAACCTTCGTCGCCACTATGTGAGTCTTCATGCCGACAAATATGACAACTTTCAAGGACAGCGGAGATGAGAGAAGGTGAATGAACTGTTGGCGGGTCTGAAGAAACAGCAGTCTGTGTTTACTCACAGCCGAGACATCAGTGACGCTGCAGTGAAAGCTAGATACCTCATTGCTAATGAAATCGCAGTGGCTTCAAAACCATTTAGTGAGGGTGAATTTGTAAAAACATGCATGATGAAGGCAGCGGAGATTGTGTGCCCTGAAAAGCGGCAGGCTTTTGCAAATATCAGCCTGACAAGAAACACAGTTGCAGACAGGATTTCCGATCTTTCAGTGGATTTGGACAGCCAGTTGAAGCAAAAAGAAAAGTCATTTATTGCGTTTTCGGTTGCAATTGATGAAAGCACGGACATTACAGATGTTGCACAACTGGCCATTTTTTTCATCCGCGGAGTTGATGACACATTGACCGTCACCGAGGAGTTCGTGGAGTTGGTGACGATGACAGATACAACAACAGCAGCTGATATTTTTACCGCACTCGTCGGCGCGCTGGACAGGGTCGGAGTGGACTGGTCCCGCGCTGTCAGCCTGGCTACAGATGGTGCGCCCTCAATGATCGGGAAAAAAGCAGGCGTTGTGACAAAGTTCAGAGAGAAAGTGCAATCTGCAAATGGAGGACGTGATTTTTTGATTTTTCACTGTATTTTGCACCAGGAGGCTTTGTGTTGCAAGTCATTAAAGATGGATAACGTCATGAAGGTGGTCATCCAAACTGTTAATTTCATCCGATCCAGAAGCCTGAATCACCGTCAGTTTGACAGCCTTCTCAGAGAGAAAGACCACATCTATGGCCTGCCATACCACACTGAGGTAAGATGGTTAAGCCGAGGTGCTGTGCTGAGGCGTTTCTTTGATTTACGAGAAGAAATTGAACAGTTCATGGAAGAAAAGGGCAAACCAGTGTTAGAATTTCATTCCGCAGAATGGATGCCGGACCTTGCATTTATGGTGGATGTTACAGAGCACCTGAATAACTTGAACAAACAGCTGCAAGGGCGCAACAAAGTTGTCACGCAGTATTATGACAGCATACGTTCTTTCAAGTTGAAGCTGTCATTGTGGGAGACGCAACTTGCCGGTGGTGATGCAGCTCACTTCCCCTGTCTGAAAAATGTGTGCGAGACCCAACATGTGGCAGACATGAAGCGGTTCAAAGATAAAATAACTGGACTGTTACGGGAGTTTGAGCAACGCTTTCAGATTTATATTTATATGTTTTTATGTTGATGTGCTATTGTTTTTAATTGATTTTATTTTATTTGTATATTTAACCTATTCTTGACTCTGTGGTTCTTGCACTTGTTTGGGGAACAGGATTTCATTATTTTTATCTACATTTCTGCCTGAGAAATGACACCCTGATATAGTTCTGTGATCTGTGATATACTTCTGTGAATCACTGAGGCATTGTGTGTTTGTGTGTTCTTTGTCCTCAGAACTTTCATATAACTTGAGGTGTTTTATGATTAATAGTGATGTTGTACTTTTGGACACTGTCCTCAGGCTCCAGCTTTATGTTTATATGTTTTTATGTTGATGTGCTATTGTTTTTAATTGTTTTTATTTTATTTGTATATTTAACCTATTCTTGACTCTGTGGTTCTTGCACTTGTTTGGGGAACAGGATTTCATTATTTTTATCTACATTTCTGCCTGAGAAATGACACCCTGATATAGTTCTGTGATCTGTGATATACTTCTGTGAATCACTGAGGCATTGTGTGTTTGTGTGTTCTTTGTCCTCAGAACTTTCAAATAACTTGAGGTGTTTTATGATTAATAGTGATGTTGTGCTTTTGGACACTGTCCTCAGGCTCCAGCTTTATGTTTATATGTTTTTATGTTGATGTGCTATTGTTTTTAATTGATTTTATTTTATTTGTATATTTAACCTATTCTTGACTCTGTGGTTCTTGCACTTGTTTGGGGAACAGGATTTCATTATTTTTATCTACATTTCTGCCTGAGAAATGACACCCTGATATAGTTCTGTGATCTGTGAAACAGTTCTGTTAATCACTGAGGCATTGTGTGTTTGTGTGTTCTTTTTCTTTAGAATTTTCAAATAAACTTGACGTGTTTTATGATTAATAGTGATGTTGTGCTTGTACTATTTTGGACACACTGTCCTCAGGCTCCAGCTTTATGTTGTATATTGATCGTATTAAAACAAAGAAAACAATCTGAAGTTGTTGTTTTTAAGTTATATATACCATGATTTTTCCGGTCCGGCCCACTTGGGAATAGATTTTCCTCCATGTGGCCCCTGAGCTAAATTGAGTTTGACACCCCTGGTCTACATAGTTTAGTGCAGAAAACGTGGTAATGAACTATAATGACCATAATCCATTGTGCGCCTACTTGTCCAGTCAGCCACAAAGTCAAAATTGGCAATCATAAAAATCTTTTTTTTTTTTTATTGCGCTTTTTGGTCTTCAGTTAAGGTTAGGCATAAGGTTAGCAGTGTGGTTAAGGTTAGGCATAAGGTTAGCAGTGTGGTTAAGGTTAGGCATAAGGTTAGCAGTGTGGTTAAGGTTAGGCATAAGGTTAGCAGTGTGGTTAAGATTAGGCATAAGGTTAGCAGTGTGGTTAAGGTTAGGTTGAAAATCACATTTTAAGAAGAGACATTGTAGAAATGGGCGGGCTTTATTACTTTGTAGCTGTGGTAACTAGTGATGACTGTCGGTGTGGGGCAGACACAGAAGAGAAGGCGTAATGGAGTGGGATCTACCTGGAAAATACGTGATCTAAGTGATTTGATAGTTTGGTATTCAGCAGTCATATAAGAGTAGGCCTTATTTACTTTTGAAGAACTACTAAAATAGTTTATTTTTGTCAGACATCATAGGCAGCAGCTCTATAGAGATGAGATGATGACTTGGGATTAATTAATGAAGTCATCAAATAAAACTAAGGGAATACAGACAACCAAAATATTTTTTATTAAAGTGAATAAATGATGGTTAATAAGCGATAAGCAGTAATGGACAGTCGCTACCATCATGGCACTCTTATTCATTGTTTTATTCTGTGTTACAACATTCAACCCACAATGCATACTGCATTTAATATATATATATATATTTTTTTTTTTTAACTCGAAAATCGTGATTTATTTTTATATAATCAAACCAAAACCGAACAGACTTTAAACAGCACTAATCGCTCAGCACTAATATTTAACCCTAGTTTAGTTGTATGTAAGCCTTATGTCCACATAAGAATGAAGAGGACTAGCTAAGTAAATAAGTTAGGCTAATTCTCTCCATTCTACACTGAACAAAAATATAAACGCAGCATGCAACAATTTCAATGAGTTACTGTTCATATAAGGAAATCAGTCAATTGAAATAAATAAATTGTTCGTATGGAACATTTCTTGGATCTTTTTTTATTTTCAGCTCATGAATCATGGGACCAACACTTTACATGTTCAGTAATGTGTTCATTCAGACAAACCTTGGTGTCAGTGTAAGTTAAGATTGACGCTCTCCATTGTGTGTTCCAGGATCGTCGCCACGGTGAGTTTGTGGGCATCAAGCGTCAGATCATGGTGTGTATGGAGGAGCTGGACCAGCTGCCGGACACCAGCTTTGAGAGGGACGTGGTGTGTGAGGACGAGGACGCCTTCTGTCTGTCCAACGACAACATCACAGCTCTCCAACTGCTGCTGGGACAGGTGAGATCTTGGCCTACAGCCCTTTCATGTACATTCACCATTTTCCCTGTTATTTTGTGTCGGAATGCTTCATTTATTTAAAGATGTGCCATATTGTAAGAGCAATTTCTGACTGTTTTTTAGGCTCGCGTTGTGTTTTAGTTTAAACTTTATTTTTGGGATGTTTTCACTCTCGTTGGGTGGTATTTGTTAAACGATCAGATAAATGTTTACAAATGTAACACAGAAGCCCAATTGTCCATCAAAACAACACCTGACCATACTTATTGTTGTGTTATTCTCAGCTGGAGGATCGTAAGACGGCGAATGAGACAGTGTGTAACTCCTACCGCACTAAGATCCAGGAGCTGTGGGAGAGGCTGCAGGTGCCCCAGGAGGAGAGAGAGGGCATTTCAGAACACATGGTCCAGTCCAGGAAGAAGAACATGGATGCTGTGAGTTTAACATACATTTTAAAGGTTGCAAAATTCTGGTGTCTTTCCCAAAATTCCTCCAGTTTTTTTCCATAAATCCTGGATGGAGGATTCCGGTTTTCATGTTTATTCCCTCCTGATTCCAGGAATCTTCCAACCATGATTTCTGGAAAACTAGGGAATTATGGGAAAGTTACTGGAATTTTGCAACCTTACATAGTTCTTCTTTGGTAGGTCTGTAAAGTGGAAGCAATGTGGTGGAACCTCCACCACTACACTCACTCACTATATCTATCCAGACCCTGATTACAATTCACCCGTTTGCACTAGCAAGGAATGCATTTAGAATGCCTACAACAAACAACAAGGTTCAAGTTTATTTGCATTTGTAATGAATACATTGGGAAATGATACTCACCCGAGGTGAATGTTCTGAATTGAATGAATCTTCCCGCCCAGGTTATCAAGCTTGACTCGGTAACGTTTTGTAATCTCCCCAGGGTTCAGTGATAGTGTACTGGAATTTTGTAATCTTCCCCCCAGTTACTCTTTGAAGTAGTACGTTTGTAATTTTCCCCCGTTACAAGCTGAATCGGTACGTTTTGTAATTCTTCCCCCCTTACAAGCTATAATCGGACCGTTTGTAATTCTTCCCCCAGTTACAGCTGAACGGTAGTTTGTAATTTTCCCCCCAGTACAACGAATCGGTTAGTTTTGTATTCTTCCCCCAGATACAAGCTTGGAATCGGTAAGTATTGAATTCTTCCCCCCAGTTACAAGTGAATCGGTCTTTGAATGAATCTTCCCCCAGTTACAAGCTGAATCGGTACGTTTTGTAATTCTTCCCCCAGTTACAAGCTGAATCGGTACGTTTTGTAATTCTTCCCCCCAGTTACAAGCTGAATCGGTACGTTTTGTAATTCTTCCCCCCAGTTACAAGCTGAATCGGTACGTTTGTAATTCTTCCCCCAGTTACAAGCTGAATCGGTACGTTTTGTAATTCTTCCCCCCAGTTACAAGCTGAATCGGTACGTTTTGTAATTCTTCCCCCCAGTTACAAGCTGAATCGGTACGTTTTGTAATTCTTCCCCCCAGTTACAAGCTGAATCGGTACGTTTTGTAATTCTTCCCCCCAGTTACAAGCTGAATCGGTACGTTTTGTAATTCTTCCCCCCAGTTACAAGCTGAATCGTACGTTTTGTAATTCTTCCCCCCAGTTACAAGCTGAATCGGTACGTTTTGTAATTCTTCCCCCCCAGTTAACAAGCTGAATCGGTACGTTTTGTAATTCTTCCCCCCCAGTTACAAGCTGAATCGGTACGTTTTGTAATTCTTCCCCCCCAGTTACAAGCTGAGTGCCGGCGTCTGGAGCAGCTGAAGATCAAGAACATGAGGAATGTGATAGAAGCCATCAGGGCTGAGGTGGCTCTGTTCTGGGAGAAGTGTTACTACAGCCCGGAGCAGAGACAAGCCTTCACATCCTACTACGATGGTCAGTCGTTGTTTTGTAAACGCGGTATCATAGTATGTGCTTTAATTGGGAATGTACTACTGGGTTTCTCATGGACAGTTGGTCCCTATTACGAATGTAATGTACTGGGTGGTGTTCATTAGGTACAGTTGAAGTCGGAAGTTTATGTACACCTCAGCCAAATACATTTAAACTCAGTTGTTCACAATTCCTGACATTTAATCCTAGTAAAAATTCCCTGTCTTAGGTCAGTTAGGATCACCACTTTATTTTAAGAATGTGAAATGTCAGAATCATAGTAGAGAGAATGATTTATTTCAGCTTTTATTTCTTTCATCACATTCCCAGTGGGTCGGAAGTTTACATACACTCAATTAGTATTTGGTAACATTGCCTTTAAATTGTTTAACTTGGGTCAAACGTTTCGGGTAGCCTTCCACAAGCTTCCCACAATAAGTTGGGTGAATGTTGGCCCATTCCTCCTGACAGAGCTGGTGTAACTGAGTTAGGTTTCTAGGCCTCCTTAATCACACACACGTTTTCAGTTCTGCCAACACATTTTCTATAGGATTGAGGTCAGGGCTTTGTGATGGCCACTCCAATACCTTGACTTTGTTGTCCTTAAGCCATTTTGCCACAACTTTGGAAGTATGCTTGGGGTCATTGTCCATTTGGAAGACCCATTTGCAACCAAGCTTTAACTTCCTGACTGATGTCTTCAGATGTTGCTTCTATATATCCACATAATTTTCCTTACTCATGATGCCATCTATTTTGTGAAGTGCACCAGTCCCTCCTGCAGCAAAGCACCCCCACAGCATGATGCTGCCACCCCCGTGCTTCACGGTTGGGATGGTGTTCTTCGGCTTGCAAGAAACCCCCTTTTTCCTCCAAAGATAACGATGGTCATTATGGCCAAATAGTTATATTTCTGTTTCATCAGACCAGAGGACATTTCTCCAAAAAGTACAATCTTTGTCCCCATGTGCAGTTGCAAACCGTAATCTGGCTTTTTTATGGCGGTTTTGGAGCAGTGGCTTCTTCCTTGCTGAGCGGCCTTTCAGGTTATGTCGATATAGGACTTGTTTTACTGTGGATATAGATACTTTTGTACCTGTTTCCTCCAGCATCTTCACAAGGTCCTTTGCTGCCAAAACTATAGTTGGAGTGGTTGAAAAACAAAACAAGTTTTTTTAATGACTCCTACCTAAGTGTATGTAATCTTCCGACTTCAACTGTACACCATAGAGAAACATTTTGCAACTGAAAACCAAAGTAAATGCTTCTTATTAGACAATAGTCCAGGTAGTCCCACCCCTGTTTGTCAGTCTTCTTCCATTTGGTGACTGGTGAACGAAACCCTGGTTGTCCTACTGAGATTTGGTCATTTTAATGATATAGATCAATTATAGATTTGATACTTTATTCCCTCAGATGACTACACCGAGGAGATGCTGAATCTACACGAGGCTGAGCTCCTGAGTCTGAGGAAGCATTATGAGGACCACAGGGAGCTGTTTGAAGGAGTCACCAGGTGGCAAGACAGCTGGACTCTATTCCTACAACTGGAGGTGAGCACTTTACTGATGGGGAAAAAATGAATTCAAATCTTTAATCTCAATCTGTTTTGTGTATAGTTGTGTCAGTGACGCCACCTTCCATCACTCTTAACCCCACTTTTCCACCGATTCATGAGTTTCGGGTGTGTTTTCAAGTGTGTTTTCAAGTGACTGTATTTATGAAGACGTGGTTGAACTCTCCACAGAAAAAGGCGACGGATCCTTCTAGATTCAACAACCGAGGAGGGAACCTTCTTAAAGAGGAGAAGCAGAGGGCTGACCTGCAGAAAAGCCTGCCAAAGGTGAGGAGAAGTTCTGTGTTTGTTCTGATTTTTAATGTTAATTGGTTAGTACTCTAACCACAAGCTGAACTGTTCTTCTTTATGTAGCCTGATATCATCTTTTAGGATTTATTTTGGCTCTAAATGTCTTTTGTTTTTTATTGTGACACATCAGGATCCATTACATAGGGCACATTTTTAACTTGAAGCATGTTCTCTCACGTGTTCCAGTTGGAGAAGAGCCTGAAGACCCGGATAGACCAATGGGAGGAGGAGCAGTACAGAGACTTCCTGGTTAATGGACAGCGGTTCCTCCAGTTCGTACAGGAGCAGTGGGAACTACTGCGACAGGAGAAGGAGCGGGAGAAGAATGAGAGGGTGAGAATGAAGACAACAGCCCTGTTTTTAATGCTTTTAAATGTGTTTCCTGCCTCCCTTCCGCGAGGTAATCACTGATCTGAACTTGATTAGATAGACGTTGATGAGATTGAAATCAAAGTCTCCTCGACACAGTAGCTTTCCCCAATCATGTCATAATCAGGTCAGTGATTTCTTCAAGGAAGAGTGGGGGGAAAGGAATCAAATAAACATAACGACGAAGGACTATTTCCAGTGTTTCCTCGTAAACAGTGAATCCGGTTCAGATGAGAATACTGACTCTGATTTGTGAAACGAACAGCAACTGAAGAAGAGCCAGCAGATAGAACAAGACATGCTGTATGGGACTGCTCAACGAACCCCCTCCAAAAGACACCTTGCAGGGACCCCTACACCTGGCAAAGCAAGAAAGGTAAACCAGTTGATTGAACACCAATGGGGTTGTTTTTGTGATCAAATTAAAGATAGGGGGGGGGGGGGGGGGGGGTGCCGTGGGATTATTTAAGATACTCTTTGAAGAGGTAGGGTTTCGGATGTTTTGGGAAGATGGGCAGGGACTCTGCTGTCCTAGCTTCAGGGGGAAGCTGGTTCCACCATTGGGGTGCCAGGACAGAGAAGAGCTGGGACTGGGCTCAGGGGGAGCTGCCCTCCCGATAGGGGTGGGGCGGGGCGGCCAAGAGACCAGAGGTGGCAGAACGGAGTGCTCGGGTTGGGGTGTAGGGTTTGAGCAGAGCCTGAAGGTAGGGAGGGGCGGTTCCACCTCAATAACCGGAATGTGTAGCAGGGGTAAAAACAACAACCGTAATGTCTAGTCAGGGTAATAACAACTGTAATGTCTAGTCTAGTCAGGGTAAAAACAACAACAACAACAACCGGAATGTGTAGTCAGGGTAAAAACAACAACAACCGGAATGTGTAGTCAGGGTAAAAACAACAACAACCGGAATGTGTAGTCAGGGTAAAAAACAACAACAACCGGAATGTGTAGTCAGGGTAAAAACAACAACAACCGGAATGTGTAGACAGGGTAAAAACAACAACAACTGTAATGTCTAGTCAGGGTAATACTCATAAGATGGTCAAGAGATCTGCATGAAAATGGAGCAATGTGTGAACTGTCCTTTTCTCCTTTCCCCAGCTGAATGCCACTAGCAGCATCTCCAGTTCTACTCCGAACAGCACCTTACGCTCTGTCTTCGGAGGAACCATGTGCCAGTCGCCGTTACTCAGACCACCCATGTCTGCCAGCAAGGTTAGTAGACACAGCCCGTAGTGCTCAGACCACGCCTATAGCTGTCGGCAAGGTAGGATCCCCCTTTATATTCATCACCGACAGCCACGTTGAGTCTCATATCATCTCATAAGGATCCTGTCTAAATAACAGCCATGTTGAGAGTCAGTTGAAGAGGGGAAACATGGTGATAACATGAGGACTCGTAAATGCTTAAAACAAATAACGGACACTATTATACCCCGTCTGCTTCACATGAAGTGTCACAGAGAAATCCTTTCTAACCCCCCCCACCCCCCCAGATTCCTCTGAGGACCCCTTGTCGTGTTGGAAGAACCCCCCGCACAGTGGAACGCAACAAGGAGAACGTCTCCCACCTGAACTTCACGGCTCTGGGTGGTGTGCTAAGAACCCCGGCTGCTAGCCCTGCCTCACACCGTAACGTCAGCATTAACTCTGTGGCCAGCACCTATTCGGAATTTTCGGTAATTTCCTGCACACCAAATGATAAACCGAGCAACACACAATCCAGTCAGAGATGCGTGGCTATGTCTGTCTGTCTGTCAGAGAATTGCACCAGTCTTACCCTGTAAGAGAATGGTATACACTTAAAGGAAAGGTTCACCCATTTTAAAAAAAAAATGTTATATTGTTTTTGTGCATCTCTGAGTGATGTTCTATCGATTGCCTGGGTAATTTAATGTTTTCATGTGTATCTGGGTTATTGGTGTTCAAGCAGGTAGAAATCCGGCCGGTATTACGTAGCACCGTGAGAAAGTCAGCCTCACTACCCTGGAAGTTAATAGGAATACGAATTTTAGATCGCGAAAACGTCTATCATACATGTCAGATTTCAATACTGGCCGATGTCATAACTCGGGAGGATGTCTTCTCTCGAATGAGCCATTGATCGTATTTTTGCGATATTCCTACCTCGAGAAATGTGTAATTTAACAGAGGGTCTAGCACATTTCTCCTATTTTCCTGCCTCTTCAGTCCAGGGTGCATTGCATGGTGCCGTAGCCAGAGATATTATAGAAAGGAGACAGGAATCCAATGAATGGAGGAACGCTTAACGCCCCACCCAGCAGACTGTCGACCAATCGCGTTCACGTTGTCATGCTGCGTCACGCGGTTGCTAATCTAATCGTCACGCAATCCCTTCTCAAAGTCAGTGTATATGTTGAGAAACCTGCCTATTTTCCTCGAAAGTACATCATGTCACGATTCCATAACTATATGATATTACAGATGTCTCCCGAGTGGCGCAGTGGTCTAAGGCACTGCATCGCAGTGCTAGCTGTGCCACTAGAGATCCTGGTTCGAATCCAGGCTCTGTCGTAGCCGGCCGCCCCACGGGGCGGCGCACAATTGGTCCAGGGTAGGGGAGGGAATGGCCGGCAGGGATGTAGAGCATGGCGTTTGCAACGCCAGGGTTGTGGGTTCAATTCCCACGGGGGGCCAGTATGAAAAATAAAATAATGTATGCACTCACTAACTGTAAGTCGCTCTGGATAAGAGCGTCTGCTAAATGACTGAAAAAAAAAAAAAGTTATCTCATCTCGGAAAGGATTTGAAATGTTGTACTCATTGTTGACGAAATTTGTGCTGATGTTGGGTTTTTGCTCTAGCTCCCAATAGACGCCCATTCACTCCTTGAAGGAGAGCTCTCCTTGTCCCAGAATAGCCCAGAATGCACCGCGCGGCCCATTGACGTAGCATGGGCAACGTTTCCCATCTCCTCAAAAGTATATCTGCCGTTGTGAATGTTAGACTCCACTCTGTGAGGCACATCGATCTGCAGGTTGAACGTGGTGAGATTGCAGACTCCTAAATTGATAGTTCAGTTTGTTTAGGTGATTTTACAGCTAACTAGCTACGTTACATGCGCATATTGTCTTTGATATTAATGTGTGTAGCTACATTTGCTAGCCAGCCAGCCCATAGAGTATTGCATTGTGGATTTTGTAGTCGACTTGAACTGCAACAGTTTACCACAATGATTTTCCATATTGCTACCAACCTTATTATTAAAGCCAAAATGAAACATTTGTTCACAAAAAATAATTGTTATCTCACATATTAGTGTTATTTAACACTGTAAATTAGAGGAATTTGTGGTTTTGGGTGGATTTTTCCTTTAAGTGAAAGCAAGCTGTTATCGATAGCTAAAATAGGTTTCTTTTTTTTCTCTATGACCATCTAACTCTACATTCTATTTTAGAAGGATTTTGTCAACATTGAATCCACTGCCATTACCAGGTCTGTATGGATGAACATTTTTTATTTAACACAGTAACAATCGTTGAGACTCGCCATGCTAAGTTGCTAACCAAGGTTGCATGCTGAAGTTATGCCTACTTTTCAGCTTTGACTAACGTGGTGAAACCGAGAGCCTGGTCCGGTTCGGTTGGCCTAACCATCTTGTGAGGAGCAATATTAACATTTTTTAAAATTAAAGATCAAACGTACACTGTTGAACTGGACTGTGTTGCTTGGTTTTCATGGTGACTTTTCACGCAAAGGTTTTGGTTAAACTATTGTCACCTGTCCATGTTTTTCAGTGTCTTCCATCCGTCTTAACATTAAAAGAACCTTCTGGGTTTTTTTTTTTTTTGCCACACTGCATGGGAAGTTAAAAGGATGTTTCACTCAAAACACAAATCTATATTGTTTTTCCACTGACCTTCCCCAAGACAGATTTTCCTTCCTGTATTCTCGTGTTTTGTCCTCGGGTACGTGCAGGTACTGTATGTTTATTTTATATGTCTCTTTTTTTATCCTCCACAGCGAGATCTCTCAAAAGCTTCCAAACCTAACGTCAAGACAGGACATCTGAACTCTACTGGCACTCATCTCTGAGCTGAAGGGTCAGACAGAACCGCACCTGTCCCTGATTTCATCTGACTGAGTTTCACAGTTTCTGTCCGGGTCCATTTCTGCACGTCTAGATGAAGGAAATGTGTCAACGCCTACTGAATGTAACTCCAATGGTATCAGAACAGAAACTTGCACCTCTCCCTGAGTCTCAGCTCAACTGTTCTTCTAGCTCTGCCGAGGTTTCACTTGTTGTCATCTCTGAGGGTTCTGAACTACTGCCATGATCTGAATCCTTCATCTCTGAGGTTTATACTGTCCGTGATCCTGAATCCTCCATCCTGAGGTTCTGAAAACTCCAATCCTGAATCGTCCATCTGAGGTTCTGAACTACTGCGTGTCCTATCTCCATCTCTGAGGGCTCAGACTACTGACCGGATCCTGATCCCCACTCTGAGGGTTTCGACTACTGCGTGATCCTGATCCTCACTCTGAGGTCTGAACTACTGCGGTATCCTGAATCTCCTCTCATGAGGCTCAGAACTACTGCCGGATCCTGATCCTCCACTCTCGAGGGTTCGAACACTGCCTTTGATCCGATCCTCCATCTCTGAGGGCTCTGAAGCTCACTGCGTGTCCTGATCTCATCTCTGAGGGCTTGACTACTGCCGTGTCCTGAATCCTCCATTGAGGGTTCTGAACTACTGCCGTGATCCTGAATCCTCCATCTCTGAGGGTTCTGAACTACTGCCGTGATCCTGAATCCTCCATCTCTGAGGGCTCTGAACTACTGCCGTGATCCTGAATCCTCCATCTCTGAGGGCTCAGAACTGTACTTTCTGGCCTGGGGTCTTCCAGTTTTATCACTGTTTATATTGTCTGTGTCCCATTTCTACATGTCTAGATGAAGGAGATGTGCCAACACCTACCGAATGTACTGAACTCTAAAATACTCTACTCTTTTTGTCAGAAGATTTGTATAATATTTTTTTCTTCTCCATGTTTAAGCTTCTCTGATCTATGAGCTGAATGATTAATTAAATGTTGGGAGGACTTGCTAAACCTATGAAAAACAGTTTTCATGAAACTTTTAACATCCTCTCTATTTATATAACACTCCAATGATTAAAAAATAATTAATAATCCATGTTGGTGCTAGAGTACATGTTTTGTACTTCATATACTTATGGGGGATTGTTGCAAATGATTCTGCTATATAAACATTGGCATTACATTTAATCATAGTGATCTTTTAGTCATTTTTAGTCACCGTTTCCCTTTTATTTTTTTTAGGGCACCAACACGTGCTATCACAGCTGAAATGAGAATCATGTTGTTAAAAAGCAAAAGGCAATACTCTGACTGTTGGCGATTTTGCAAACTGTAATTAAATGTTTTCAAATGCATCTCTATTTCTGTTGTTTTGAATGTTACAGTATTATTGTGAGTGCAAGTGAAAAAAGCCAAGGCAGGGCAATCGGGTGAAAATAAATGTTTACTCGCAAATGAATAATCCACCACAAATATATTTTTAATAAATAATGAACATATTATTCTGATGGGGAGTAAAAAGCTGTGTTCATGAATGGACAAACGGACTGCCTGCACTTCAACAATAAAACACACATTATTGTTTTGTGTTTCAAAACGTTGTGCTACGGTGTGCCCTACTGAACATGATCCATTAAAAGGTTACTATATTTGCTGCACATTTATCTCCATAACCACTCAGCGGTATAATATACATTAATTCAAATTTAGGGCTCTATTTAATCTGTATCGCTGAAGCATTATTTAATGGTAATTTCCTATTAAACCGACATCTGCAGCGTTTACCGTGAATGCGATCTCCGCTCACGCGGGAACATTGCCCTCAAATTTAAATCACGCTGTAACGCTGAATTTCTGCGATACGGAATGAATAGAGCCCTCCGTTGTGTCATGAGATCCTCCAGCGCCCACTCCCTGTGGTCCCCATGGACCAGTAGACCCTCATATAACGTTATAAACAACATTTCTATTAGTAACATTACTAATAATATCTCTGGTATAACAGCCATTAGTTGTGTTGTGTCATGAGATCCTCCAGGGCCCTCTCCCTGTGGTTCTCGTGGACCAGTAGAACCTCTTTGATGGTACTCTGCTGGAATCCCATCTCATTGAACTGAGCCAGGAGCTGCAGGAATTCACCAGCCTGGAATAAGAATTCATTATGGAGTGGCATTAAACAATGAATAAAACATAACCTCAATTAACTTCGCAAGATTTTGCATTCTATGGGCTGGTTTCCCCCGACACAGTTTATGCCTAGTCTTGGAATAAAGATCCTCAATGGAGAAACTATTGAAAGTGCTTTTTTTGTTGTTGTTGTCCAAGACCAGGCTTAGGGCTTCTAGATTCAATGGGATCAAGCATTAGCAGACACCTGCATGACGGATGTTTTGGTTGGAGGTGGAACTGTCAAATCGGTGAGTAGCTGCTCTTGCGTCATTGTCGCGAAGCCACACCCACCCCAGTGTTTTTTACATTTACATCATTTAGGTAGAAGGATTACTTTATACCAGGGGTGTCAAACTCATTTTAGCTCAGGGGCCACATGGAGGAAAATCTATTCCCAAGTGGGCCGGACCGGAAAAATCATGGTATATATAACTTAAAAACAACAACTTCAGATTGTTTTCTTTGTTTTAATACGATCAATATACAACATAAAGCTGGAGCCTGAGGACAGTGTGTCCAAAATAGTACAAGCACAACATCACTATTAATCATAAAACACGTCAAGTTTATTTGAAAATTCTAAAGAAAAAGAACACACAAACACACAATGCCTCAGTGATTAACAGAACTGTTTCACAGATCACAGAACTATATCAGGGTGTCATTTCTCAGGCAGAAATGTAGATAAAATAATGAAATCCTGTTCCCCAAACAAGTGCAAGAACCACAGAGTCAAGAATAGGTTAAATATACAAATAAAATAAAAACAATTAAAAACAATAGCACATCAACATAAAAACATATAAACATAAAGCTGGAGCCTGAGGACAGTGTCCAAAAGTACAACATCACTATTAATCATAAAACACCTCAAGTTATTTGAAAGTTCTGAGGACAAAAAACACACAATGCCTCAGTGATTCACAGAAGTATATCACAGAACTATATCAGGGTGTCATTTCTCAGGCAGAAATGTAGATAAAAATAATGAAATCCTGTTCCCCAAACAAGTGCAAGAACCACAGAGTCAAGAATAGGTTAAATATACAAATAAAATAAAATCAATTAAAAACAATAGCACATCAACATAAAAACATATAAACATCAATCTGAAAGCGTTGCTCAAACTCCCGTAACAGTCCCGTTATTTTATCTTTGAACCGCTTCATGTCTGCCACATGTTGGGTCGCGCACACATTTTTCAGACAGGGGAAGTGAGCTGCATCACCACCGGCAAGTTGCGTCTCCCACAATGACAGCTTCAACTTGAAAGAACGTATGCTGTCATAATACTGCGTGACAACTTTGTTGCGCCCTTGCAGCTGTTTGTTCAAGTTATTCAGGTGCTCTGTAACATCCACCATAAATGCAAGGTCCTGCATCCATTCTGCGGAATGAAATTCTAACACTGGTTTGCCCTTTTCTTCCATGAACTGTTCAATTTCTTCTCGTAAATCAAAGAAACGCCTCAGCACAGCACCTCGGCTTAACCATTTTACCTCAGTGTGGTATGGCAGGCCATAGATGTGGTCTTTCTCTCTGAGAAGGCTGTCAAACTGACGGTGATTCAGGCTTCTGGATCGGATGAAATTAACAGTTTGGATGACCACCTTCATGACGTTATCCATCTTTAATGACTTGCAACACAAAGCCTCCTGGTGCAAAATACAGTGAAAAGTCAAAAAATCACGTCCTCCATTTGCAGATTGCACTTTCTCTCTGAACTTTGTCACAACGCCTGCTTTTTTTCCCGATCATTGAGGGTGCACCATCTGTAGCCAGGCTGACAGCGCGGGACCAGTCCACTCCGACCCTGTCCAGCGCGCCGACGAGTGCGGTAAAAATATCAGCTGCTGTCGTTATATCTGTCATCGGCACCAACTCCACGAACTCCTCGGTGACGGTCAATGTGTCATCAACTCCGCTGATGAATGAAAATGGCCAGTTGTGCAACATCTGTAATGTCCGTGCTTTCATCAATTGCAACCGAAAACGCAATAAATGACTTTACTTTTTCCTTCAACTGGCTGTCCAAATCCACTGAAAGATCGGAAATCCTGTCTGCAACTGTGTTTCTTGTCAGGCTGATATTTGCAAAAGCCTGCCGCTTTTCAGGGCACACAATCTCCGCTGCCTTCATCATGCATGTTTTTACAAATTCACCCTCACTAAATGGTTTTGAAGCCACTGCGATTTCATTAGCAATGAGGTAGCTAGCTTTCACTGCAGCGTCACTGATGTCTCGGCTGTGAGTAAACACAGACTGCTGTTTCTTCAGACCCGCCAACAGTTCATTCACCTTCTCTGTAGCTCAGCTGGTAGAGCACGGCGCTTGTAACGCCAAGGTAGTGGGTTCGATCCCCGGGACCACCCATACACAAAAAAAAAATGTATGCACGCATGACTGTAAGTCGCTTTGGATAAAAGCGTCTGCTAAATGGCATATTATATATTATATTATATTATATCTCCGCTGTCCTTGAAAGTTGTCATATTTGTTGGCATGAAGACTCACATAGTGGCGACGAAGGTTATATTCTTTCAGCACTGCAACATGCTCTGAACACACCAAACATACAGCTTTCCCATTCAATTCCGTGAATAAATAGGATGACAATTTTTCTTGGAACACTCTGCACTCTGCGTCCACTTTTCTCTTTTTTGACAGAGACATATTGGGGCAATGAGGGTGCCAAAGCACATAATGTTAAAAGTAGAAGCCGTAATAAATATTGCGGGCAAAACAAAGTAGCTCATTGGCTGCACGTGCTTGACCTACTTGCTCTGCCCCGGTATAAACAGTTTGCTTGCTTAACACAATTCCTATTGCGCCATCCAGTGGACGCAATTGGAACAGCAGTTTATTTTATTGAAAAATTGCAGCACATTTTTATACTTTAAATCATCTCGCGGGCCGGATTAAACCCGTTTGCGGGCCTGATCCGGCCCGCGGGCCGGACATTTGACACCCCTGCTTTATACTATTCCAGGTATTCCTTAAAGAGGTAGGGTTTCAAGTGTCACCGGAAGGTGGTCAGGTGACTCCGCTGTCCTGGCGTCGTGAGGGAGCTTGTTCCACCATTGGGGTGCCAGAGTGTTGGCTATATAAACATAATTATGCTCAAATTGAAATATCATGAAATTAAATAATGAGGATTTATATAATCCTAATCGAGGTGTAGATCACATCTCACATTCCATTGTTCAAACTTGTAAACAAGGCTGCATGGGATTTCTGTTAATGCGACTCATGGAAGCCAATGGCAACGTCCGCTTTAGGTATGGATTTGACAGCTCTGGCGCAGTTCCACCTCCGACACCGCCAAAACAACCACTATGCTTTTTACTCTTAACTACTTATTCAAACTCTGTATTTAACAAGTTTACCAAGGTCTTAGTTTTGTCCTCAAACGACTTTTTTTTAAATTAATTAAACTGTTTCACCGCGGACACATTATCTAGACATGGATTTGCAGGACCCAGTTTGGTTTTCCTGAAATTGGGCTACTTTGAAAACGATGTCGTGGGTGAAAATGTATTGGTCGAGGGTTGCGGGTTTTTTGGGCTATTTCTAAGTAGCACCGCGGCCGCCATGGCATTTCTCTTAAAAATATATATAATTCACTGTCACATGCTGTTGGCCATCAAGTAGCCTATTCATTTATATGCCATTGTAGGCTACCATTTGATACAATACATATGTTGAAATGACGATTTCACTGGAGTCATTGCAAATCGATTTGTGCCATTTGTGTAGACGACCTGGAGCTGGTAAACCATTTTAATAAATAGCCTTTAATTTCAGTTTATTGTTGTTGTAGCCTTATGTTATTATGCATTTTTTAATGGGCATGTTTAGTTAATTAAATTGGAAGTTATCAAAGCTCTATCGCAATTGCCGATCAGTTATTAGAACGCATTAGATCGACCGTAACAGTAGTCAGATTAGGCTACAGGTAAAAACAAATAAATATTTTTAACTCTGGCTGTTGTTGACAAGCAGATTCAGTTCATATACATATTAGTCATATTTAATTCAGTGATTGAAATGATGACCCCCATCCTCAGTAGCCTGTTCCAGCAGGCTATTGGGAAACAAGGACCTCTTACCTCGAAATCTTCTCGCTATTCATGTTGAATAAATGCTTCTGTTAATTTCAACTAAGCGAGCTGCTAAATCGTTCAGTTTACTGTAGACCAGGGGTGTCAAACTCATTTTAGCTCAGGGGCCACATGGAGGAAAATCTATTCCCAAGTGGGCCGGACCGGAAAAATCATGGTATATATAACTTAAAAACAACAACTTCAGATTGTTTTCTTTGTTTTAATACGATCAACATACAACATAAAGCTGGAGCCTGAGGACAGTGTGTCCAAAATAGTACAAGCACAACATCACTATTAATCATAAAACACGTCAAGTTTATTTGAAAATTCTAAAGAAAAAGAACACACAAACACACAATGCCTCAGTGATTAACAGAACTGTTTCACAGATCACAGAACTATATCAGGGTGTCATTTCTCAGGCAGAAATGTAGATAAAAATAATGAAATCCTGTTCCCCAAACAAGTGCAAGAACCACAGAGTCAAGAATAGGTTAAATATACAAATAAAATAAAATCAATTAAAAACAATAGCACATCAACATAAAAACATATAAACATAACGCTGGAGCCTGAGGACAGTGTCCAAAAGCACAACATCACTATTAATCATAAAACACCTCAAGTTATTTGAAAGTTCTGAGGACAAAGAACACACAAACACACAATGCCTCAGTGATTCACATAAGTATATCACAGATCACAGAACTATATCAGGGTGTCATTTCTCAGGCAGAAATGTAGATAAAAATAATGAAATCCTGTTCCCCAAACAAGTGCAAGAACCACAGAGTCAAGAATAGGTTAAATATACAAATAAAATAAAATCAATTAAAAACAATAGCACATCAACATAAAAACATATAAACATAAAGCTGGAGCCTGAGGACAGTGTCCAAAAGCACAACATCACTATTAATCATAAAACACCTCAAGTTATTTGAAAGTTCTGAGGACAAAGAACACACAAACACACAATGCCTCAGTGATTCACATAAGTATATCACAGATCACAGAACTATATCAGGGTGTCATTTCTCAGGCAGAAATGTAGATAAAAATAATGAAATCCTGTTCCCCAAACAAGTGCAAGAACCACAGAGTCAAGAATAGGTTAAATATACAAATAAAATAAAATCAATTAAAAACAATAGCACATCAACATAAAAACATATAAACATAAAGCTGGAGCCTGAGGACAGTGTCCAAAAGCACAACATCACTATTAATCATAAAACACCTCAAGTTATTTGAAAGTTCTGAGGACAAAGAACACACAAACACACAATGCCTCAGTGATTCACATAAGTATATCACAGATCACAGAACTATATCAGGGTGTCATTTCTCAGGCAGAAATGTGGATAGAAATAATGAAATCCTGTTCCCCAAACAAGTGCAAGAACCACAGAGTCAAGAATAGGTTAAATATACAAATAAAATAAAATCAATTAAAAACAATAGCACATCAACATAAAAACATATAAACATAAATCTGAAAGCGTTGCTCAAACTCCCGTAACAGTCCCGTTATTTTATCTTTGAACCGCTTCATGTCTGCCACATGTTGGGTCGCGCACACATTTTTCAGACAGGGGAAGTGAGCTGCATCACCACCGGCAAGTTGCGTCTCCCACAATGACAGCTTCAACTTGAAAGAACGTATGCTGTCATAATACTGCGTGACAACTTTGTTGCGCCCTTGCAGCTTTTTGTTCAACTTATTCAGGTGCTCTGTAACATCCACCATAAATGCAAGGTCCTGCATCCATTCTGCGGAATGAAATTCTAACACTGGTTTGCCCTTTTCTTCCATGAACTGTTCAATTTCTTCTCGTAAATCAAAGAAACGCCTCAGCACAGCACCTCGGCTTAACCATCTTACCTCAGTGTGGTATGGCAGGCCATAGATGTGGTCTTTTTCTCTGAGAAGGCTGTCAAACTGACGGTGATTCAGGCTTCTGGATCGGATGAAATGAACAGTTTGGATGACCACCTTCATGACGTTATCCATCTTTAATGACTTGCAACACAAAGCCTCCTGGTGCAAAATACAGTGAAAAGTCAAAAAATCACGTCCTCCATTTGCATATTGCACTTTCTCTCTGAACTTTGTCACAACGCCTGCTTTATTCCCGATCATTGAGGGTGCACCATCTGTAGCCAGGCTGACAGCGCGGGACCAGTCCACTCCGACCCTGTCCAGCGCGCTGACGAGTGCGGTAAAAATATCAGCTGCTGTCGTTGTATCTGTCATCGGCACCAACTCCACTAACTCCTCGGTGACGGTCAATGTGTCATCAACTCCGCGGATGAAAATGGCCAGTTGTGCAACATCTGTAATGTCCGTGCTTTCATCAATTGCAACCGAAAACGCAATAAATAACTTTACTTTTTGCTTCAACTGGCTGTCCAAATCCACCGAAAGATCGGAAATCCTGTCTGCAACTGTGTTTCTTGTCAGGCTGATATTTGCAAAAGCCTGCCGCTTTTCAGGGCACACAATCTCCGCTGCCTTCATCATGCATGTTTTTACAAATTCACCCTCACTAAATGGTTTTGAAGCCACTGCGATTTCATTAGCAATGAGGTAGCTAGCTTTCACTGCAGCGTCACTGATGTCTCGGCTGTGAGTAAACACAGACTGCTGTTTCTTCAGACCCGCCAACAGTTCATTCACCTTCTCTCATCTCCGCTGTCCTTGAAAGTTGTCATATTTGTCGGCATGAAGACTCACATAGTGGCGACGAAGGTTATATTCTTTCAGCACTGCAACATACTCTGAACACACCAAACATACAGCTTTCCCATTCAATTCCGTGAATAAATAGGATGACCATTTTTCTTGGAACACTCTGCACTCTGCGTCCACTTTTCTCTTTTTTGACAGAGACATATTGGGGCAATGAGGGTGCCAAAGCACATAATGTTAAAAGTAGAAGCCGTAATAAATATCGCGGGCAAAACAAAGTAGCTCATTGGCTGCACGTGCTTGACCTACTTGCTCTGCCCCGGTATAAACAATTTGCTTGCTTAACACAATTGCTATTGCGCCATCCAGTGGACGCAATTGGAACAGCAGTTTATTTTATTGAAAAATTGCAGCGCATTTTTATACTTTACAAAAAATAAAAAAAATTTTTTTTTTTTTTAAATCATCTCGCGGGCCGGATTAAACCCGTTTGCGGGCCTGATCCGGCCCGCGGGCCGTACGTTTGACACCCCTGCTGTAGACTATCTGCAATTAGATGTAGGCCTATCAGGGGCTATAGGCTACCTATCTTTATCGAAGCAAAGTTGAATTACAATCATAAACCCAGATTTTAGTCTCTATTATAAACCTGGTTCGAGCCCTGAATGCTGATTGGTTGAAAGCCATGGTATATCAGACCATATACCAGGGGTATGACAAAAATTTTTTTTTTTACTGTTTTAATTACATTGGCAACCAGTTTATAATAGCAATAAGGCACCCCAGGGGTTTGTGGTATATGGCCAATATACCACGGCTAATGGCTGTATCCAGGACAGCTGTTATCCCCCTCTCTCTCTGCCCAGTGGCTGGGCCTGACGCCTGCTCTGGCTGCTGGAGTGGATACCTCTTCTGTCTCTGCCAACCAACAGAGGTCCAATCAGAGATCAAAGGTTTATGCTTCACCTCCCGCAGGAGATGGATGGCTGCCTAAGGCGGGTCCTGTTCTGACACATTCACTCCATGGTAAGAAGTATGGATGACCACGTCGTGGCCTGTTTTTGTTTAACTACTGCAGTATAGCTCCCTCCTATAGCTCAGTTGGTAGAGCATGGTGCTTGTAACGACAGGGTTGTGGGTTCGATTCCCACGGGGGGCCAGTATGAAAATGTATGCACTCACTAACTGTAAGTCGCTCTGGATAAGAGGGTCTGCTAAATGACTAAAATGTAAATGTATCCAGGCACTCCGAGTTGCGTCATGCATAAGAACAGCCCTTAGCGAAGTGCCTGGATCAATCAATCAATCAAATGTATTTATAAAGCCTGTGGTATATTGGCCATATACCATACCCCCTTGTGCATTATTGCTTAATCATAGCAGTCAAATGAGTTAAATCGACATCCATTGATGGAAAATGATCTGGCGAGTTTAATAAGGGCGAATGATCTTTTCTCATGTCATAGCTCGCAATAATTATTATTTTGAGGAAAACCTAATTTTTCTTCTAACGTTGTTACTACGACATTCCTTCCTAATTGGCTCGATGACGTTATGGAAAAAGGGTATCTTGTATAAATATGGCAACTCCTCTCTTGCTGTGAAAAAATATTTTGGCCTAGTTTTCAGGCCTTTTGGGCGGGTTTTGAGTGGTCATTGGGGGAGAAATGTTAGCTAGACCTGGCAACCCTGGCAGGACCAGAGTCCGCAGCCGGACAATCTTCTCATGGCTTCTGGAAATAAATGCTTTCGGCATGCTTAACCGGTGTCGCTCATTCAGCGGATAGAAACATTCAACCAGTTTCCCCCACTAAGCAACGAGTCGGAGATCAGGTCTCGGGTCTCTCCTCCACCCATTACGGGGTCTGAGCCGCCGAAGCCTCCCACCATTAGATCTGACACATTTACAACCCTAGTCATTGGCGACTCCATTACCCGCAAGATTAGATTTAAAAATAATAATCCAGTGATCATACATTGTTTACCAGGGACCACCATAGTCCCTATGGCCAAGAACACAAAAATAACCTGCCTAAATGACTACTGACCCGTAGCACTCACGTCTGTAGCCATGAAGTGCTTTGAAAGGCTGGTCATGGCTCATATCAACACTATTATCCCAGAAACCCTAGACCTACTCCAATTTGCATACCGCCCCAACAGATCCACAGATGATGCAATCTATATTGCACTCCACACTGCACTTTCCCACCTGGACAAGAGGAACACCTACAGTTGAAGTCGGAAGTTTACATACACCTTAGCCAAATACATTTAAACTCAGTTTTTCACAATTCCTGACATTTAATCCTAGTAAAAATTCCCTGTTTTAGGTCAGTTAGAATCACCACTTTATTTTAGGAATGTGAAATGTCAGAATAAGAGAAGAGAGAATGATTTATTTAAGCTTTTATTTATTTCATTGCATTCCCAGTGGGTCAGAAGTTTACATACACTCAATTAGTATTTGGTAGCATTGCCTTTCGATTGTTTAACTTGGGTTAAACATTTCAGGTAGCCTTCCACAAGCTTCCCACAATAAATTGGGTGAATTTTGGCCCATTCCTCCTGACAGACCTGGTGTAACTGAGTCAGGTTTGTAGGTCTCCTTGCTCGCACACACTTTTTCAGTTCTGCCAACACATTTTCTATAGGATTGAGGTCAGGGCTTTGTGATGGCCACTCCAATACCTTGACTTTGTTGTCCTTAAGCCATTTTGTCACAACTTTGGAAGTCTGCTTGGGGTCATTGTCCATTTGGAAGACCCATTTGCGACCAAGCTTTAACTTCCTGACTGATGTCTTCAGATGTTGCTTCAATATATCCACATAATTGTCCTTCCTCATGATGCCATCTATTTTGTGAAGTGCACCAGTCCCTCCTGCAGCAAAGCACCCCCACAGCATAATGCTGCCACCCCCGTTCTTCACGTTTGGGATGATGTTCTTCGGCTTGCAAGCAACCCCCTTTTTCCTCCAAACATAACGATGGTCATTATGGCCAAACAGTTCTATTTTTGTTTAATCAGACCAGAGGACATTTCTCCAAAAAGTACGATCTTTGTCCCCATATGTGCAGTTGAAAACTTTAGTCTGGCTTTTTTTATGGCCGTTTTGGAGCAGTGGCTTCTTCCTTGCTGAGTGGCCTTTCAGGTTATGTCGATATAGGACTCATTTTACTGTGGATATAGATACTTTTGTACCTGTTTCCTCCAGCATCTTCACAAGGTTCTTTACTGTTGTTCTGGGATTGATTTGCACTTTTCGCACCAAAGTACGTTCATCTTAGTGTATGTAAACTTCTGACCCACTGGAATTGTGATACAGTGAATTAAACAATTGTTGGAAAAATTACTTGTGTCATGCACAATGTAGATGTCCTAACCGACTTGCCAAAACTATAGTTTGTTAACAAGAAATGTGTGGAGTGGTTGAAAAATGAGTTTTAATGACTCCAACCTAAGTGTATGTAAACTTCAGACTTCAACTGTACGTGAGAATGCTATTCATTGACTACAGCTCAGCGTTCAACACCGTAGTGCCCTCAAAGCTCATCACTATGCTAAGGACCCTGGGACTAAACACCTCCCTCTGCAACTGGATCCTGGACTTCCTGACGGGCAGCCCCCAGGTGGTAAGTGTAGGTAACAACACAACTTCCACGCTGATCCTCAACACGGGGGCCCCTCAGGGGTGCATGCTCAGTCCCCTCCTGTACTCCCTGTTCACCCATGGCTGCATGGCCAGGCACCACTCCAACACCATCATTAAGTTTGCCGACGACACAACAGTAGTAGGCCTGATCACCGACAACGATGAGACAGCCTATAGGGAGGAGGTCAGAGACCTGGCCGTGTGGTGCCAGGATAACAACCTCTCCCTCAACGTGATCAAGAAAAAGGAGATGATTGTGGACTACAGGAGGACTGAGCACGCCCCCATCCTCATTGACGGGGCTGTAGGGGAACAGGTTGAGAGCTTCAAGTTCCTTGGTGTCCACATCACCAACAAACTATCATGGTCCAAACACACCAAGACAGTCGTGAAGAGGGCACGACAAAGCCTATTCCCCCTCAGGAGACTGAAAAGATTTGGCATGGGTCCTCAGATCCTCAAAAAGCTCTGCAGCTGCACCATCGAGAGCATCCTGACTGGTTGCATCACTGCCTGGTAGGGCAACTGCTCGGCCTCCGACCGCAAGGCACTACAGAGGGTAGTGCGTACGGCCCAGTACATCACTGGGGCCAAGCTTCCTGCCATCCAGGACCTCTATACCAGGCGGGGTCAGAGGAAGGCCCTAAAAATGGTCAAAAACTCTGGCCACCCTAGTCATAGACTGTTCTCTCTGCTACCGCACGGCAAGCGGTACCGGAGCGCCAAGTCTAGGTCCAAAAGGCTCCTTAACAGCTTCTACCCCCAAGCCATAAAACTCCTGAACAGCTAATCATTGCTACCCGAACTATTTGCATTGTCCCCCCACCACACCCCACCCCCTCTTTTACGATGCTGCTACTCTCTGTTTATTATCTATGCATAGTCACTTTAACTCTACCCACATGTACATATTACCTCAATTACCTCGACTAACCGGTGCCCCCGCACATTGACTCTGTACCGGTACCCCCTGTATATAGCCTCCCTACTGTTATTTTATTTTACTGCTGCTCTTTAATTATTTTTTATTTTTTACTTATCTATTTTTTACTTCACTTATTTTTCTTAAAACTGCATTGTTGGTTAAGGGCTTGTAAGTAAGCATTTCACTGTAAGGGGCTTTCACCTGTTGTATTCGGCGCATGTGGCAAATAAAAGTTGATTTGATTAGAGCTCAATTTTTATGGAATGGTCTGCCTATCCATGTGAGAGACACAGGTTCAGTCTCGACCTTTAAGTATTTACTGATGACTCATCTCTTCAGTAGGGCCTATGATCGAGTCTGGCCCAGGGGTGCGAAGGTGAACGGCAAGGTACTGGAGTGACGAACCGCCCTTGCTGTCTCTGCCTGGCCGGCTCCCCTCTCTCCACTGGGATTCTCTAGTGCTCTTCCATGCCATCCCTAGGAGGGGTGCGTCACGTCGTGACAGGCTTTTTTCACTATACCCGACTTGAGTGGGTTGTGAGTCACTGACGTGATCTTCCTGTCCGGTTTTACGCCCCCCTCGGGCTCGTGCGGTGGAGGAGATCTTTGTGGGCTATACTTGTCTCAGGGTAGTAAGTTGGTGGTCTGTTGATATCCCTCTGGTGGTGTGGGGGCTGTGCTTTGGCAAAGTGGGTGGGGTTATATCCTGCCTGGTTGGCCCTGTCCGGGGGTAACATCGGACAAGGCCACAGTGTCCCCCAACCCCCCTGCCTCAGCCTCCAGTATCTATGCTGCAATAGTGTATGTGCCGGGGGGCTAGGGTCAGTCTGTCATATCTGGTGAAATGCTCCTGTCTTATCTGGTGTCCTGTGTGACTCCTGTCTGTCCCCAGTCCACCTGGTCGTGCTGCTGATCCAGTTTCAACTGTTCTGCCTGCGGCTATGGAACCCTGACCTGTTCCCTCCCTCTCCCTCTCTACCGCACCTGGTGTCTCGACCTCTGAATGCTCGGCTATGAAGTATGAGTTTAAATGTATTTGGCTAATGTGTATGTAAACTTCCGACTTCAACTGTACTTTTATCATCTCCACCTGGCACAACGAGAAGAGGACTGGCCACCCCTCAGAGACTTGTTTCTCTCTAGGTTTCTTCCTAGGTTCCTGCCTTTCTAGGGAGTTTTTCCTAGCCACCGTGCTTCATCTCCATTGCTTGCTGTTTGGGGTTTTAGACTGGGTTTCTGTATAATCACTTTGTGACATCTGCTGATGTAAAAAGGGCTTAATAAATGAATTTGATTTGTTGTGGATGTTTGCTAAAGTGGATCTGATTGAATCGAGCCCTATTCAATCCGCATTGCGGAAGTTCAGCTTTAAAGCGTGATTGAAATTTAAAGGCAATGTTCCTGCTTTAGCGGAGACTGCATTCACGGTAAACACTGCTTGTGTCGGCTCAATCGGAAATTACCTTTACATTTCTATTGCGGAATCTGTAACGCTGCAGCTTGAATAGAGCCCTTAGTCTGTGTCCGGGAAACCTGGCCCAATACTTTTACAGCTAGAAATTGCAGTTGCTTTGATATTATGGAGTGATATTAGCGGCAAAACAGAAATGGAATTAAAATGGAATAATTTGGAATGTGTAGAATCCTTTAGAATGTGTAGAATCCTTTAGAATGTGTAGAATCCTTTAGAATGTGTAGAATCCTTTAGAATGTGTAGAATCCTTTAGAATGTGTATAATCCTTTAGAATGTGTAGAATCCTTTAGAATGTGTATAATCCTTTAGAATGTGTAGAATCCTTTAGAATGTGTAGAATCCTTTAGAATGTGTAGAATCCTTTAGAATGTGTATTGAGAAGCTAACCTTGCTCTCACAGTTCTGGAACATCTCCATGGCCTCCTCCACCTGAGCCTCTTCGTAGCCCAGCGCACACAGACGGTCACTGGCCACCAGGTAACTCAGGATCTGTGGACAGAAGGGGACCATAGAGGTGAGATGACAACAGGGGTGAACAAGTACAATAGAAAAACATGGTCTCCCCCCCCCAGAGGCCGTTGGGGTCGTCGTGTCACAGGATGGGTAAACAAAACCTTACCTGTTGTGGGCTGCGGCAGCCAGTCTTCTGCAGAGCCAGGATGGCAGTGTGTAGAGGGTAGCCCTGTTCAGTGATGGTCTCCAGCAGCTCTCTCTCCTCCTGACTCAGGGCCGTCAGCAGCTCTGCAGACGAGTCCCAGCCCAGGCCGTGGGAGCTCCGGGGACGCAGAGCCTAAAGGAAGAATAGTGACAGGCTGGAGTGAGGTTAAGTGGTCTGGGTTGGGTTGGGTTACCTGTTTACTTTCTGAATTGACCCCAAAACACTCGCACTTGTCTTTCCGCGTTAGCACTGACTTTCGACGATAACTACTTTACTGGGGGAAAAAAGTACTGACTATGGACTGTGATATGTGGTTGTCTCACCTTAGCGTCTGCTAAAATGTAAAATGTAGCCTAAATGTAATTGAAATTGAATTGATCCTGGCACTAATAGAAGGTGGGATGTTTGGTATAGCAACAACCCTAGACATTCTGTAACAGGCTAACAGGAACGAACCTTGCCTCCTACACTTACAGTCTGCCTGTTGTGCTTGACTTGAGGGCCAGCTGAGGATGGTCGTGGTGGCTGCTGTGGGTTCACAGAGTTCTTCCTTCCCATTGACCACAAAGAGTGCTGCCTCTTCCTGCTGCAGTGCCTCTGGCCACCATGACACTGGGGACTTCCATCCCGACCATGCCACTGGGGACTACCGACCCGCACAGAGGACTCTTCCAGGCCAGAGGACGATGACTCCTGCTGCTGCCTGCTGCAATCCTTCCTGCAGGGCCTCTGATCGCCATGACACTGGGGACTGCTGGCCTGACCGTGGCAAAGTGGGCTGGTGGTGGGTCTGCCATGACACTGGTGGCTGTTGGCATGCCCCTGCTCCTGCGTGAGCCCAGTGAACGACCCTTGCCTCCTGCAGTCCAGGACTGAGGAAGAGTTGGCCCTCCTGCTGCGGCCCTGGTAGCCTCGACCTTGAGCCGATGAGGAGCCTGAAGATCCAAGATGGTGGTCTTTGACTCTGGACAGTGGGTGTTTTGGTGCAGAGCTTTGCGACCGTGGCCGTTTACCACCACGAGAGGCTCCACGGTGTGACTTTGAGCCTGAGGCGTTATCTTCAGTGGAGGAGCCCTCGTCGTCTTCAGAGTAGCCGGCTTCGTCATCCGAGTCGGAGACCATTAACTGGATTTTGCGGTGGCTGTGGTGGCAGCTGTGGTGGTGGGGTTGGGGGTGGTGGTTAAGGTGGCGTGCGTCCACAGAGCTTAGGCTGTGGCTCCTTGGTCGGGGGGCAGGGCTGTTCCACCTTTAATCAAATCAAACTTTATTTAAAGTGCGTTTAAAACACACTTTACAGTAAAACAATACAATTAATTAACCCTCCCGTTGTCCTAGGGTCAAAATGACCCGCCACTGTGTTGAACCAACTGTGTTTTTTTTGTGTTTTTTGGATCATTTGTGAGAAGGAGGCAGTGATACTTTCTTTAAAGTCTCACTGCCTCCTTCTCACAAATGATCCCAAAAATATAAAAATTAAATAAAGTTGGTTCAACACAGTGGCGGGTCCAGGCTACATTCATGTGATTAACATATATAAATTCATATTTTGTTCTTTATTTATTTTTTTGGACATAAAGACAATAAAAGAGATAAAAGAAGAACATAAGAAGACCTGCTGGCCCGGCGACTCTCCTGGGGACTGGAGAACATGAGCCAGTACGGGGGGCAGGAAGGGGCCGGGGCATCCCTGGGGGGGTAGCATCCTCCATGGAGCGCAGACATCACCCAGTTCTCCAAGGTGAATTCATACTGAAGAAGAAGAACACTTTATTGTCCATTGTCAGTTTAAGTGTCTTGCTCAAGGGTACAACGGCAGGATATTTTAAAATAGGCATTTAAAATAGGTTACCTAGAATCCCCCCCCCCCCCCCCCAAAAAAAAATTTTTTTTGTTAGACTCGGCAATCGAACCCTGCGCTTCAGTTGCAGGCCCATCTATAATATCTAGGCTACCTGCCAGCATTATCACAAAACAATATCACATAGCTTTGCCGTAAGCCATGTAACTAACCTCAGTGTCTTGTAGTATCTGGAGGTAGTCTGGTATGGTGAACTGTGGGGCCGTAACCAGGTCTATCTCTCCTCCCAGGGGCCCCGGCTCCTGTAATGGCCCCAGTGGTAGTGGGCCCAGAGGGCTCTTAAAGGGAACTTCCTCTAGACTGGCCATCCTGTCTGTAGACCCAGAACAAGAAAACCCACACACACTGAGGACACATACATTTACACAGAAAACTCAGGGTCATCCTGTCTGTAGACCCAGAACAAGAAAACCCACACACACTGAGGACACATACATTTACACAGAAAACTCAGGGTCATCCTGTCTGTAGACCCAGAACAAGAAAACCCACACACACTGAGGACACATACATTTACACAGAAAACTCAGGGAACAACAAGCACACACGCACACACACACACAAAGATCATAGGGCAAAACTACTCTATTCCCTTTAGTGAAATTAATTGAAATAGCAAATTCTGTCAGGTGATGGTATGATGACAAGGGGAAGGCAGCTAATAAGAAACATGTCATATCTAGAAACATGAAATAGGGCGGCAGGTAGCTTAGTGGGTAAGAGCGTTGTGCCAGTAACCGAAAGGTCGCTGGTTCTAATCCCCCCGAGCCGACTAGGTGAAAAATCTGTCGATGTGCCCTTGAGCAAGGCACTTAACCCTAATTGCTCCTGTAAGTCGCTCTGGATAAGAGCGTCTGCTAAATGACTAAAATGTAAATGAAAAGGCTCACAGTCGTCAATATTCATTGATGGCAGGCAAGGCAGTCATCTTCAATTATCGATCGCACGCATTCTCGCTCACCTCTCTCACATCCCTTTGAAAAAGTGTCCTCTCACCAGTCCACCGTGTGTGAAGTGTTGACAGGTGTACGCTGAATGACTTATACCTAGATAAATAGCCTAAGTATCAACACACAAGCTAATTCTCTTGATCACTTATAAGCCTCTGCCGTCTGACATCATCAGATGTGCTGTTGTTGACACCACATTACTAATAACGGATGGAACCAATGGGTTACAGTGCGTTCGGAAAGTATTCAGACCCCTTCCCCACATTTTGTTACGTTACAGCCTTATTCTAAAATAGATTAAATCCCCACCCCCCTTATCAAGCTACACACAATACCCCATAATGACAAAGCAAAAACTATTTTTTTGATTTTATTTCAATTGTATTAAAAAATTAAAAACAGAAATATAACATTTACATAAGTATTCAGACCCTTTTTGAGTGGAACCTAGGATGTATATCTACGGCAGGTTTATTTTCCAGGGAGGGGTTATACAATATCTCTTTTGTAACTATTCCTATTCAACCAGCCTGTTAACAGTATGCAGTATGTGACATTTGAGAGCTTTTTCAACATTTACCCGGAATTCAACATAGTTTGAAGAGATTGCAATTCCTTCTCAGCGTAACTAAAGGCAAGTCTGGGAAACCAACCCCATCTTTATTACGCAGCCTCCAGTTCTTGGCGATGTCTTCCTGGAAAGTAACAGGGAGGCCGAAGGGAAGGAGAAGATTAGAGAAACGCTGATGTGTTGATAAACAGGAACATGTTGTACAACACACTTTCAACACAGAGATTACACATGAGCTGCTTATGAACTACATGGCCAGTTCTGCGATGGTAGTCATGGTGCCATAGCGATGGTAGTCATGGTGCTACATGGCCAGTTCTGCTCTCTAACGTGGAGGCAGAGCGATAGTAGTCATGGTTCCATAACAATGGTAGTCATGGTGCCATATCGACGGTAGTCATGGTGCCATAGCGATGGTAGTCATGGTGCCATAGCGATGGTAGTCGTTGGTGCCATATTGACGGTAGTCATGGTGCCATAGCGATGTAATCATGGCGCCCCTCAGTGGTGCCATAGCGATGGTAGTCATGGTGCTACATGGCCAGTTCTGCTCTCTAACATGGAGGTAGAGCGATGGTAGTCATGGTGCCATAGTGATGGTAGTCATGGTGCCCCTCAGTGGTGTCACATGGCATTGCAAATTGAGTTTTAACAAAACAGCACAAAGAAGCTTTGAAACAATCTATATTGAGTATTAAAAATGTAAGACACAACAAATCATTCTGTACAGAGATATACATTTTATTGATAATATTTAAACAATCACGTCAATAAACTTTGGGGTGTTTTACATGTTATGATTGACCTTTGAGAAGAGAAGCATAAAATAACTGAAAAGGAACTCAAATGTATTATGATTATGATTATTATAATATTATAATCGCACATACAACATTAAAGGACATAGAACTGCATGGTTCAGTGTGAGTAGAAACAGTAAAGGCTAAACTGCAGAAGAAGAAGTGCCTAGTGATCGATTGAGGAACCATTTCGTAACACGATGTACTGGAGCATATCTAAAAGGTGAGGACGTATTCACTTTGGACTAAAACGTGGGACGTATTCACAGAAAGTATCAGAGTAATAATGCTGATACAGGATCAGTGTATCCTTTTAGATCATAACAAAATACTATTATATGGACCTGGGGGGCACCTTGATCCTAGATCAGCAACTCTGAAACCTTTTTGAATACCAGCCCTTGCCTTGCTTGATATTGATCTGAACTGTAACCCTGTAGAGGTTAGAGAGAGCTGACATAGATACATACATTCCCTAGAGAGCGGGTTAACAGAAATAAACATTCTCAACCAAGTTTTTTATTTATTTTATTTTTTATTTTTTTAAAGGCCACTACTACGATCAAATGGTCTGCGTCTGGAAAAGCACCCTATTCCCTATATAGTGCACTACATTTGACCAGAGTTCCTGGACGAATAGGGTGCCATTTTGGACGCAGTTCCGCTCTGTTTAGTGTGCTGGAGTAGGGTGTAGTACGAGGTTATGATATGTTTTCCCTAACGACAGGTGTGTTCCTGTGATACAAACAGACTATAAACTCAGCACTGATGCTTTAATACCGACATTTACAGCCCAGTAATGTTCATTATGAATTCCATTAAAAATTGGTAGATAAGAGGAAATATGGAGTTGAATTACTGCCAGAAAAGTTTTGGCACCAATTTAGCTTCATATATAAATAACATCACAATTATGATGTGCTCATAATGGAATATCACACACCCGGAGACCAGACCTGGGTTCAAATACTACTTGAATTAATCTCAAATACTTTAGCTGGGCTCAATTGAACTTAACTGTTGCAATGGAACTAACAGAATATTACCAAAAGTACAAATCCCGCCCACCTGGCACTCAAAGCACCAGTCAAAAGTTTAGACACACCTACTCATTCAAGGGTTTTTCTTTATTTTTACTATTTTCTACATTGTAGAATAATAGTGAAGACATAAAAACTACGAAATAACACATATGGAATCATGTAGTAACCAAAAAAGTGCTAAGCAAATCAAAATATATTTTATATTTGAGATTCTTCAAAGTAGCCACCCTTTGCCTTGATGACAGCTTTGCACACTCTTGGCATTCTCTCAACCAGCTTCATGAGGTAGTCACCTGGAATGCATTTCAATTAACAGGAGTGCCTTCTTAAAAGTTAATTTGTGGAATTTCTTTCCTTCTTAATGTGTTTGAGCCAATCAGTTGTGATGTGACAAGGTAGGGGTGGTATACAGAAGATAGCCCTATTTGGTAAAAGACCAAGTCCATATTCTGGCAACAGCTCAAATAAGCAAAGAGAAATGACAGTCCATCATTACTTTAAGACATGAAGGTCAGTCAATCTGGAAAATTTTAAGAACTTTGAAAGTTTCTTCAAGTGCAGTCGCAAAACCATCAAGTGCTATGATGAAACTGGCTCTCATGAGGACCGCCACAGGAAAGGAAGACCCAGAGTTACCTCTGCTACAGAGGATAAGTTCATTAGAGTTACCAGCCTCAGAAATTGCAGCCCAAATAAATGCTTAAAAGAGTTCAAGTAACAGACATATCTCAACATCAACTGTTCAGAGGAGACTGCGTGAATCAGGCCTTCATGGTCGAATTCCTGCAAAGAAACCACTACTAAAGGACACCAATAAGAAGAAGAGACTTGCTTGGGCCAAGAAACACGAGCAATCATTAGACCAGTGGAAATCTGTCCTTTGGTCTGATGAGTCCAAATTTGAGATTTTTGGTTCCAACCGCCGTGTCTTTGTGAGGCGCAGAGTAGGTGAACGGATGATCTCTGCATGTGTGGTTCCCACAGTGAAGCATGGAGGAGGAGGTGTGATGGTGTGGGGGTGCTTTGCTGGTGACACTGTCAGTGATTTATTTAGAATTCAAGGCACACTTAACCAGCATGGCTACCACAGCATTCTGCAGCGATACGCCATCCCATCTGGTTTGGGCTTAGTGGGACTATCATTTGTTTTTCAACAGGACAATGACCCAGCACACCTCCAGGCTGTGTAAGGGCTATTTTACCAAGAAGGATAGTGATGGAGTGCTGCATCAGATGACCTGGCCTCCACAATCCCCCGACCTCAACCCAATTGAGATGGTTTGGGATGAGTTGGACTGCAGAGTGAAGGAAAAGCAGCCAACAAGTGCTCAGCACATGTGGGAACTCCTTCAAGATTGTTGGAAAAGCATTCCAGGTGAAGCCGGTTGAGAGAATGCCAAGAGTGTGCAAAGCTGCCATCAAGGCAAAGGGTGGCTACTCTGAAGAATCTAAAATATATTTTGATTTGTTTAACACTTTTTTGTTTACTACATGATTCCATACGTGCTATTTCATAGCTTTGGTGTCTTCACTATTATTCTACAATGTAGAAAATAGCAAAAATAAAGAAAAACCCTTGAATTAGTAGGTGTGTCCAAACTTTTGACTGGTACTGCATATTAAAGATTTCATATAGTATTTGGACCCAGGTCTGCCATTGACAGTCAGGGCATTAGTTGTATATTGTTATGTAACACTTAAGATACTAAAACGGAACATTCCTAGCCGTTGCTATTTCTTTAAGTGTACAATATGATCCCATTCATGTTATATTTGTTTCCATTGTCATTTCAACCTCTCATCACCACAACAAAAGAGAAAACACAATCATCCTTTTAAAGAATAAAAATTGCATTATCTACCCCAACAATTGTAAATATATACAATATAGCAGGTCCACCTTAATTTCTAACTTAAAGAATTAGCCTACTGTCCAATTCACAGGACAAAAAAAGTACTTCTAGAGCTCAAATCCGTGTTGTTCATTATGAAAAAACACTTCCTCAGAGAAAAGGGTTTTTTATCGTGTTGTTGTTTTAGTACTGGCCTATACAGTCTGATGGGAGGTCTGTTTAGATGTCTCAGGTGCAGGAATTCCAGGAAATGTTTTAGGTGTTCTAATGATTCTAGATCAGTTGTTGGCTGCTGCGTCCACCTGTCTGGGCCAGTTCTCCTCTTCAATACCAGAGTCATAGTCCTCCTCTGCTGACTCCTTCTCTGGCGCCCTGGAAAATATATTTACATCGCATTTTAGTTCTTAGTGTTAGTTATGCAGAGTACTAAGAGAGAGGAGGGTCAGTATTAGTGGTAGGGTTAGTTACGCGCAGAGTGAGAGTGAGAGTGAGAGCGAGAGCGAGAGCGAGAGCGAGAGTGAGAGTGAGAGTGAGAGCGAGAGCAACAGACAGACAGACAGACACAGACAGAGAGAGAGATAGAGACAGAGAGAGAGACAGAGAGAGAGAGAGACAGAGAGAGAGAGAGAGAAGATTCAGTATTAGTGGTAGAAGCTCTCTCTTGAGAAAGATACCCCCACCCCGAGCGGGTCAGGCCAGACCTCTTCATTGAATAACCCCACAGACGAGCAACCCCAAGCGGAAAGTCAACCTCCCAGCACAGAGTACTACTCCCTCATTGAAATGAAGGATAAATTCACCCAGCTGGAGGTAAGGCAGGTGGAGCTGGAACAGCAGGTGAACACACTCCAGTCAGCACAGACCCAGACAACAGTCCAGCACAACAACACCCCCTCAACTAGACCTGGAGAGCTGCAGGTAGAGAGAGACATGTCTGCACTCTGGACTGTGGTGAGACAACATCAACAGGAGAAAGAGCAGGAGCAGGAGAAGAACAGAGCACTAGAGGAGAGGATCAGAGTGCTGGAGGAGAAGGTGAGAACGATGACGGGTGACAGAGAACAACCCATTAGAGAGCTGGCCACCCCCGCAGAGAAGCCAGCAGAACAGCCCACCTCAGATCCTGACAAAAGTCTCAACACCACAGCAGAACAGTACACCCTAGACCCTGACCATAGCCTCGAACATCACAGCCAGACAAACAAATGAAGAACCCCAAGCCCAGGGGATCCCACTCCCTCTGAGCAACCCCCCAATCAGACACCCTGATATCCCTCCTGACGACCCCCCCACACCCACTGAGGACATACACAAGCCACAGATTGTACTACTTATGGACTCAAACGGGAAATACATAAAATAAAATAAACTTTTTCCCAAACACACAGTGTCTAAACTCTGGTGTCCCAACACCCAGCGCGCCCTAGACCTTCTGTCTGAGGACCGACTAGGATCACCCAGCCACATAATAATACACACAGGCACAAACGACCTGAGAACACAGCAGGAAAAGGTGGCCACATCACTCAAGGGAGTGATAGAAAAAGCTTCTTCTACTTTCCCCAACGCACAAGTGGTTATCTCAACCCTGCTACCACGAAAAGACTTCCACCCTGCTACCATACAGCGGGTAAACGCAAGTATTTCCCGTGACTGTGCCTCAAAACCAAATGTCTACCTGGCCCACCACTCCACCCTGGACGAGAACAGCCTTTAGGACCAGATCCACCTATACAAGGCAGCAGTGCCCACCTTCGCCCGGACCCTAAAGGATATCTCCCTCAACCGCAGACCCAACACCTCACACAGGAGCAACAGATCAACAGATCAACAGACACCCCGCCCAGACCAGCGAGACTCTCTCCCAGACCTGCAGGACCCCCACCCGGACCTACACATAGAGGACCCCCGCCGAGAGGACCTACATCCAGACCACAGCACCACCAGCCACATCCACACCCCAACCAATTAACACCTCCCCAAGTCAACCCACACCCCATTTAGGCCCCCTCAGATCAGACCTATGCCCCTCCTACCCACCCCAGGCCCCCCACTCCCACAAAGAGCGCCTCAAAATGAAAGTCACACATACGCCCAGGCCGTGAGCAGGCAAACAGGCCCAACACCCCACTCTTACACTAGCCCAAGCCAATGGCATGTACCAGATGCTCAGCAGGCTCTGCTCACAATTACTGGCCTGAGGCCAAACCACACGACCAACAACATTAGACACTTTATGGAACACAAATCATTCACTATCTCATCCTGGAATATCCAAGGCCTGAGGTCATCTGCCTTTGGACTAAAGAGCAGGAACCCAGACTTTTTTACTTTAACTATTTGCACATTGTTACAACACTGTATATAGACATAATATGACATTTGAAATGTCTTTATTCTTTTGGAACTTCTGAGTGTAATGTTTACTGTTAATATTTATTGTTTATTTCACTTTTGTTTATTATCTATTTCACTTGCTTTGGCAATGTTAACATACGTTTCCCATGCCAATAAAGCCCTTAAATTGAATTGAGAGAGGAGGTTCAGTATTAGTGGTAGGGTTAGTTATGCAGAGAGAGAGAGGAGAGAGATAGAGAGAGAGAGACGAGACAGGAGAGACAGAGACAGAGACGAGACAGAGACAGAGACCGAGACAGAGACAGAGACAGAGACCGAGAGAGAGAGACAGAGGACCGAGACAGAGACAGAACAGAGACAGAGGACAGAGAAGAGACAGAGAGGACGGAAGAGAGAGACAGAGAGAGAGAGAGAGAGAGAGAGACGAGAGAGGAGAGAGACAAGACAGAGACCAGAGACAGAGACAGGACGAGACAGAGCGAGAGAGAGAGACGAGAGAGAAGAGAGAGAGAGGACAGAGAGAGAGACAAGAGAGAGAGGAAGAGAGAGACAGAGAGAGGAGAGACAGAGGAGAGAGACAGAGAGCAGAGGACAGACGAAGAGAGACAGATACAGAGAGAGAGAGGAGAGAGGAGAGACAGACGAGCCAGACAGAGACAGAGAGAGAGAGGAGAGAGAGAGAGAGGAGAGAGAGACAGAGAGAGAGAGAGAGAGAGAGAGAGATGGAGAGAGGAGATAGAGAGAGGGAGAAGAGAGAGGAGGAAAGAGAGAGAGAGAGAGAGAGAGAGCGAGAGCGAGAGAGAAGGGTCAGTATTAGTGGTAGGGTTAGTTATATAGGTCATGTGTGGCTCAGTTGGTAGAGCATGGCGCTTGCAACGCCAGGGTTTTGGGTTCGATTCCCACCGCGAACCAGTATGAAAAATGTATGAAAGTCGCTCTGGATAAGAGCGACTGCTAAATGACTAAAATATAAAATGTCAGTATAGGCGGTAGGGGAGCCAAGGTACGGTCTGTTGAGAAGTGTTTTCACTTGGGAACATTACATGGGGTTTCAGAACTGTGTTCTGTTCTTAACATACCTCTGGCATGATGAAACCAACAGGTTTCAGACCTAGGACCTGTATGACTGATAAGAGTTGGTATTTAGCTCTTCTTTAACCAGGCATTCTTATTTCTGTTTCCCCCCTATGTTCTTAGTGGGTTTCTCTGTTTACAGCCTAAGACAAACACTTGCCATTCTATAATAAGATTTGAGACGTGATAATAAGAACCAAACAGGTGCCGACTAACCTGACGTATTGTGGTTCTGATTTACCCTGGACCACGTCCTCCGTTACCTCTACAGCCATGATGTCTGAACACGGTACCTCAAACATTGGCTCCAGAAGAAGCTTCTCCTGTATTAAAAAGAGAGAGATTTCACACAGCAAACTGAAACAGGACATGGATATGAAATAATTAATTTCGCCTTCACTACATCGTCGCAGAAGTCACTCACCATAATAGAAATATCACTTCAATTTACCATCAGCAATTGAAGCCATTGTGTGTATATTGTGACTTTTGATGAGACTCAAATACTGAACTTATGGGAATTGAGTACGTTATTGTGCATAATTCTTGTATTGACTGACCATGATGGACCTCAGGCCACGGGCTCCTGTCTTCCTCTCCAGAGCCAGCCTGGCGATGGCCCTCAGTGCATCTGTGGTTACATTCAGTTCACACTGGAACGCAAATCACAGAGAGAGAGAGGAACACCCAGGTTAAAACAGGAACTGAGACACAGGCAGAGTGAATGTGAAATGCACATCCAAAGACAAAAAAAAAAAAAATGCTGTTTTATTGTCACACACACTGGATAGGTGCAGTGAAATGTGTTGTTTTACAGGGTCAGCCATAGTAGTCCGGCGTCCCTGGAGCAAATTAGGGTTAAGTGCCTTGCTCAAGGGTACATCGGCATACATTTCACCTTGTCAGCTCGGGTATTCGAACCAGCGACCTTTCAGTTACGGGTCCAACGCACTAACCGCTAGGCTACCTGCCGAACTAGACTAAACAAGACAAAAACACATCCTTGATACTGACAATATTATCTGTGTAGTTTGTGTTTGCTATGTAGCCAGCTGTAGGTAGCCAATAGATTCTCAGCAGGGGAGATGTGGTTCCAGCCCCGAGAAAGAAGGCCTTTCCTTCCTCATCTTGTCCATGCTGAACCGGGGCTGGTACTGGGACTGCTGCTGCTAAATACTACTAACTACTACACTACTACTAACTACTACTACTACTACTACTACCACTACTATACTACTACTACTACTACTACTACTATAGCTGATACTACTACTTACTACTACTACTACTAACTACTACTACTACTACTACTACTTACACTACTACTCTACTACTACTACTACTACTACTACTACTACTACTACTACTGCTACTACTACTACTACTACTAACTACTACTACTACTACTACTACTACTACTACTACTACTACTACTACTACTACTCTACTACTACTACTACTACTACTACTACTACTACTACTACTACTACTACTACTACTACTAACTTATATTACTACTACTACTACCTACTACTAACTTACTACTACTACTTCAGTGTTATGAGGTATTTTTGTCAGATGTTACCATGTTATACTGAAGTATAATTACATTAAGTTTATGCAACGAGTCAATATTTGCAGTGTTGACCCTTCTTTTTCAAGACCTCTGCAATCCACCCTGGCATGCTGTCAATTAACTTCTGGGCCACATCCTGACTGATGGCAGCCCATTCTTGCATAATCAATGCTAGGAGTTTGTCAGAATTTGTGGGTTTTTGTTTGTCCAACCGCCTCTTGAGGATTGACCACAAATTCTCAATGGGATTAAGGTCTGGGGAGTTTCCTGGCCATGGACCCAAAATGTTGATGTTTTGTTCCCCGAGCCACTTAGTTATCACTTTTGCCTTATGGCAAGGTGCTCCATCATGCTGGAAAAGGCATTGTTCGTCACCAAACTGTTCTTGGATGGTTGGGAGAAGTTGCTCTCGGAGGATGTGTTGGTTCCATTCTTTATTCATGGCTGTGTTCTTAGGCAAAATTGTGAGTGAGCCCACTCCCTTGGCTGAGAAGCAACCCACACATGAATGGTCTCAGGATGCTTTACTGTTGGCATGACACAGGACTGATGGTAGCGCTCACCTTTTCTTCTCCGGACAAGGTGTTTTCCAGATGCCCCAAACAATCGGAAAGGGGATTCATCAGAGAAAATGACTTTACCCCAGTCCTCAGCAGTCCAATCCCTGTACCTTTTGCAGAATGTGGCCTGATGTTTTTCTGGAGAAGGCTTCTTGCTGCCCTTCTGACACCAGGCCATCCTCCAAAAGTCTTCGCCTCACTGTGCGTGCAGATGCACTCACACCTGCCTGTTGCCATTCCTGAGCAAGCTCTGCACTGGTGGTGCCCCAATCCTGCAGCTGAATCAACTTTAGGAGATGGTCCTGGCGCTTGCTGGACTTTCTTGGGTGCCCTGACGCCTTCTTCACAACAATTGAACATCTCTCCTTGAAGTTCTTGATGATCCGATAAATGGTTGATTTACGTGCAATCTTACTAGCAGCAATATCCTTGCCTGTGAAGCCCTTTTTGTGCAAAGCAATGATGATGGCACGTGTTTCCTTGTAGGTAACCATGGTTAACAGAGGAAGAACAATGATTTCAAGCACCACCCTCCTTTTAAAGCTTCCAGTCTGTTATTCTAACTCAATCAGCATGACAGAGTGATCTCCAGCCTTGTCCTCGTCAACACTCTCACCTGTGTTAACGAGAGAATCACTGACATGATGGCAGCTGGTCCTTTTGTGGCAGGGCTGAAATGCAGTGGAAATGTTTTTTGGGGGGGATTAAGTTCATTTTCATGGCAAAGAGCGACTTTGCAATTAATTGCAATTCATCTGATCACTCTTCATGACATTCTGGAGTATATGCAAATTGGCATCATCAAAACTGAGGCAGCAGACTTTGTGAAAATTAGTATTTGTGTCATTCTCAAAACTTTTGACCACGACTGTACTAACTACTATAATACTCTATATATATATATACACACACACACACACACACACACACTATTACTACTAACTTCTATTACTACTAACTTCTATTACTACTACCATCACGATTACTAACTAAACCTGCTACTACTACTACTGGTACTAATAACTACTACTTACTTCTATTATTACTACCTACTACTACTAAAACTCCTAACTACTACTATCTACTAATACCACTACTACTACTACAATCCATTACCTCCTACTACTACTACTACTACTACTACTACTACTACTACTACTACAATCCATTACCTCCTACTACTACTACTACTACTACTACTACTACTACTACTATCCATTACCACCTCCTCCTTCTACTACTACTACTACTACTACTACTACTACTACTACTACTAACAACCTTGTCCGTGCTGAACAGGGCCTGGTACTGGGGCACCACAGCATTACTACCACTACTAACTACTACTACTACTACTAATAACTACTATTACTACTACCATTACTACTACTACCACCACCACCTACAGTGCATTCAGAAAGTATTCAGACCCCTTGACTTTTTACATATTTTGTTACGTTACAGCCTTATTCTAAAATTGATTAAATTATTTGTTTTTCCTCAATCTACACACAATACCCCATAATGACAAAGCGAAAACAGGTTATTTTTTGTGTGCAAATGTATTAGAAATAAGAAATGGAAATACCTTATTTGCATAACTATTCAGACCGTTTGCTATGAGACTTGAAATTGAGCTCAGGTGCATCCTGTTTCCATTGATCATCCTTGAGATGTTTCTACAACTTGATTGGAGTCCACCTGTGGTCAATTCAATTGATTGGACATGATTTGGAAAGGCACACACCTGTCTATATAAGGTCCCACAGTTGACAGTGCATGTCAGAGCAAAAACCAAGCCATGAGGTCGAAGGAATTGTCCGTAGAGCTCTGAGACAGAATTGTGTAGAGGCACAGATCTGGGAAAGGGTACCAAAAAATGTCTACAGCATTGAAGGTCCCCAAGAACACAGTGGCCTCCATCATTCTTAAATGGAAGAAGTTTGGAACCACCAAGACTCTTCCTAGAGCTGACCGCCCGGCCAAACTGAGCAATCGGGGGAGAAGGGCCTTGGTCAGGGAGGTGACCAAGAACCCGATGGTAACTCTGACAGAGCTCCTCTGTGGAGATGGGAGAAACTTCCAGAAGGACAACCATCTCAGCAGCACTCCACCAATCAGGCCTTTATGGTAGAGTGGCCAGACGGAAGCCACTCCTCAGTAAAAGGCACATGACAGCCCGCTTGGAGTTTGCCAAAAGGCACCTAAAGGACTCTCAGACCATGAGAAACAAGATTCTCTGGTCTGATGAAACCAAAATTGAACTCTTTGGCCTAAATGCCAAACATCACGTATGGAGGAAACCTGGCACCATCCCTACGGTGAAGCATGGAGGTGGCAGCATCATTCTGAGGGGATGTTTTTCAGCAGCAGGGACTGGGAGACTACTCAGGATCTAGGGAAAGATGAACGGAGCAAAGTACAGAGAGATCTTTGATGAAAACCTCCACCCTAAGCACACAGCCAAGATAATGCAGGAGAGGCTTCGGGACGAGTCTCTGAATGTCCTTGATTAGCCTGACTTAAACCCGATCTAACATCTCTGGAGAGACCTGAAAATAGCTGTGCAGCGACGCTCCCCATCCAACCTGACAGAGCTTGAGAGGATCTGCAGAGAAGAATGGGAGAAACTACCCAAATACAGGTGTGCCAAGCTTGTAGCGTCATACCCAAGAAGACTCAAGGCTGTAATCACTGCCAAAGGTGCTTCAACAAAGTACTGAGTAAAGGTTCTGATTACTTTTGTAAATATGATAGTTTATTTTTAATATATTTGCAAACATTTCTAAAAACCTGTTTTTTTTGCTTTGTCATTATGGGATATTGTGTGTAGATTGATGAGGGAAAAAAACAATCTAATCAATTTTAGAATAAGGCTGTAACGTAACCAAATGTGGAAAAAGTCAAGGGGTCTGAATACTTTCTGAATGCACTGCATATATACACACTACATGACCAGAAGTATGTGGACAGCTGCTCATCAAACATCTCATTCCAAAATCATGGGCATTAATATGGAGTTGGTTCCCCCCCGTTGCTGCTATAACAGCCTCTACTCTTCTGGGAAGGCTTTCCACTAGATGTTGGAACATTGCTGCGGGGAATTGCTTCCATTCAGCCACAACAGCATTAGAAGTCGGGCACTGATGTTGGGGGCGATTAGGCCTGGCTCGCAGTCGGCGTTCCAATTCATCCCAAAGGTGTTCGATGATCAGGGCTCTGTGCAGGCCAGTAAAGTTCTTCCACACCGATCTCGACAAACCATTTCTGTATGGTCCTCGCTTTGTCCACGGCGGCATTGTCATGCTGAAACAGGAAAGTGCCTTCCCCAAACTGTGGCAACAAAGTTGGAAGCACAGAATCGTCTAGAATGTCATTGTATGCTGTAGCGTTAAGATTTCCCTTCACTGGAACTAAGGGGCCCACATCTGAACCATGAAAAACAGCCCCAGGCCTCCACCAAACTTGACATTTTGTACTATGCATTCGGGCAGGTAGCGTTCTCTTGGCATTTGCCCAAAGCCAGATTTGTCCGTCGGACTGCCAGATGGTGAAGCGTGATTCATCACTCCAGAGAACGCGTTTCCACTGCTCCAGAGTCCAATAGCGGCGAGCTTTACACCACTCCAGCCAACGCTTGGCATTGTGCATGGTGATCTTAGGCTTGTGTGCGTAAGATCCCGATGAACAGTTATTGTGCTGACGTTGCTTCCAGAGGCAGTTTGGAACTCGGTAGTGAGTGTTGCAACCGAGGACAGAATATTTTTGCGCGCTACGCACTTCAGCACTTGGCATTGTATGACGGTGCCACGTTGAAAGTCACTGAGCTCTTCAGTACGGGCCATTCTACTGCCAATGTTTATGGAGATTGCATGGCTGTGTGCTCGATTTTATACACCTGCCGAATCCACTAATTAGAAGGGGTGTCCAAATACTTTTGTAACGGTTGTGACAGTTATTTCCCTTTCCCTTTAGTTTAGTTTCATGACTGTCTTCATCCGTAAAGTTATACAGCCTTAACTACTACTACTAATTACCTTGTCCATGCTGAACAGGGCCTGGTACTGGGGTATGACGGCGTTGCGCGGTTCTGTCAGGATGCGGACCAGCGTCTCTTCATCCAGACTGTGCAGAGGCACCACCACTGGCAGACGCCCCACGAACTCCGGGATCATCCCAAAATCAATGAGGTCCCGGGCCTCCAGAGCTTCAGCACCCGGTCCCTTTTCCCTCCACTCGCCACCATGCCCGTTGTTCACTGCTGTTAGCCTGGCGGCCGTGCCGCCGCACGGGCCCCTTCCCCATGTTGGGGGCGCCCAAGCCCGGGCTAGAAGGGGGAGGAAAGGTTTGTGGGCGTGATAAGCTCGGTACTAGAAGAAGATTAGTGGGGTATGAAGCTAGTAATAAATAATATTAGTGGGGGGATAAAGGCTAGGACTGAAAAATTAGGGGGCGGAGAAGCTCAGGTATAAAAGAATTAGTGGGCGGATGAACTCAGTAAAAAAATTAGGGGGTGTGAAAAGCTAGGTACTAGAAAAAATTTTGTGGGCTATGAAGTCATCTAGAAATATTAGTGGGCGTGAGAACTGGGTAAAGAATAATTTAGTGGGTGTGATGAAGCCGGGTACTAAAGAAATTGTGGGGTGATAAAGTCGGGTTTAAAAAATTGTGGGGTGATAACTCAGGAAATAGAATTTAGTGGGTGTGATGAAGCTAGGTAATAAAATTTTTAGGGGTGGATGAAGCTCGGGGTAATATAATTGTGGGGGATGAAGCTCTAATAAAATTTAGTGGGTGTGATAAACCCTTTTTTTTATGGGTGTGTGAAGCTCAGGTACTAGAAGAAGTTAGTGGGCGTGATGAAGCTCAGGTAATAGAATAATATTAGTGGGTGTGATGAAGCTCAGGTACTAGAATTTATGGGTGTATGAAGCTCGGTATAGAAAAATATTAGTGGGTGGATGAAGCTCAGGTATAAAAGAAGATTATGGGTGGATGAACTCGGGGGTAATAGATATTAGTGGGTGGATAAAATTCAGGTAATAGAAATTAGGGGGTGTGTGAGTCGGGGTAATATAATATTAGGGGGTGTGATGAAGTCGGGTAATAGAATATTAGTGGGTGTGATGAAGCTCAGGTAATAGAATATTAGTGGGTGTGATGAAGCTCAGGTAATAGAATATTAGTGGGTGTGATGAAGCTCAGGTAATAGAATATTAGTGGGTGTGATGAAGCTCAGGTAATAGAATATTAGTGGGTGTGATGAAGCTCAGGTACTAGACAAAAGCACAGAGGGGTTGAGGGAAGGAGGGCTATGGAAAACGATAACATTAAAGCACTGAATAAATTAGACAGCCAAGCCTAGACATTCATGTTACTTCCTGAAATATATACATTAAAATGGACAAATACGTAAACTGCTCAGATTAAAGACACTCTCTGTTGACCAAGTATTTATTTTTATTTTTTTTATAGAACAGTGATTAGATAAGAAATAATCAAAAGGACTACATCCTTTTTACAGGTCTGGGACGAGAGGGAAAATAATAATGATATTTCTTGCTCACCTTTTCATTCTTCCGTCTGCTAATGATTCTGTCGAGTCCGTTGAAGGCCCCCGACGCTACGAACAGGATGTTAGTGGTGTCCACCTGCACCGTCTCTCCTCTCAGCTTCCTGGAGTTCTTCTCTGGGACGTTCACTATCGTGCCCTCCAGGAGTTTGAGCAGACCCTACAAACAAACAAACAGTTGTCACTAACACTAATGCCTCCCATACCATATACAGTGCCTTCAGAAAGTATTCACACCCCTTGACTGTTTACACATTTTGATGTGGGATTAAAATGGATTTAATTGTCTTTTTTTTGGTCAACTATCTACACAAAATACACTAATGTCAAAGTGGAAGACAAATTATATATATTTTTTTTAATGAATGGAAAATAAAGCACTAATATATCTTGATTAGATAAGTATTCAACCTTCTGAGTTAGTACATGTTAGAATCCCCTTTGGCAGTGATTACAGCTGTGAGTCTTTCTGGCTAAGTCTCTTTGCACATCTGGATTGTATTATATTTGCACATTATTCTTTTAAAAAAATTCTTCAAGCTCTGTCAAGTTGGTTGTTAAATCATTGCTAGACAGCCATTTTCAAGTTTTGCCATAGATTGTCAAGACGAAGTCAAAACTGTAACTAGGCCACTCAGGAACATTCAATGTCGTCTTGGTAACCAACTCCAGTGTAGATTTGGCCTTGTGTTTTAGGTTATTGTCCTGCTGAAAGGTACATTTGTCTCCCAGTGTCTTTGCAACGCCAGGGTTGTGGGTTTGATTCCCACGGGGGGCCAGTATGAAAATAAAAAAATAATGTATGCACTCACTAACTGTAAGTCGCTCTGGATAAGAGCGTCTGCTAAATGACTAAAATGTAAAAAATTTAAATGTGTCTGGTGGAAAGCAAACTGGACCAGGTTTTCCTCTAGGATTTTGCCTGTGCTTAGCTTAGCTCTATTCCGTGTCTTTTTATCCTAAAAAAAAAAAAACTCTCCAGTCCTTGCCGATGACAAGCATACTCATAACATGATGCAGCCACCTCCCTACTTGAAAATATGAACTGGTACTCAGTGATGTGTGGTGTTGGATTTGCCCCAAACATAACGCTTTGTATTCAGGACATAAAGTTAATTTCTTTGCCACATGTTTAGTGCCTTACTGCAAACAGGATGCATGTTTTGGAATATTTGTATTCTGTTATCTATGTTAGTATTGTGGAGTAACTACAATATTGTTGATCCATCCTCAGTTCTCTCTTATCACAGCCATTAAACTGTGTAACTGTTTTAAATTCACAGTTCGTCTCATGGTGAAACCCCTGAGCGGTTTCCTTCCTCTCCGGCAACTGAGTTAGGAAGGGCACCTGTATCTTTGTAGTGACTGGGTGTATTGATACACCATCCAAAGTGTAATTAACATGCTCAAAGGGATATTCAATGTCTGCTTTAAAAAAATGTTTTTACCCATCTACCAATAGGTGCCCTTCTTTGCGCGGCATTGGAAGACCTCCCTGGTGTGTGTGGTTGAATCTGTGTTTGAATTTTTAATTAATTTGTAAACATTTCTAAAAACAGAATTCCAATTTGACATTATGGGGTATTTAGTGTAGATCAGTGACAACATCTCAATGTAATCCATTTTAAATTCAGGCTGTAACGTAACAATATGTGGACGATAAGGCGCTGTAAATCACATAGGAGCCTGAGAGCAGCAGGTATCACCTTATGATGTACAATGTTTTCCCAGAGGATAGCATTTAAATTCATTAAAACAGAGAGAGAGAGAGAAAGAGAGGCAGAGAGAGGGGGTGGGGGGAGAGGCGGGAGAGAGGGAGAGAGACGGGGAGAGAGGGGTGGGGAGTGAATCCTTTCTGAAGCCACTGTATAACATTCGGTCAACAACAAGGTGGTAGGACATTTACGTTTACATTTTAGTCATTTAGCAGACGCTCTTATCCAGAGCGACTTACAGGAGCAATTAGGGCACATCGACAGATTTTTCACCTAGTCGGCTCGGGGATTAGAACCAGCGACCTTTCGGTTACTGGCACAACGCTCTTACCCACTAAGCCACCTGCCGCCCTACAAATATACATTGACATCAAGGACCCTGGCTGGGAGGTTGAAAACTAACACCACCCAGCCATAACATTGAACTGCAGTAGCTAAACTCAGCAAAAACAAAGATAATTTGTACAAATCCAAATAACTTCACAGATTTTCATCGTAAAGGATTTAAACACTGTTTCCTATGCTTGTTCAATGAACCATAAACAATTAATGAACATGCACCTGTGGAACGGTCGTTAAGACACTAACAGCTTACAGACGGTAGGCAATTAAGGTCACAGTTATGAAAACTTAGGACACTAAAAGAGGCCTTTCTACTGACTCTGAAAAACACCAAAAGAAAGATGCACAGGGTCCCTGATCATCTGCATGAACGTGCCTTAGGCATGCTGCAAGGAGGCATGAGGACTGCAGATGTGGCCAGGGCAATAAACTGCAATGTCCGTACTGTGAGACGCCTAAGACAGCGCTACAGGGAGACAGGACGGACAGCTGATCGTCCTCGCAGTGGCAGACCACGTGTAACAACACCTGCACAGGATCGGTACATCTGAACATCACTCCTTCGGGACAGGTACAGGATGGCAACAACAACTGCTCAAGTTACACCAGGAACGCACAATCCCTCCATCAGTGCTCAGACTGTCCGCAATAGGCTGAGAGGCGCTGGACTGAGGGCTTGTAGGCCTGTTGTAAGGCAGGTCCTCACCAGACATCACCGGCAACAACGTCGCCTATGCGCACAAACCCACCGTCGCTGGACCAGACAGGACTGGCAAAAAGTGCTCTTCACTGACGAGTTGTGGTTTTGTCTCACCAGGGGTGATGGTCGGATTCACGTTTATCGTCGAAGGAATTAACGTTACACCAAGGCCTGTACTCTGGAGCGGGATCGATTTGGAGGTGGAGGGTCCGTCATGGTCTGGGGCGGTGTGTCAGAGCATCATCGGACTGAGCTTGTCATTGCAGGCAATCTCAACGCAGTGCGTTACAGGGAAGACATCCTCCTCCCTCATGTGGTACCCTTCCTGCAGGCTCATCCTGACATGACCCTCCAGCATGACAATGCCACCAGCCATACTGCTCGTTCTGTGCGTGATTTCCACAAGACAGGAATGTCAGTGTTCTGCCATGGCCAGCGAAGAGCCCGGATCTCAATCCCATTGAGCACGTCTGGGACCTGTTGGATCGGAGGGTGAGGGCTAGGGCCATTCCCCCCAGAAATGTCAGGGAACTTGCAGGTGCCTTGGTGGAAGAGTGGGGTAACATCTCACAGCAAGAACTGGCAAATCTGGTGCAGTCCATGAGGAGGAGATGCACTGCAGTACTTAATGCAGCTGGTGGCCACACCAGATACTGACTGTTACTTTTGATTTTGACCCCCCCCCTTTCTTCAGGGACACATTATTCAATTTCTGTTAGTCACATGTCTGTGGAACTTGTTCAGTTTATGTCTCAGTTGTTGAATCTTGTTATGTTCATACAAATATTTACACATATTTACACACATATGAAAAATGTATGCACTCACTTAACTGTAAGTCGCTCTGGATAAGAGCGTCTGCCTAATGACTAAAATGTAAAAATGTAAATGTTAAGTTTGCTGAAAATAAACGCAGTTGACAGTGAGAGGACGTTTCTTTTGTTGCTGAGTTTATTCATATATGCCAATAGGACTTGGTATATAATGTTTGCGATGTGCTGTAAGTCAGATACGTGAATATCTGTATGCTGGCACGTTGCATTACACAGAAAGACTTTCCTAATGGATCCAAATAAAGTATAATCCTTAGAGGTATGTAGAGGACGGCAGGGCAGGTGTTTGATCATTAACTGAAGTATCATCATTAGAGGTATGTAGTGTCAAGGATAGTGTTGAATACCTCCCTCTACACACACTAGAGGTATCTAGTAGACCTGTGGACAGTGTAGAACAGTACTGACCTGTTGTACTCCCTCTCCTCCTACGTCTCTGAGCTGGTGGATCCCGGGAACACTGCCGATCTTGTCCACCTCATCCAGAAACACTATGCCTATTGCACAGGGAAACCATGGAATAAAATTCAACTTTATCGTCCAATGGGAATATCGTCCAATGGGAATCAGAAGTGGGTATTTTTGCCGTCCTAGGTTATTCCCAACCCTTCTCTATACATTACACACACACACACACACACACACACACACACACACACACACACACACACACACACAGACACAGACACAGAGACAGACACACAGAGACAGACAGACAGACACAGACAGACAGACAGACAGACACACAGTACAAGAGGCAGGAAGCAGCACAGGGTCAGCTGCGGAACAACACCCGTGGAGCAGGTTAGCTCAGTAAAAAGTGTATTTGTGATGTTCGGATTAAAGAGCTTTTTGCAGTTTTTACTGTATCAAAAGAGCAAAATGAGCGGTTAGAGAGACGAGCTAGTAACCGGAGAGTTGCCTGTTCGAATCCCGGGTCTGACGGGCAAGAATCTGGCGGGAAGTGAGCTGGCAACCGGAGGGTTGTTGGTATCAACTCCTAGATGCCATTACCTGCCGTTGTGCCCCTTGAGCAAGACACTTAACCCGCCACAACAACTGCTCCACGGGCGCCCAGTAACTCTCCAACCTGTATATGTGTGTCTTTTGGAGGGGTAGGGACAAAACCGTATATTGTACAAAAGGGGCTTCTGTAATTAGGATAACAATTGCAGAACACAGTCCAAATGTAGTTCCATTTTCATCATACTAGTGTTTACAAAACAGAGGTCTTTTAAAGAGATTCTCCGGTACTTTTATATACTTTTTAGCCAGCATATCTGAAAGTAGCCAAAAGTTGTCCCCGAAAACTGCGTACTATGTCACATATATGCAGATATGTGCACCACGTCATTTCCCTCTCTGCTGTGTCCACTGAGCCGTTGGGCCCGCCCTGCAACCTCATTGGATAACGCTGGGCAGGTCTCTTGCTAGCTGTCACTCAAATGCGAGGGGCTGAAGCTCATTGGTTAGAACTCGAATTGCTAGGGGGCTGGCCCACACGGGGGGGGGAATGTAGGGAAAATGGCACGGCACATCTTCAAGAATACAGTCGCTTTTAAACTAGGGATTAGGGGGCTAATTGAGGTAAGACAGTACGTTTATCTATGAGCTACACATTGACACATCCAGCCCAAAGCGAAATGTTTAAAAAAATATTTAAAAAATATTTTCTTAGTCACCATAGTACCGGAGCATGTCTTTAAACAGTCCTAAAGAATCAGAAAACAAGAGTTTGTGATTCACCCACCTTGCTGTGCTTTATCCACAGAGTAGTTGGCATCCTGCAGCAGCTTAGCGATAACAGACTCGATGTCCTCCCCCACATAGCCAGCCTGGGTCAGGGTGGTACAATCACAGATGGCGAAGGGTACATCTAGACACTTGGCCAGGGTCTGAGCCAACAATGTCTTTCCTGGGAAATGATAGTAGAGAATATGTGTAAGGACAGTAAGGATGTATTTCACAGCTGTTTGTTTGTTTGTAAATCATGGGTCTGACACAATGCATGTATTCTTTTTCTTATTTTCCTTAACCCATGTCAATAAAGTTTTAAATATTCTAACATCTTATGAATAACAGGCAGATGTATAATGACACAGAACGGAACACTCATTACAAAAAAACATTTCCAGCCAATCAGAATGAGTTCTTCCCTAAAAAAGGGCTTTATTACACAGACTGAAATACTCCTCGGTTTCATCAGCTGTCCAGGTAGGCTGGTCTCAGATGATCCCGCAGGTGAAGAAGCCGGATATGGGGGTCCTGGGCTGGTGTGGTTACACGTGGTCTGCAGTTGTGAGGCCGGTTGGACGTACTGCCAAATTCTCTAAAACGACGTTGGAGGCGGCTTATGGTAGAGAAATGAACATTCAATTCTCTGGCAACAGTTCTAGTGGACATTCCTGCAGTCAGCATTCCAATTGCGCACTCCCTCAAAACTTGAGACATCTGTGGCATTGTGTTGTGACACAAAACTGCACATTTTAGAGTGGCCTTTTATTGTCCACAGCACAAGGTGCACCTGTGTAATGATCATGCTGTTTAATCAGCTTCTTGATATGCCACACCTGTCAGGTGGATGGATTATCTTGGCACAGGAGAAATGCTCACTAACAGGGATGTAAACAAATTTGTGCACAACATTTTAGAGAAATACGATTTTTGTGCGTATGGAATATTTCTGGGATCTTTTATTTCAGCTCATGAAACATTGGACCAACACTTTACATGTTGCATTTATATTTTTGTTCAGTGTAGTATATATATATATATATATATATATATTCAACCACAAAGGTGTACTAATGAGCTATAGGAGAGAAAAAAAATGAATCACAATAAAGGACTACTGAAATAATAGTATTATTTAATATTATTTCAGTGTACATAAGGGAAGGGCAGGTTAAACTAAAAACATGCCAGCCAGACAAGCCAGTGTATGAATCAAACATATTTGCATATGAATGGAGTGGAAATTAGCGGACTTTGTGATCTGTAAGGTGTGATCTGTAAGGTATGATCTGTAAGGTATGATCTGTAAGGTATGATCTGTAAGGTGTGATCTGTAAGGTATGATCTGTAAGGTATGATCTGTAAGGTATGATCTGTAAGGTGTGATCTGTAAGGTATGATCTGTAAGGTATGATCTGTAAGGTATGATCTGTAAGGTGTGATCTGTAAGGTATGATCTGTAAGGTATGATCTGTAAGGTATGATCTGTAAGGTATGATCTGTAAGGTATGATCTGTAAGGTATGATCTGTAAGGTATGTAACATTAATGTGTCAAGCAGATTTACACGTCTTCTTGCAAACGTCCTGCCTGGTTGGCCCTGTCCGGGGGTATCGTCGGTCGTGGCCACAGTGTCCCCCGACTCCCCCTGTCTCAGCACTTAACTTGACAGGAATTGTAGAAAATATACATTCATAACGCTGACTTCTATTCTACATTTGTGGGTATCTATGCTGCAATAGTCTATGTGCTGGGGGGCTAGGGTCAGTCTGTTATATCTGGTGTTATTCTCCTGTCTTATCCGGTGTCCTGTGTGAATTTAAGTATGCTCCCTCTAATTCTCCCTCTCTCCCTCCCCTCCCTGAGGATCTGAGCCCTAGGACCATGCCTCAGGACTACCCGGTCTGATGACTCCTTGCTGTCTCCAGTCCACCTGGTCGTGCTGCTGCTCCAGTTTCAACTCTTCTGCCTGCGGCTATGGAACCCTGACCTGTTCACCGGACGTGCTACCTTGTCCCAGACCTGCTGTTTTCAACTCTCTCTCTCTCTCCTGCACCTGCTGTCTCGACCTCTGAATGCTTGGCTATGAAAAACAAACTGACATTTACTCCTGAACATCTTGAAGAACAATCTGGCCTTAATGGCCATGTACTCTTATAATCTCCACCCAGTACAGCCAGAAGAGGACTGGCCACCCCTCAGAGCCTGGTTCCTCTCTAGGTTTATTCCTGGGTTTTAGCCTTTCTAGGGAGTTTTTCCTAGCCACTGTGCTTCTACATCTGCATTTCTTGCTGTTTGGGGTTTTAGGCCGGATTTCTGTATAAGCAATTTGTGACAACTGCTGATGTAAAAAGTGCTTTTAAATAACTGTGATTGATTGACTGATTGATCCAAAAGTAGTTTGAAGTAATGTTTTCATCTTATTAGCTAAACAAAACTTGTATAAACAGCAAAATTGTCACGGAAATCAGCTTTGTTTGCATATCAGGGATGAAAAGAATGTAATTTAGGCTGTAATGATCTCCACAATTCGACACATTAGGTCATCACACCGTTGATATAGCAACGGACACTAATAGTTTATCGAATCCTGTTGTAACATGGGGGGGGGAGACGACGACACCATTTTGCATGACAGGCCCCCCAACCAAATCTCGCTTAGGGCCCCCAAAATGCTGAACACTGCCCTGTCTGCAACTAATATAAATGGTATTAAAAAAGAATTAGAAGTGCCTTGGCTTTGTGTCCTAAGGATATTGAAGGTACGAGCCACAACGTACTTTGTTCTTCTCACACTGATGCCAGACTGGTTTGATGACGTCACCTAGTAGTTTACTAACCTGATCCGGTAGGGCCTAGCAACACGATGTTGCTCTTCTCCAGTTTGATGTCGGTGTGGGTGGAGTCTAACACGTCCCCGCCCCTCCTCTCCTGAGGAGCCTGCTGAGTGGCCTGCTGCTGCATGGAGGCCCCCAGAGCGTTGCCATGGGGACTGATCCCTGCTATCTGAAGGAGTTCTATAACGGCAAACGTAAACAAACAGTCGTATTGTATATTTGGGTTCAGATTTGGCAGCAGGACAGTTGTGAATTCTAGCCTGGTGCCAGATCGGTTTGTGCTCTTGTCAATTGTCAACTCCATTGCCGTCCTTGTCAAGCTTGTTTGGCATGACTGATTCCATAAGGAGTTGGTGAGCGGGCAGAAACAGACTGCCACCCAGGCTAGGGGAATCCATTTTGGGTCAACGTTTCCCATCTCTCATGGCAATGACCAGACGCTAAAACGTAACTTTTCTGAACAGGATATGCAATGTTGGCCTACTCTCTGTGATCTGGCAACTTGAGTTGTATTACAAGTTTGTAATGTATTCATTAATTGTGTTTTAATGTATAACAAGTTTGTGTCTCGTGTTTTGAGTTTTCCAGGCATGATATTGCATAATCCAGGCTCTTTAGTTATATATATATATATATATATATATTTCACCTTTATTTAACCAGGTAAGCCTATTGAGAACAAGTTCAATAAGTTCATTAAATGTGAAGTATCAGTCAGTATATGTGGGGCTGCCTGTTGCATCGCAGCAATAGGTCCAAGTTCAATCTAAAAATACATGTGCCTTGCTTTGCTCAACTCAACTGGGAGCCAGTATGTTACCGAATAAAGAAAAGCAGACCTGGGTTCTAATAGTATTCAAAATAATTTCAAATACTTTATATGGCCTTGATTGGGCTTCCCTGGCGCAATGGAACCAATAGAATCGTCGTAAAACTGTAAACCCCGCCCATCTCGCACTCCAGGCAGCCTAAAGCAAACGCTCAAAGTATTTGAAAGACTTCAAATTGCTTTTGAACCCAGGTGTGAATGAGGAGAGCAGGGCTGAAGGCTGGGATAGATAGCAAGGCTACAAATGTATTGTCTGGGTCATTGGGACAACTTGTGTCCAGCATGGCGCTATATCTGTCCAGCATGGTGCTTTATCTGTCCAGCATGGTGCTATATCTGTCCAGCATGGCGCTATATCTGTCCAGCATGGTGCTTTATCTGTCCAGCATGGTGCTATATCTGTCCAGCATGGTGCTTTATCTGTCCAGCATGGTGCTTTATCTGTCCAGCATGGTGCTTTATCTGTCCAGCATGGTGCTATATCTGTCCAGCATGGTGCTTTATCTGTCCAGCATGGTGCTTTATCTGTCCAGCATGGTGCTTTATCTGTCCAGCATGGTGCTATATCTGTCCAGCATGGTGCTATATCTGTCCAGCATGGTGCTTTATCTGTCCAGCATGGTGCTTTATCTGTCCAGCATGGTGCTATATCTGTCCAGCATGGTGCTTTATCTGTCCAGCATGGTGCTATATCTGTCCAGCATGGTGCTATATCTGTCCAGCATGGTGCTTTATCTGTCCAGCATGGCGCTATATCTGTCCAGCATGGTGCTTTATCTGTCCAGCATGGTGCTTTATCTGTCCAGCATGGTGCTTTATCTGTCCAGCATGGTGCTTTATCTGTCCAGCATGGTGCTTTATCTGTCCAGCATGGTGCTTTATCTGTCCAGCATGGTGCTTTATCTGTCCAGCATGGTGCTTTATCTGTCCAGCATGGTGCTTTATCTGTCCAGCATGGTGCTTTATCTGTCCAGCATGGTGCTTTATCTGTCCAGCATGGTGCTTTATCTGTCCTGCATGGCGACTAGCTACACCGAGTTCACAACGTGCACACAGATTATTTATTACTAGGGCTGGGAATTGCCAGGGACCTCACGACACAATATTACCACCATACTGAGGGACCTCAGGACACCATATTACCACAACACAGGGACCTCACCATACCATATTACCACCACACAGGGACCTCACCATACCATATTACCACCACACAGGGACCTCACGACACAATATTACCACAACACAGGGACCTCACCATACCATATTACCACCATACTGAGGGACCTCACGACACAATATTACCACCATACTGAGGGACCTCACGACACAATATTACCACAACACAGGGACCTCACAACACCATATTACCACCATACTGAGGGACCTCACGACACAATATTACCACAACACAGGGACCTCACAACACCATATTACCACCATACTGAGGGACCTCACGACACAATATTACCACAACACAGGGACCTCACCATACCATATTACCACCACACAGGGACCTCACCATACCATATTACCACCACACAGGGACCTCACGACACAATATTACCACAACACAGGGACCTCACCATACCATATTACCACCATACTGAGGGACCTCACCATACCATATTACCACCATACTGAGGGACCTCACGACACAATATTACCACCATACTGAGGGACCTCACAACACAATATTACCACAACACAGGGACCTCACGACACAATATTACCACCATACTGAGGGACCTCACCATACCATATTACCACCATACTGAGGGACCTCACAACACAATATTACCACCATACTGAGGGACCTCACCATACCATAATATCACCATACCATATTACCACCACACAGGGACCTCACCATACCATATTACCACCACACAGGGACCTCACCATACCATAATATCACCATACTGAGGGACCTCACCATACCATAATATCACCACACAGGGACCTCACCATACCATAATATCACCATACCATAATATCACCACACAGGGACCTCACCATACCATATTATCACCACACTGAGGGACCTCACCATACCATAATATCACCACACAGGGACCTCACCATACCATAATATCACCATACTGAGGGACCTCACCATACCATAATATCACAACACAGGGACCTCACCATACCATATTATCACCATACTGAGGGACCTCACCATACCATAATATCACCACACAGGGACCTCACCATACCATATTATCACCATACAGAGGGACCTCACCATACCATAATATCACCATACCATAATATCACCATACTGAGGGACCTCCCCATACCATAATATCACCATACTGAGGGACCTCACCATACCATAATATCACAACACAGGGACCTCACCATACCATATTATCACCATACTGAGGGACCTCACCATACCATATTATCACCATACTGAGGGACCTCACCATACCATAATATCACCATACTGAGGGACCTCACCATACCATAATATCACCATACTGAGGGACCTCACCATACCATAATATCACCACACAGGGACCTCACCATACCATATTATCACCATACAGAGGGACCTCACCATACCATATTATCACCATACCATATTATCACAACACAGGGACCTCACCATACCATAATATCACCGTACGATATTATTACCATACACCATTCTCACGATTCTATATGTATTGCGATTCGACACTGTGATTTTTATTGAGATTCGATGTTCCAAACATATTGCTGGTGCGGAGGGACGAGGGAGAGCCATGAGAAAACGGGTTTTTATTCAGTCAAAGTGTTGAAAAATGATTGGCTCCCTATTTAAAAAGATTGAGAATAAAAATAGTTTTTTTTGGTGCAGGTACAGCCAATTAGCGCAAAAATAATATTGCGATATTGTCAAAACGATAAGATACAGTATATCAAACATAATATCCCAATATGTAACTATCGATTTTTTCACCATCACTATTTATTACCTTAAAATCATAAGGGTAAATCATTTACAAAATACTTAATCTAACACACCCTAAAAACGCTAAGTCATCGACAACAAGATACTATAAGTTTGTCTGTAAACTTTGGCATTTGTGCAATTCTTGAAAATAAAAAATATATATATATTCAAAACAGAATGCTCCAATCAAAAAAAAAAAAGTGACGTGTTTAAAATAGCCAATGATATGGAGACAGCTACGTAAGGAGGACCAATCAAATCACTTACTTGTGAATCTGTACTCATCCTCCCGTCTTCTGGTCTCTAGCTCTACAGAGAGGATGAGATCATCATCATTATCACTACAGGCCTGTAAAAGAGTTTCAGATTCCACTGTTGTTTTTAAAAAATCATTATATCACCCTGTTATCGTCTAGTTAGATCCATTATCATCATCCATTTAAAGATGATGAGTGTGGGTGCAAAAGTAAATCATTGAACAAATGCCAAATGATACAGACGAGGGCACCTTGTGGAGACTGATCAGGTGTTTCAGCACATTTTAGAAACCGTGGTTGGTTCTTTGTTCATAATGAAAGCATAACAATGTTGCCTAATGAAATTCTACTATTCTGAATCAAGCAAACTTAAATTTGTCCGGTCGACGTTTTTCTGGAAACTGATTTACTCTTTCTAACTAACAGTAGACTGTACTGACCTCGTGGTGTGAGCGAGGCCTGTTTCTAACTAACAGTAGACTGTACTGACCTCGTGGTGTGAGCGAGGCCTGTTTCTAACTAACAGTAGACTGTACTGACCTCGTGGTGTGAGCGAGGCCTGTTTCTAACTAACAGTAGACTGTACTGACCTCGTGGTGTGAGGCCTGTTTCTAACTAACAGTAGACTGTACTGACCTCGTGGTGTGAGCGAGGCCTGTTTCTAACTAACAGTAGACTGTACTGACCTCGTGGTGTGAGCGAGGCCTGTTTCTAACTAACAGTAGACTGTACTGACCTCGTGGTGTGAGCGAGGCCTGTTTCTAACTAACAGTAGACTGTACTGACCTCGTGGTGTGAGCGAGGCCTGTTTCTAACTAACAGTAGACTGTACTGACCTCGTGGTGTGAGCGAGGCCTGTTTCTAACTAACAGTAGACTGTACTGACCTCATGATGTGAGCGAGGCCTGTTTCTAACTAACAGTAGACTGTACTGACCTCGTGGTGTGAGCGAGGCCTGTTTCTAACTAACAGTAGACTGTACTGACCTCGTGGTGTGAGGCCTGTTTCTAACTAACAGTAGACTGTACTGACCCCGTGGTGTGAGGCCTGTTTCTAACTAACAGTAGACTGTACTGACCTCGTGGTGTGAGCGAGGCCTGTTTCTATCTAACAGTAGACTGTACTGACCTCGTGGTGTGAGGCCTGTTTCTAACTAACAGTAGACTGTACTGACCTCGTGGTGTGAGCGAGGCCTGTTTATCCACCTCCACCTGTCTGCTCCCAGCAGGGATGTTGTTGTGGATCCTCTTGTAGTGATTATACACAGCCACCGCCAGCACCTTCTTAGCATAGGACTGACCCACTACGTACTTGTCCAGGTAGGCATAGATCTGGAAGACAGGTTCATTGACTAGAAGACAATATCACGTGGTCATACTTGCTCTTCATGACAAGTCTAACAATACATTAACTGTTTCATAATGCATTATAAACTGGGTGGTTAGAGCCCTGAATGCTGATTGGCTGACAGCCATGGTATATCAGACCGTATACCACGGGTATGACAAAACATGTATTTTTACTGCTGTGGTATATGTCTAATATACCACGGCTAAGGGCTGTATCCAGGCACTCCGCGTTGTGTCGTGATTAAGAACAGCCCTTAGCCGTAGTATGTTGGCCACATACCACACCTCCTCGGGTCTTATTGCTTCATTATAGCACCAGATATAGCTGCAGCATTACCATAGTAATTCCTGTTTGAAGATAACCATCACATCATAGAAACTAGAACCAGTTCTTGTTTATTGTCATTGGTGCTCGTACCTTTTTGGGTGGCGGGGGAGGTTTCTGTACGAAGGCCATTTTGACAGCCTCAGCGGGCGACTCTGGTTCTTTATTCAGACCCTTCTTAGAGTCTGTCTCAGAGAGCACCACGAAGAAGTGATGGCATTTCTCACACTTCACAAAACGTGTTGACGCTGAAAAGAAACAAACAAAAAAGGGGAGGATATTGAAATGTTTCTTTATCGGTTTCTGATTTAATAAAATAGTAGTGACTGTGTGACAAGTCAAATCATTTATACGGCTGCTTTTTCTACAACTGGGAGTCTTTAGAAAACACAGCCTAGGTGAATTGAGTATCTTTAGGTCCTCACATACAAAGGTCTCCACATGTGTGCACGGGTCTCCACATTTGGGACAGTGCAGCTGGTTACCCCCCTTCCCTGATCCACCAGAAGAGCCCGACAGTCTCTTTCTTTCACCGAGGTTCTTCTGCATTATGATGGACACAATAGAGGCATTCTATCATTAATGAAACACAGCAGAAAAACATCATGTAGCCACAGACAGGAGGAAGCTCGTTTCTATGTACAGTAGCTATCACTTATTGAAACCACTGGGCTTATTGCATGTATTACACTGGCTCTGTGCACTCTCACACACACTACACTGACTCTCCCACACACTACACTGACTCTCCCACACACTACACTGACTCTCCAACACACTACACTGACTCTCCCACACACTACACTGACTCTCCAACACACTACCCTGACTCTCCAACACACTACACTGACTCTCCAACACACTACACTGACTCTCCAACACACTACACTGACTCGCCAACACACTACACTGACTCTCCAACACACTACACTGACTCTCCAACACACTACACTGACTCGCCAACACACTACACTGACTCTCCAACACACTACACTGACTCTCCAACACACTACACTGACTCGCCAACACACTACACTGACTCTCCAACACACTACACTGACTCTCCAACACACTACACTGACTCGCCAACACACTACACTGACTCTCCAACACACTACACTGACTCTCCAACACACTACACTGACTCGCCAACACACTACACTGACTCTCCAACACACTACACTGACTCTCCCACACACTACCCTGACTCTCCAACACACTACACTGACTCTCCCACACACTACACTGACTCTCCCACACACTACACTGACTCTCCCACACACTAACCTGACTCTCCCACACACTAACCTGACTCTCCAACACACTACACTGACTCTACAACACACTAACCTGACTCTACAACACACTACACTGACTCTACAACACACTAACCTGACTCTACAACACACTAACCTGACTCTACAACACTCTACACTGACTCTACAACACACTAGCCTGACTCTACAACACACTAACCTGACTCTACAACACTCGAACACACTAACCTGACTCTCCAACACACTAACCTGACTCTCCAACACACTACACTGACTCTCCCACACACTAACCTGACTCTCCAACACACTACACTGACTCTCCCACACACTACACTGACTCTCCCACACACTAACCTGACTCTCCAACACACTACACTGACTCTCCAACACTACACTGACTCCAACACACTAACCTGACTCTCCAACACACTAACCTGACTCTCCAACACACTACACTGACTCTCCAACACACTACCCTGACTCTCCAACACACTACCCTGACTCTCCAACACACTACACTGACTCTCCAACACACTAACCTGACTCTCCAACATACTACACTGACTCTCCAACACACTAACCTGACTCTCCCACACACTACACTGACTCTTCAACACACTACACTGACTCTCCAACACACTACACTGACTCTCCAACACACTACACTGACTCTCCCACACACTACAATGACTCTCCCACACACTACAATGACTCTCCCACACACTACACTGACTCTCCAACACACTACCCTGACTCTCCAACACACTACCCTGACTCTCCAACACACTACACTGACTCTCCCACACACTACACTGACTCTCCAACACACTACACTGACTCTCCCACACACTACACTGACTCTCCCACACACTACAATGACTCTCCCACACACTACACTGACTCTCCAACACACTACACTGACTCTCCAACACACTACCCTGACTCTCCAACACACTACACTGACTCTCCCACACACTACACTGACCAACTACGTCCCACACACACTAACACTGACTCTCCAACACACTACACTGACTCTCAACACACTACCCTGACTCTCCAACACACTACACTGACTCTCCAACACACTACACTGACTCTACAACACACTAACCTGACTCTCCAACACACTACACTGACTCTCCAACACACTACCTGACTCTCCAACACACTACCTGACTCCCAACACACTACACTGACTCTCCAACACACTAACTGACTCTCCCAACACTAACACTGACTCTCCAACACACTAACCTGACTCTCCCACACACTAACACTGACTCTCAACACACTACACTGACTCTCCAACACACTACCTGACTCTCCAAACCACACTACTACCACTGACTCTCCACACACTACACTGACTCTCCCACACACTACACTGACTCTCCACACACTACACCTGACTCTCCACACACTACACGACTACACTGACCTGACTCCAACACACTACCTGACTCTCCAACACACTACACCTGACTCTCCCACACACACTACACTGACTCTCCCACACACTACACTGACTCTCCCAACCACTACAACTGACTCTCCCAACACACTACACTGACTCTCCAACACACTACACTGACTCTCAACACACTACCTGACTCTCCAACACACTACACTGACTCTCACACCACACCTCACTACACTGACTCTCCCACACACTACACTGACTCTCCCAACACACTACACTGACTCTACAACACCACACACCCTGACTCTCCAACACACTACACTGACTCTCCAACACTACAAATGACCTCAACACACTAACCTGACTCTCCACACAACACTCAACACCACAAAATGACTGCTCCCAACTACACCATAACAACACTACACTGACTCTCCCACACACTACACTGACTCTCACCACCCAACACACTAACCTGACTCTCCACACACACTGACAACTCTGACTCTCCAACACACTACCCTGACTCTCAACCAAACTACACCACAAACACTGACTCTCCAACACACTACACTGACTCTCCACACACTAACCTGACTCTCCCACACACACTAACCACTGACTCTCCAACACACTACACTGACTCTCCAACACACTAACCTGACTCACCCTACCTACTCTCCAACACACTACACTGACTCTCCCACACACTAACACTCTGACTCTCAAAACAACCTGACTACACTAACCTGACTCTCCAACACACTACCCTGACTCTCCAACACACTACACTGACTCTCCCAACACACTACACTGACTCTCCAACACACTAAACCTGACTCTCCCACACAACACTCTCAACACACCTGACTCTCCACACACACACTACCACACCACTGACTCTCCAACACACTACACTGACTCTCCCACACACTACAACCTGACTCTCCACACACACTACCTGACTCTCCCACACACTAACCTGACTCTCCAACACACTAACCTGACTCTCCAACACTACACTGACTCTCCAACACACTACACTGACTCTCCAACACACTAACCTGACTCTCCAACACACTACACTGACTCTCCCACACACTACACTGACTCTACAACACACTAACCTGACTCTCCCACACACTAACCTGACTCTCCAACACCCTACACTGACTCTCCACACCTACACCCTGACTCTCCAACACACTACACCTGACTCTCCCACACACTACACTGACTCTACAACACACTAACCTGACTCTCCAACACACTACACTGACTCTCCCAACACTACACTGACTCTCCAACACACTAACCTGACTCTCCAACACACTAACCTGACTCTCCAACACACTACACCGACTCTCCAACACACTACCCTGACTCTCCAACACACTACACTGACTCTCCCACACACTAACCTGACTCTCCAACACACTACACTGACTCTCCCACACACTAACCTGACTCTCCAACACACTAACCTGACTCTCCAACACTACACTGACTCTCCAACACAGCTTACACACCTCAACATACTCCTCCAACACTACACTGACCTCACACACTCACTGACCTCAACACACTACACTGACTCTCCACACACTACCTGACTCAACACTACCTGACCTCACAACACAACCTGACTCTCCAACACACTACACTGACTCTCCAACACACTACACTGACTCTCAACACACTACCTGACTCTCCAACACACTACACTGACTCTCCAACACACGACTACTACACTGATCTCACCACTACACTACTTAACATACCTGACTCTCCAACACACTACACTGACTCTCCAACACTACTGACTCTCCAACACACTACCTGACTCTCCCACACACTAACCTGACTCTCCACACACTAACCTGACCTCCAACACTACTGATCACAACTACTGACTCTCCAACACACTACTGACTCTCCACACACTACCTGATCTCCAACCTACCTGACTCTCCAACAACTACCACTCCACACTACACGACTAAAACACTCCTGACTCTCAACACACTAACCTGACTCTCCAACATACCTGACTCTCCACCATACCTGACTCTCCACACTACCACTCTCTCAACACACTACACTGACTCCAACACTACACTGACTCTCCAACACACTACCTGACTCCCAAACCACTACTGACTTCACACCTACACTGAACTCCAAACACTACCCTGACTCTCCAACAATACCTGATCTCAACACACTCACTATCTCAACCACTACTGACTTCAACACACTCAACCTGACTCCCACACCTACACTGACTCCAACACATGATCTCACACAATACTGCTTCCACAACTAACTGATTACACTATATAACGATTCCAACACTAACACGACCACCCACCGACCTCACATCCTGTTCCAACATCCTGACTCCCAACTACTACCTCAACACTACCTGGACTCAACTGTACCGATGCCAAACAACTGACTCTCCAACCATACTGATCTCACAGACCATATTACTCAATCACTTGGTACCCCTGCCCATTGACTCTGTACTGCTACTCCTTGTATATAGTCTCATTACTACCTGGTAACCCTGCCCATTGACTCTGTACTGCTACTCCTTGTATATAGTCTCATTACTACCTCGTATCCCTACACAGTGACTCAGTACTGGTACTCCCTGTATATAGCCTCGTTATTGTTATTTTATTGTGTTAATTTTTCTATTTATTTTCCTTTTAAACTCTGCATTGTTGGGAAAGGGCTCCTAAGTAAGCATTTCACGGTAAAGTCTACACTTGTTGTATTCGGGGCATGTGACAAATACAATTTGACTTGATTTATTAGAAAGTCTATTCTTGTGTCTTGTCGCCGTTAGGGTTCGGGTCAACTCCATTTTAATTCAGTCATTCAATTATGCCGTCACCACTTAGCTTGTTCCCAGATCTGTTTATGCTGTCCTGCCACGTTGCTATGCCATGTTTGGCAATGACCATGGCAGTTTGCACGAACTGATATTGGCCCAAGCTAACAACCAGTGGGTGATTCATTTTTTTTTTTTTTTTTTTTTTTTTTTTTTAAAAAGAGGCAAACAGACATGTCGCAATCCAGTGGAATCAATTGTACCTTTCCACCGTCGCTGGATCCATCCTTGGTGGTTCCATCTTTAGAGGTAAAACACGCTGCCGTTTCATGGAAGGATCTCACTCGGACTCTGGGAGGTAGGGGTGCTCCACGAACACTCCAACCAGGCCTGCTCAAAGCATAGAGCTGAACCCGGGAACAAGACAGCCCTGTACAACAGAAACACCACGCAACCAAATGTTTTAGGCCTATGTTGTAATCCATAAACTTAAGACTCTTGTTTTTCTTTTTTTTGGTATGGATGGCCATGATTCATATTAGGTCAGGCCAACTTCCCTGTTCCCTCCCTTTCAGGAAATCAGGAATTTATGACGTAGCCTAAGTTGTTGTTTACAACGGGTGCCGCGTCCACATGCTAGCAGGAACTAGGAAAGTCTGACATTTCCGACTTGCTAACTGGTTGTAGTTATATACACGTGCCGCATTCAACCAGTTATCAAGTCGGAGAACTCAGTTTCCTAGTTCCGACTATCACGGTGAACGCGGCATAGTTCACGAGGTCAATGTCACATAACGTTAGCTTATCCTTCAGAAAATATTCACACCATGAATTTTTCCACGTTTTGTTGTTACAGCCTGAATTTAAAATGGATTCCGTTGAGATTTCGTATCACTGATCTACACACAATACCCCATAATGTCAAAGTGGAATAATGTTTTTCAACATCTTTACAATTTAATTAAAACTGAAAAGCTGAAATGTCTTGAGTCAATAAGTATTCAACCCCTTTGTTATGGCAAGCCTAAATAAGTTCATGAGTAAACACGTGCTTGACAAGTCACATAATAAGTTGCATGGACTCACTGTGTGCAATAATAGCGTTTAACATGATTTTTAAATGACTACCTCATCTCTGTACCCCACACATACAATTATCTGTAAGGTCCCTCAGTCGAGCAGTGAATTTCAAGCACAAAGACCAGGGAGGTTTTCCAATGGTTTGCAAAGAAACGAAGAAGTTAGATCGGTAAAATAAAAGCACAAATTGAATGTCCTTTTGAGCATGGTGCTGTTATTAATTACACTTTGGATGGTGTATCAATACACCCAGTCACTACAAAGTTACAGGCGCCCTTCCTAACACAGTTGCCGGAGAGGAAGGAAACCACTCAGGGATTTCACCATGAGGCCAATGGTGATTTTAAAACAGTATTATTTTAATGGCTGTGATAAGAGATAACTGAGGGTGTAACAATAACATTGTAGTTACTCCACAATACTAACATAAATGACAGAGTGAAAAGAAGGAACGCATCCTGTTTGCAATAACGCACTAAAGTAATACTGCAAAAAATGTGGCAAAGAAATGAACTTTTTGTCCTGAATACAAAGCATGGTGGTGGCTGCATCATGTTATTGGTATGCTTGTCATCGACAAGGACTAGGGATTTTTTTTTTTTTGGGATAAAAATAAACGGAATAGAGCTAAGCACAGGCAAACAGACACTGGGAGACAAATTAACCTTTCAGCAGGACAATAACCTAAAACACAAGACCAAATATACACTGGAGTTGCTTACCAACACAACATTGAATGTTCCTGAGTGGCCTAGTTACAGTTTAGACTTAAATTGGCTTGGAAATATATGGCAAGACTTGGAAATGGTTGTCTAGCAATGATCAACTTGACCAATCACTTGACCAAGCTTAAAGAATTTTTTAAAGAATAATGGACAAATATTGCACAATCCAGGTATGCAAAGCTCTTAGAGACTTACCCAGAAAGACTCACAGCTGTAATCGCTGTCAAAGGTGATTTTAACATGTTTTGACTCAGGGGGTTGAATACTTATCTAATCAAGATTAGTGATTTATTTTCCATTTTAAAAAATTACAATGTTAGAATTTGTCTTCCACATTAACAGAGTATTTTGTGTAGCTCGTTGACAAAAAAATGACAATTCAATCCCACATTGTAACAACAAAATGTGGAAAAAAGTCTAGGGTTGTGAATACTTTCCGAAGGCACAGGTTAGCTAGCTAGCACAAGCGTTTAAGATGTAATGCGAATAAGTAACTGTAGTTATTACAATTTCTCAAGATTGCAATCTGTTCTCACCTCTGTGTGCTGAATTCAAGAATATCCTCGCGGCCGATGTGCATGGGCAAGACATACTTTAGTCAAAGGTCTGGCAAATAAAAACAGTGAAGCAGGATTAGCTAGCATGGATCATCTCGGACAGCTGCTAGTTTCATCACAGGCCGCAGCTACAGTACCTAGCAAAGTGAAACAAAAGTCTGACAAACTAAACTCCTTACTTACAATACAGCTAGCTAGCTATTCAAGTTCACCTGTCAACAAGTAGCTGGCGTAGCTACGTGCTAACTAGCTATTTATGAAACAAAATTAAAAAACCCTAGGTAGGCCTGATTTGGATTGGAGTGGGGCAGCTAGCTAGCTATAGCAAACGCGGCTAGCGACAGAAAAACAAGTGAGCATTCCGGAAGAGAGGTCATTTAGCTAACATTAGTTAGCAGGTGAAAGATAGCTAAACATGTTTTAACTGGCAAGCTATGTGACATGTTTAAGACGCAAAGTGTTTCTTGACAACAACAAAAACACAATATGGGTTTGCTGACCAGCTAACGTTACCTGTCGACTCGTAAAGGAGCACGATGGAACCAAAACAAGTCTTGACAGTTTCTTCCGGAGCACAATATCTTCCGACTCTGTAACTGTGTATGTTAGCAGGTCAACGGTGTCATACCAATGTCACTGTCCAGATAGCATGGGTAACCTGCTTCAACTCACACCGATATTACCCCCCCCGGTGCAGGTGGGAAGCCTGGACCTCTGTGTGATGTAACGTTTGCTAGTTAGTAGGTCAGGGAAACAGCAAGACCGAGGCCAGCCAATTTCCACCATGTGTTATTACGTATTCAGAACGGTGTTGTTGTCTGTTTGCATCAGATATACGCAAGGCAAGGGGAAGTGTAAAAGTATTCTTCCGTTGGATTGGTTTGAGGTCATTTCGTCACATTGGGTCATTTACTGCCATCTACTGTTAAGGTGATTCATTTACTAAACTAGTTTCAGGAGGGGACAAATTCTAGGCCTACTCTATTCTACAATGTAGTCTGTTCTATTCTAAATGGGAGAGCAAATAAATGTCCGCCTAGTGTACTGATGTGTTGCACACTATTAACTGAGCCTAAAGGGATTGTAGTACTCTGTCTGCATGAAACATTGCCATCACTAGCACATTACATTAGAGGCTGCTGCTGCCTATTGAAATCACTGGCCACTTTAAGAAATGTAACACTAGTCACTTTAATAAAGTTGACATATCTTGCACTACTCATCTCATATGTATATACTGTATTCTATTCTGTAATATTCTACTGTATCTTAGTCCATGCCGCTCTGTCATTGCTTGTCAATATATGTATATATTCTTAAATTCCATTCCTTACTAGTTTTGTGTGTATTAGGTATATGTTGTGAAATTGTTAGATATTACTTGTTAAGATATTACTGCACTGTCGGAGCTAGAACCTATTTGTAAGTCGCTCTGGATAAGAGCGTCTGCTAAATGACGTAAATGTAAATGTAAATGTAGAAGCACAAGCATTTCGCTACACCCGCAATAACATCTGCTAAACACGTGTATGTGACACATACAATTTCATTTGATTTGATTTGATATGCTTATGGTGACATTTCTCAGTTGTCTTCATGCATTATTGCCATTCTTGACTTGATACAGTCTTAGTATCGCATTGTCAAACCTTCAAAGGGAATGAGGGGTGGATTTACAGCTGTACAAATGAGAGGATTACAGTAAAAGATGAAAATTAAAAAAACATGTTTATTGGTAATTGTACAACATGAATGAGAAAACGTATCACATTGGATGCTACATATTGTACAAAATATATATTTGAGAATGGTGAAGTTATTAATTACACTTTGGATGGTGTATCAATATACCCAGTCACTATAAAGATACAGGCCTCCTTCCTAACTCAGTTGCCGGAGAGGAAGGAAAACGCTCAGGGATTGAATTTTGGCCCATTCCTCCTGACAGAGCTGGTGTAACTGAGTCAGGTTTGTAGGCCTCCTTGCTTGCACACGCTTTTTCAGTTCTGCCCACACATTTTCTATAGGATTGAGGTCAGGGCTTTGTGATGGCCACTCCAATACCTTGACTTTGTTGTCCTTAAGCCATTTTGCCACAACTGTGGAAGTATGGTTGGGGTCATTGTCCATTTGGAAGACCCATTTGTGACCAAGCTTTAACTTCCTGACTGATGTCTTGAGATGTTGCTTCAATATATCCACATAATTTTCCTTCCTCATGATGCCATCTATTTTGTGAAGTGCACCAGTCCCTCCTGCAGCAAAGCACCCCCACAGCATGATGCTGCCACCCCGTGCTTCACGGTTGGGATGGTGTTCTTTGGCTTGCAAGCTCCCCCTTTTTCCTCCAAACATAACAATGGTCATTATGGCCAAACAGTTCTATTTTTGTTTCTTCAGACCAGAGGACATTTCTCCAAAAAGTACGATCTTTGTCCCCATGTGCAGTTGCAAACCGTAGTCCGGCTTTTTAATGGCGGTTTTGGAGCAGTGGCTTCTTCCTTGCTGAGCGGCCTTTCAGGTTATGTCGATATAGGACTCATTTTTACTGTAGATACTTTTGTACCTGTTTCCTCCAGCATCTTCACAAGGTCCTTTGCTGTTGTTCTGGGATTGATTTGCACTTTTCGCACCAAAGTATGTTCATCTCTAGGAGACAGAACGCGTCTCCTTCCTGAGTGGTATGATGGCTGCGTGGTCCCATGGTGTTTATACTTGCGTACTATTGTTTGTACAGATGAACGTGGTACCTTCAGGCATTTGAAAATTGCTCCCAAGGATGAACCAGACTTTTTTCTGAGGTCTTGGCGGATTTCTTTTGATTTTCCCATGATGTCAAGCAAAGAGGCACTGAGTTTGAAGGTAGGCCTTGAAATACATCCACAGGTACACCTCCAATTGACTCAAATGATGTCAATTAACCTATCAGAAGCTTCTAAAGCCATGACATAATTTTCTGGAATTTCCCAAGCTGTTTAAAGGCACAGTCAACTTAGTGTATGTAAACTGGAATTGTGATACAGTGAATTAGAAGTGAAATAATCTGTCTGTAAACAATTGTTGGAA